CTTCGAAGTTGAACCCTCTCGTCCGTTGAAGCTCATCTTTCAGGTTGCGTCCTCGAGATGATAGTCGATGGAATGGTTGAAGGTCGCGAGCAGGGTGTCTACCGGTCCCCAAAAGTTCCCATTCTCCCCGATTTTGGAAGAATGTCCCCAATATCCCCGAAAGTCCCCAATTTTCTTGTTTAGGTCCCCAAAAAATGACAAAAATCGTCCTAAACATCGGCATTTTCGAATTTTCCTGCCAGCCGCGGCGGCGCGGTGTAACCAGGAACAGGGCCGGATTTACCTATTTGCCGCCCATGAGCCGCCTATATTTTACCGCCCCTTTCTCATTCGTTTTGAAACACCAATAAAAACCATCAAGTGAACGTGCCAGCAGAAATTAGGTGCATAAGACGCGTTTACTCATGTTGGAAACATTTTTTGGGAAAGCCCTGTCAACACTACTAGCAAAAATTCACCGAACTTTGCGCAAACGTTAAGTTTCGTAAACCTATCTCTCGTGGACAAGGTCTTCCATTCATAAGAAATGGACGAAAAAATTATGAAAGAACAAACATAAATGTGGTTTAATGATTTTAAGTATTTTAACTTCCGCCGCCTCGCCGCGGCGCCGCGCAGACCGCACTGTGTTTGGAGCAGTGCATGAAGTATTCCGACAGTTTTGTAGGCGCTATGAGTTTCACGCCGACCGCACTGTGTTTAGCGCAATACGTGAAGCATTCATGCATTCTTGTAGGCGCTATCCGTTTCACGCTGACCGTAGTGACCGCACTGTGTTTGATGCAATGCGTGAAGTATTCGTGCAGTCTTGTAGGCGCTAATTTGTGTTACATGCCGATCGCCGCGCCGAGGGCCTCTCCTTTTCATCTCAAGTCCTCGTTATCATTTCTTTCTAAGTCGCGCCGTTTCAGGCCGAATTGCGTGTTTGGTCTCTCTCTTAATTCGATTAATTAAAGGTGATGTCTCTTGTATCACCGAAAGACGGCAAAATTAGAAATTACTATACTCTCAGGAAATGAGAGATTTTGTTTGTAATTTTTTCTAAATCCGATTTTTTTATACCTGCATTTAAACAAATTCCAAATTTGCCGCCTCCTAGATTTGCCGCCATAGGCCTTGGCACATGTGGCCACCCCCTAAATCCGGCCCTGACCAGGAATGAAAAACTGTAGTGTTGCTTGGTTTTTCGTAAATTTTCATCGGTTCATCATGACTTGGAAAATTCGTCGTATAAAATACGCATATCAACACTCTAACTAGCTCTCTTTCTCTTACTATTTCGGGAAAGAAGTCCCCGATTTTTTTGGAAAAACACCCCTAAAAGTCCCGAATTTTGGGGGGTTTTTTTATAACTGATTGACACCCTGACGAGGCATTACAGAAAAGAAGTAACCAAAAATTTACCCTGAAAAAAAAAGTACGGTTACACGGATTTAAGGTTGGTCCATTTGGAACACGGTACAGCATAATCAAATATTTGCTGTGCGGAACCGAAGTGCGGTCAAGCAAACCGAATGAATCGGTAAATAATTATCGAATGGTTCGAGTTGTAGCGTGGCACAAAACGATGGTTTTGTCTGGGAAATAGGCCGTCTCCTCACAATCTCGTATTATCTATTTGATGATTATATCTGATTGTGAGGCATTGTAAGCTGATTGTGTATATGCAGTCAATTCTGCCGTGATAGCGAAGAGAGCCGTAACTTTCAAAGAGCCTCCCAAAAAAAGGGCCTTTTTTGGCCCCTTTTCTGAAACTCGGGGATTTCATTCAAATGTGGCCTAAACGAAACCTTATGATGACCTAAGACTCCAGTAAAAATTTTAGCTTGAGTATACGTCTGGTTTCGGAGATACAGTGTTGCAAAGTTTGCATATTTAGGCTTTAAAAATCTTCATAATTTCAAATATTATCTTCCTAAAACCAACATCAGAGTGAACTTTACAATCTAAAACAAAGCGTAAATGAAGCATAATGATAAAAAAGCCTCCATCAAAAGTTTTAGCTCATGCATGACCCCTGTTTTGGTAGTGCAACGTTGCAAGTTTACCTTTCTGAGCTTTAAAAATGCTCATATTTTTAAGTGTCGTGTTTAAAAACCAATTTTAGTGAATATCAAACTGCGTTTTGAAGGATAAAATTAACCCCTAGTGATACTTTTGGATGCATAGTTGCATTGATAAAAGGCTACAATGATTTCAAGTAACACAGCGTTGCACAGTTTACATCCTAAATCTCTGAAAATGTCTTTTCTCTTGTTTTCTTATGAGAGACAACTCCGATCAAACATGTTTCGATATTGTAAAGTGAAATACAAGGAATCTTGTTAGTTTTAAGTGACAGTTGGTGTAAAAAATGACACTGTTGCCTATTTATCTTTTTTTATCTCAACATTTAATCATAAAATAACATTAAAATTAGGATACTTCCAATAATTATCTAATTTCAAAATCAAATTCAAGAGACTTTGCCATGCTCGATAAAATGCTCTCAGCACCAGCATTGCTTTCAAAATCCAACAAATTATGCCTCGCCATAGTTGCTAATTTAACCGTTTTTTAAGTAAAATGAAAAAAATAAACATAGAATACAGAATTTGCCGAGTTTTTTTAAGTATAAATAAATATTGATCTAGAGAATACATTTATTATGCCTTGCAAAATAGAGTACCTCCACTATTTTTTTTTAAAAAATGAAAAAATGAAAAATATTAAAAAAAACTTGAAAAAATTAAAAATACTGTAAAAAATTGAAAAAAAAAAAAAATCAAATAAAAATTAAAAATATTGTAAAAAATTGAAAAAATAAAAAAATCAAATAAAAATTAAACAGTAAAATACTTAGTATTAAAAAAAGCAAAATTAAGTATCAATAATAATTGGAGGCATCTTCATTTTAAAATAATTTTATCATTAATTGTTTGAAAATAAGTATTAATAAACTTAGCAATAGTATTTTTGCGAATACCAATCGTCACTTGGAACTGACATCAGCCCTCGACATTTTTCCTTGATATAAGGCCTGACACCCATTGACGTCCTCTTAGCATAAATAATAATTTCGAGAGTTTAAAGTTGTTAGTACTTGTTAGCTTGGCAACGCTGTATCACCACCAATTAAAGTATCTCTATTTAAATACAAACATAGAGCTACAAATGACACATTTGGTAGATTTCATGCTTCAAATTCTAAAGAAGATCCACGAAAGTAGCTTTTTAAACGCGGAACTTAGAAATATATACATTTTTAAAGCTCAAATGTATAAACTTAGCAACGCTGTATCATTAAATCTGTACTTACGCTTGCGGTAAGGCCTATACAAAAGACTTATCATATTATCACTTTGTCTGTAATTTGGATCCACACGAAACACATGAGAAACCTATCTGTGCGCAAAAATTGACACGTTTTCAGACAAAACAGCCGCAAGAAGCATTATTCCACCAGAGAGCCAACGACAGCATTACTTTTCAGTAAAATGCCGCCTTTTTCTGTCAATTTCTAACCTGAATATGATTTTTAACCAACCAAATAATCTCTGAGAGTCTTTCAGATGATTGGTGGTAAGTTTACAAAAAAACGGAAGTTTCTTTCAACAAAAGTTTTCGCTCACAAAACGATACCGGCCCCACTTTCTCAAAACGTCTTGTTTGCACTTACAGCACTCTTTGCTATCTCGGCAGAATTGGTCAGTCAGCGCAAATCAATGTCTACTGCCACAAAACATATTTGAACCAACTCTGAAATTCAATGAATACTTTCCCACCAAAAGCTCCGTTCGGGTTCTTTGTGCGGTACGATTCCGCATCTTACCCGCTGCAACTCTTTCCCGATGGAATGCAAGCCGGAACTCATGATTTCAGAACTCCGAGAAGGGGAGTCTGGGGACAGCGCGCCACGGCGATCCCAGCGTGGGCTCCTCTTCAATATGCATTTGATCTCGGTTGCCATTGTAGGTTCCTAACTCTTTGTCTATGCAAATGGATGCATTAGTTGTGCATTTGTTGGATGCAAGTGGATGCAACAATAGTTGCAATCTGGCAATCCCGCATTGGAGGTTCCACGCGGTAGGGATCCTTAGGATTGTCTTAGTAGATCAGTTTTCTCGCCCACATGGTTTTGTCTCCTTGCATTTGTGGATGCAAAATGAATGAGATGAAGACCAGTATCATGTTAAGAACAGACCATGTACCTGCAATACATAATCTCTGTGAAAATTATTAGTTCATTCTTGACACAAATCCAGGTGTGAGCAGTGCTCGTTTATGTTTTTGCCACTCCTGCCTCTACAAATAATAAAAAATATGGCAAGACATGTCCTTTTTTCAGGGAAAAACATGCCGCCATCCAAGGGATGGGGATAGTGGAGCAGAATTAGGGGGTTAACGATACAAAAGTTAGCTTTGGACATACATCAGGACTTTAGTGCTGTAAGCGAATTATATATCGAGGCGTGAACTAGTTTTGGTTCGGGACTCTTAGTTTCCCAAAATGTGACCTGGCCTTTTTCTGCTTAATTTGATCCAATTTTTAAGCAATTACAATAAAAGGGGACAGATTTTTGAAATTGATTGACAGAAGCTATAGATAAATAAGACAAAGAGAAAATGGAGCTATCCAATGAGTTGAAACAGGTGATTGTCATAGACTAAGGGGAAAAATTATGGACTAGGATCTCTCGTGGTTTGCAACCACCCGCTTCCACTATATAGGATAGATACATTTTCTCTTGGTCTAACACTTCGTCAATGAATTTTTAATTCGCTGGGATCCCAAAAAAAATAGATGCAAATGGAGTCATAGCGTCTTGCGGTCGTCATCTTCTTCTTCCTATTTATCTTTTGCTTCTTGACATGTATCAAAGTTACGTTTAGAGTTTCACCTTATTTAAAGTCGAATGAAAATGTTTGCCCTGTTCGTTATAACTTTGATCTCTTTAAACTGCAATTGCATAACATCATAACTTTTATCTAACTGATTTTCTCTCTTATTTTGTTAACAGATATTGATGAATGCGCAAATCCTGCGATAGCATCACGGTGTGTGGCAAATGCGGAATGCTGCAATTTACCGGCACATTTTTTGTGCAAATGCAGACCGGGGTTCGAAGGTGACGGTGAAGTTGAATGCAGAGGTAAGTTTAACCTAATTTTTTACAAAATCAAAATCCGTCGTTGAGATACTTAATTTCTAAGTGTCGTCATCCAAATACTTTGATGCAAGTATGTTGAAAATTTCTTACAGCCAATGGAATAGGAGTTCATTATTGAGACCGTATCGTTAATACCTTCACCGACGAGGCACGGGTTCATCGCATTATAAGTCGCCGGGATAAATCGCCTTCAATCATCCGTGATACAATTTCTCCTTGACCGTTGAGCTTTATCTATGAATGGTGACGGTGAGTGAATGTTTCCTTCATGCCTACAAAGATTATCGCGCTATTTCACTGTTCGAAACGAACAAAAAAATTTCCGATGAAGAACAGTTTCGGGAAAAAATAAAGTTGTAAAATATGAAAAAGAATATGCGGGTTACCATTTTATTTAAATCTCCGATAACTTCAATGTACGCATCAACGTAATTTTTTGCGTTTACTCAATGAATATTAAAATGTGTCTCCGGTCCGAGGTATTGAATCGAAAAGAAGCGAATATTAGTAACCCCGTCCCCTCTGTACATTTAGTTTAAGACCAAAATATTGTCGGATCTTGTGAGTTTTTTATCTATTATTTTACTTTACTTCAAACTCAGTAATGCCAAACTTTCTCTAGCTTACCGCTCATAAAACAAATCACAAGATCTTAATTTTGAAAAGCACTCGTTGATCATTCACTTATTTTATTTGTGCTTTTAATTCTTCGATTCGAATTACGAGTAATTATTTCCGATTTAATCAAAGGAGAGGGCAGAGGTCTCCAGTTCCACGGGATAATTGAGACTTGCTTGAGGACAGCGGCGTGGAAATGCAAATTCAATTACGTACCACGGAATGGGGTCATGTAATGAGGAATGAATAAGGAGAATAGACAATTGTGATCGGGGAATCGGCCCGTAATATCGGACAGCGAGCCCGTGGCCTGCCGCGTTTGTGATATTCGTCCAATCGCCACCGTCGTCCGACATTCAGAGCCAATTATATCATCAAGTCGTGTGTACAATGGGGCACCTACAAGTAGCACAAGCCCTTTTCTGAGGCCGAATGACAATTGTTAGCTCGCACCCTCAGACTGATCTAGAACCTACGTTCCAGGAGAGCACTGGTATTGAGATAAGCATCGATTTACTGGTGTGCCTGAGAAAAAAAGTTCGGTGACAAATACTGCACTTCTGTTCTTTTTGAACACCAACATTTTTTGAAAGTCGAATTTTTCGGTCCTTTTGTCAAAACCTTTGGTCCTCTAAACAGAAATTAGAAGTTTTGAAAGTGGCTCATTAATTTTCTCGTAAAATTTCCCCCAAGAAGCACTCCTCACGATTTATAGTTTGAAGAAATAAACATCGACTTATTCAATTTTAGTCGAAAATTTCATGTTCAATCTTTCTAAAAAGCTCGTTACATTGGGCAGTCAGCGTTACTGCGAGGATCTAAAATGACAAAGCGCCTTCAATACTTCATTTATACTTCAAAGACATCCAGACATGAGTAGGTCCTTTACAAATCATGCTCAGCACATTGCGATATCAAAACTGCAGCACAAAAGATACTCAGATTCGACGCCAGTATGCTCTCATGAAATATATCTTCGCAATGCAGAATTAGGAGCGCTTTGCCATTTTGGGTCCTCTCAGTGCAGCCCGCCATTGGCGCTGCGGGTAAAGCGGCGAATGCCTGAACAGTCCAAACGCCTTCACTTTCGAGCGTATGCAACACAGACATCTATGGAGCCCGAATAGTTGCACCCAGGACATTCGCAGGCTCGTCGCATTCGACACTAAATAAGGGCGCTTTGCTTGTTACTGTTGCACCGTAACTTAATTTCAACGATGCATAATGCGCTGAGAAAAAACTATTACTGATTTGTATCGAGACATCGGAAATTTTCCGAATAATGCTTTGATATTTTAAATATAAAACAACGTCGACGTATTAAAATGCGGACTGCGACCTTTACCTTCTCCGATCTAAGAACTACAAGTGCGGCAAAGTCGTTCTATGGTCACTTCATGAAAAATTCGAGCACCCATATTTGAATATGCTTGTTTTCTTTTCTCTAAAGAGTTAGAAAAAAGTCCAGCCAGAAATGAGGGGCTTGGAGGACAAGGCGCATCAGTGCAGTTATTTTGAGATTCCGAGAAATACGTGCTTGAAGATTCGAAATTACATAGATCCTGATGGCAGAAAGAGAGTTTAAACTGACTTTTTAATACTTAAAACTCGCAATTTTGGAACGAATTTGTCCCAGAATATGCATTTGGACCAGTTTTACTTGAAATCATGAATTTCTCGGTTTTTTTTTTTTTCAAAACCGCACCAAACCCCTCAAATGTAAATCAACCTACGGTTAATTCAGAGCCCGCTTATTGAATCGGAAAAAAATATACACAGAAGCGGCTGCGCAGCATGACGACGCGACGACGCGGCATATTCCGCGTCTTTTATCGTAACTGGAGTTACGAAGACGCTGCGGAAAAGAGGGGTGAGGAGAGGAGGGCTTGGGCGAGTAGGTTAGTTTTCTGTTTTCTCACATTCCTCGCTATTGGCCAAGTTCAATGCCGGACCGACACCAATCGATTCCTCTCGGCTGCCCGCACGGCTATTATTAGCTGCTAAAACAGCCAACTGCAAGTAATTTGCAATCTAGCTTAACAGCGTCGTCTGGAGTCTGGAGCGTCCACCCGGGGGATGGGCCCCAGTCTCGGGGCCCTCGGCTTCCCTCTCGCCTCAAACCGTAACGCACTCCGAGCGCAGTTGCTAAATCGGGAATTTCAATGATTCCTAAAATAAACTTTATTCTATGGTATTATATTTGGAAAACCGCATCTATGATATAAGAACGACTCTAAAAAAAAGAAAAAAGAATCTTTTAAATTTTGAATAGATAACTTCAAATAGGTTCGCACGCCGAATATGGTAGCCGAAAATGGGAGTCACCGGTGTGTGGTTGAGTGGTGCCCTGAATTTTTCGGGTGTCGTGGAAATTTCAGCAATCGATGTGGATCGGATACTCAAAAATGTTATCAGTTCGTTCGGATTATTGAAAGTTTGGTATAATTTTCAAAAATATTTGTGAGTAGGTAAATTCTAAAATAAAAATTGAAAAAAAGTTGAGTAGTGAATTAAATTTGAATTTAAAAAAAAAAAAAACTGAATTTTAAGAGTAACGCATGTTGAGCATTAACCAACTCCCATATTCAGCGCGTAAACCAGATGCTGATGATAGAATACAGCTAGAGGCCCCTTTTGCGTATTCCGGCCTCCGAGAGCTCCTTTCTCTTCAAAAATGGTACACATTGGCCTAAAATGAGGTCAGAACTGCCAATGGATCCCATCATGGTATCGTCACGTTATCGTCGTATATAAATTCAGGGAAAAGGTCAATTTTCATTTATTTGGTACCCATATTAATCGCCAGAGTAGAAAACTCGTATCTCAATCTACTGCGGTGTCTCAGAAATGCCTATCAATTCGTTTTTTGAGAAGAAAACTGACCAAGAATTTTTCATGAGATTTTGAATAACACTTTTAGATCAGGGAAATATCATGCATAATTTCATGCAATTCATTTCAATTCATTGCAATTCATTTCAATTTCATATTCGCCTGTCAATTGCATGAAAATTGTAGATTTGCTCGCGTTGAAATGTATCGTGGCGACTGACCAGCAGTGGATAAGTAATTAAGGTGATTCGATGGACGCCATATTTTGTGTCAGAAAGGCATACGATATATCGCATCAATTGGTTCCATTTTTTCAGCCACTCGTCATTTTCTCCAATTTTAAGATCGCAATTCTGTTGTCAGGAGACTAAATCACTCAATTACCAATTTTAACAAAGAAATTCAACGTAATAAAGGCGTGGTTTTTTTAAAGAGAAAACATCGCATTCGGTGCAGTTTCGATATCAGTATCGAATGCAATGTTTTCTCTCTGAAAAAACCACGCCTTTATTACGTTGAATTTCTTTGTTAAAATCGGTAAGTGAGTGCTTTAGTCTTCTGACAACAGAATTGCGATCTCAAAATTGGAGAAAAATAACGAGTAGCTGAAAAAATGGAACCAATTGATGCGATATGTCGTACTTCGTTCTGACACAAAATATGGCGTCCATCGAATCACCTTAAGTAACCTATAAAATATGATTATAACATTAAAACGTGGCAACAGGGCCTTGATGTGCTACCACCCGGCTTTGGAGCGATTCACTGCGCTGGCGCTAAGACCGACGTGACAACATGCTCATGCACACACGTGGGCATCGGCACCTCTGGATATTATCCTCTCCAACCTCTAATAAATAGAATTATGATTACTCTGTAATAATCCATCGCCGCACCATGCGACCCCTTTATTAAGCTCTTTGCCCACTAGTTTTTCCGCTGCTGTCTTTCAGTGCATATTAAGAACGGTGGTGGGCAGACAATGAGTGTTCAAGGGGGAATGCAGGGCGAGACGGGCATAATACGAATACAATGGGAAGAAAAATTAAAATATAACCCTCTCAGAATTTACGATCAGTTTGCGATGACATTAATTTATATTTCAGAAAAGGGTAGTGAATTTTCCTCTTATGTGCCTCTTCGCTCCGAATGTAAAGGTTTGGACAAGGCTAAGTCAAGCTGATCAGGTGACTAAAAGTCAAATTTAATAAATATCTCGCTAATTTCATGACTTAGAATGTGTTTTTTTATTATAATAATTTTCGTTGTAAACGCGTTACTAATTGTTTCGTATTTGTTCCAGATATTGATGAATGCCTTCAACCTAACGCTTGCGGTATAAATACCGTGTGTACTAACACCCCAGGAAACTATACCTGTGACTGTCAAACTGGATATCAGGGAAATCCATATAATGGAGTAAGTATCATACTGTACAATATACGAGCATGAGAGTCACATGTAACGCATAACGCCTGAAGCGCAAAGCGGCCAGAGGGCGTGCCCCGTACTAACATAAAAATTTAAACATGCCTCACTCATATAGGTCTTTCGTTTGTGGCACGTTTCCATAAAAGCACACAGGAGCGTCGAACTAGTCGCCTAGGCAAGAAGAAAATTAAAACGCCTTCAATTAATATAGTAAGCAACACTGTCATCCAAAAAGTTCGAATAGTTGCACAGTTCTAGGCGCTATAGTAGCAGCTTAGGTGGGACGGAGGATGCATTCTGAGTCGTGTATAACCAAACCATGAACAGCTTTACTAACGCTCAATTAACCTTAAGTGAAATTTTGCGATTTTTTTCTTCTCAAATTTATAAATTTTGAGGGCCCATGGGAACCGCCAAATGTTCACTAAAATCAAAATTGCTCTACAACGTCTGTTTTAACATAGATTTGAATGTTTTTGCGAGTTACGGCGTTAATATTGAGCTCCATCATTTTTTATTGGAATAAGCTGCACCCCTGTAGACAGAGCGTCATGTGCGTACAAAAATAAGACAGGGTTTTTTGGGGGGGGGGGGGTAGAGGGGCTCAGGAGGGAAAAACTGGATTTAAGAGAGACGGGGAGGTCTGCAGACAACTTGAAGGAGCAAGAGGCGCCAGGATTTCTGTCGGCGGGCGAAGTGTAATCTTTAAATGCTCATAACTCTCGCCCACGTACGAAAGTAAAACATATCAAAATGGATGCAATAGTGTACGGCTAACACAAAGGACAGTTTTTTGTTTAATTTTGAAAAGAGGCATTTGACGATGAACTACACTTTGAAAAAAATCGATCACAAAAAATTATGAAAAATGGCAACACTGCGAATTTAAAGTAGTAAAACCTCAACTGAATAAATTACTCTGATCAAGCATATTTTTAGAAGAATTTTCGCGTGAACTACTCTTCAAAATCTTTTTTCTTTCAATAGATATGGAATTTTACATTTTTACACTTGGCAACGCTGCTGCGCGGCAAGGTATTCGTTTTAAGTTTTGAAAACCTGTAGAAAGGTGTCCCCGATTTTGTAGAACAACATACTAAAAATTGGTTCAAATCCACGCATCGAGCCTTTTTGCCGGCATCTGCTCATGCCATCTGGCAACACACACTACAAAATACTATCAAAATACTACTGGAGTACTACGATGAGTACGATGATGAATTCTTGGTCTCTCATTGGTCCGTTCTGTTTGGGATGGTTCATTCATGAATTGCATAGCGCATGCGCCCGCGCAACACGTGACGCGAACGCGCAGCACGCGCACATGGTTGAATTTGTAAACAACGCTAATGGTGAATTTTTCTCTTTCCTGATTCATTATTTTTTTTTTAATTTAAAACAATGTGTTCAATACGGATGGTAACGTATTCAGCAAGGGTGTGAAGATTGAAATATCTTCATTCAAGTGTCAACTAACATCTGAAGAACAGAATTTGTCAAGATGTTTAAGGGTTATTTTTTCAAATGTGAAGTTCAGACTACTTAGCTGGCCATCGATTAAATGTAGGTAGTTTAATATTTTCCCTCATAACATACCACAGCCGGCTGTAGTATTTACAATCCATATCCATACGAGCATATTGGCATTTTATTGTCAAATGAATCCACTAGATACGAACTTTTGAGGTTGGACATGGTTGGACTGTGAAACCCGGAAGATTTCAACCCTGAACTCACTAGTTTTGTTTACACATCACTAAAACATATGGATTTTGCGTTGATTTGCTTGATTCTTATACATTTTAAGCTTATTTTACCGAGAATCGTTAAACTCTTCATTGAGTCGGGACGTGCAATGTCCATTTCTCCAGTCTTAAGTTTTTTTGAGTTCATAGTACGTACCCACTTTTAAAGAGTCGATACAACCATAAAAGTGATGAGAGAACTCGTATTGGGATTAAGGAAACCCAAAGACAAGTCTTAAGCCACTTTCGAGGTTGCAACCAACTCCAAAAAGAGTTATGAATTCAAAAAAACTGAATTAACTGAAAAAATGGACTTTAGCCATTTTCGCACGTCCTAATTCAATTGTTAAATCAAATTTTCAATATGTCTCATTCAATTGTTGCAAAATGACGCTAACTCCGTATTTAATAACTTACCCTCAGGCTAAAGGTAGTCTTCATGAGTGCGTACTGTACTCTTCCTCATATCGTTGCTTGGTTCCTTGCATTTAATGCTACCGCAAGAGTTGGTCGCTGTACGCTTTGCGCTGTTCCGGATTTATGGTAGGCCAAGCCATGTGGTTGTATTGTCAAAATTGGCCATGACAAAGTAGACCCTAAAGGAGCCCCTTCCCAAAGCAGGAAATTTTAAAAAGTACTCAAGGCCAAGAAGTCATCGAGAATAATTCCTAGCCCTGATCAAAAGCTCTAGCCAGCTCTAGGCCCAAGCGCTGACGCTCTTCCATGGGCGCCGTAGCCACAGATTAAAACACCTTATGTAATTTGGCCTTGAATTGAGCGAGACTCCTTGCTCTCATATATTAGTAAGATCTTTTCTTTGCTCCTACTTTGAAATGCCTCTAAAAATTATATGAATGACAGGTGATTAATCTTGCCTGTGACTGTCAGTTTAGCGCCACATTCCACATATTGGTTTTTTTTTTTTCAATTGAGTACAATTGTCTGCCAGGTTTCAATTTCTGCCGGATATTGCCTTGCAATGATCTGACGATATTTCATTACACTTTTCGGATTATTCCTACTTTTACTCATCGCATAAATTTTATCTCCTGTGATCTGGTCATGTTTCCTTTTTTACCAGTATCGCTAAGTCCTAAGTAATTCGCTTGGACTGTTACAGTGTGTTGATCTCAATGAATGTGAATACAAAGGTGCTTGCGGTCTTGGAGCTTTATGCACAAACTTGCCTGGAGGCCACCACTGTGAGTGTCCAAGAGGCTATGAAGGTGATGCCTACAGAGGTGTCTGCACTGACATCAATGAGTGCCTCCACAATGTTTGTGGAATCAATGCGATCTGTCGAAATGAACCTGGTACCTTTCAGTGCTCATGTCCTCAAGGATTTGCCGGAGATCCCTTTTCATCTTGCACAGGTATTTTAGAAAACTTTATTATGAATATGACTCTTTTTTCTTCTAGATTTTGTATTCTCAGAAAGTCATTTGATAACCAGTAGAGTCCATGCGTTATGAGTTGCGCATCTTTTAGAGTGCGACAGGAAATATGCCATTAATTCTTAGTAGTGTCCAGAATAAATTCAAGGATCAAGATGGTAGATCCTTTGTTTCCCTTCAAAAGTTGTTCAAGTCTTTCAGCAGGGACTGTACAACCTGAAAATTTATCACTAAGTATAGAAGGGGATTTCATATGTACCTAAGTCAAATAATACTTGCTTATTTCAGAAGTTGATGAAACGAACTTTTTTGTAGAACTCATAAAACATATACTCATGCATCTATTTATCTTCACTAAATTGACATTTTAACCACAAACTGACATTTTGAAAACAAGCTATATCATTTCTGAGTTTAGCCATTAATTTGTGTTTAAGTAGGTATCGTTTTAATTTGCAACCAAGTTTTTTCCTCAAGCAAATCAATTTTAAATTATTTGTGGTTAATTTTTATACGATTGTTAGAATAGTATCTCCGGAAACCTTATAGGTACCAATTTTATACCCTATTTTAAAAAATACAAAACTACAATCAGATGCTCTTCGAAAACCGATCGAATATGCCTCTGAAACTTTTTTGTAATCTTGCTTCAGATTCACCCACTGCAACTGATTCATCCATCAGTGTTAAATATGTATAAAGTTAGTTGCCTTAACTTTTGTAATTTTCCTTGTGTATAACATAGTAAAAATTGTACATTTTTCGTTCGTGCATAATTTCTAATGGGTCCATTTTTATGGATGTTGGTGGCGAATGGGAAACCACGAGTAAATATTTATAATCACCTATTAATCAGCATTTTTATGTTGCGCAGCTTGCTTATTACATGATGTAATTAGCACCTTCCACTCAAACTTCTCTTTCTTATTATCACTCTTCTACTTTAAATGTAAAAGTCCACCCCAAAAAAACAGTCTTACCCCCTTGATATAATATAATATAGTTCATGCAACAAAACAGATTAAATTCCTTTTCAAACTGAACACCACTTTTCTGAACTTTCTTTTTTTTTTTAGGAATTGCCGTATTTTAACACAGTTGCAAATTCCTACTGTTATCAAGATAACACAAAGATATTATTATTTTAAGGAGAGGGTTCTTTTATGCTTATTAGTGGAAGTCCGTTTGCAAAATCATCATACTTAATTCGCTCCCCCTCTCTAAAAAGACAAAAGTTTCAGCTTTTCTGAGCCTTGAAAAAGAAATTATGATTCTTTTTTTGGAGTGGACTTTTTACTTACTTATTCAATTTTTAAGTTGGCCATAGGTCAACTTATTTTTTTTTTTTTTTTACTATTGAGTGTTTATTCATATTAATATCCTAATGCCATAAATTATGATTTAACATATAATTTACACGTTAAAATAGATGTGGACGAATGCATGGCAACCCCCTGTGGAGTTAAATCCGAATGTGTTAACACTAATGGGAGTTTCTCCTGTAAATGCCTCCCTGGATATTCCGGCGAACCAGAGAAAAAGTGTTTAGACATCAACGAATGTGACAATCCTAACCAGTGTGGAATCAATGCTAAATGTATGAACACGCCCGGATCCTATGTGTGCGTGTGTCCTGAAGGATTTTCTGGGCATGGCCAAATTTATTGTGAAAGTTAGTTCCCTTTTTTTTACTTTTTAAATTTTATCCCTCGTAATGGCAATGGTTACACCATGACTTCATGACCTTTCCAGAGTACTCTGTTTCAAACCTCAGTCATGGTGTAGAAAGTCAGTAGACAATTAGTTCTATTTTAATGCATAATAATTTGGAGCTTTGCCACTTTTGTGGCTAATTAAGAATGCAATACTTCATTTTATTTATTCGTCTCTTTTATTTAGAAAATTTTGATTCAAAAATACTTTGCTCGGCCTCTAAAAAAAATGCTCCATCAACACAATTCATCTCTTTGGTTTGTTATACCAACAATCGTTTTTTACTTATAGGAAGCAAAATTATTTTAATTTTTGTATTTGTTTTTTTCTTCTTTTTTTCTTTTTTTCCAACAAAAAGATTGGCTCAAGATGTATTGTAATTTCTCGAACCATAAGTAAGCCATAATTAAGTCATACCTGCCAATTGAAACACTAGCTTCGTAACTCAACATGATCATTTCAAGTTTTTACTTTCTCGCTCCCCTAGTTTTTTCTTCACATGATTTTGGCCATATACTATCTTCTTTCATTGTGCTTTTCTGTTTCCTATGTTACCACCTATAAATATGTTTGGAATGAATTTGCTTTCCTTATCTACCTTATGGCGTTGTGCCTGTAAATAAAATTTGCATGTGCTATAGCTTTTGAGTTGTCATTGCATGATGTGCATGGTGTAGAGCACTGACAATAGTTGTACTTATCACAGCATGTATTGTGTTTCTTTGTGAGAAAAGGTAAGCAATATTGGATTGACACGGTAAATGCCAAAAAACTTCAGGAGTACAACCTCTATCAATACTTTCAGGTACAGTAAAATCTGATAAACTGCTGAAATAATGCTGCTGAACATTGTGGCATCTGTTGAATGCCTTTCCATTTTGTCCCTTTTTTCAAATCATATTTTCTGATATCAAAACTAAGAAAAGTTCACAGGTAGTTCAAGGCTCTTGTTACCTATTCTTCAAAAAGAGCTGGATTTTTAATTATTTTATGTTCTTCAAGCTCAATTTTAAATTTGTTTGTCAATCAGCAAAAGCTAAGTTGGCTTTGTAGTGATTCTACAAGTTTCAGTCTTTGACTCCTCAAATAGATTCAAGAATTTAATTTTTTTTTTTTTTTTAACAAATAAGTTTGCATTTATCCGTGTTCTTGGTATCATAAAAATTAATTACATCTTCCATTTATTCTGTATATCTTAATTTTCATAGTATACGTCCTTTCACAATCATGTGAAACATACCAGTCTTCCTTAAATGCAACCAATTCAATTTAGTTATGATCAGAATTTGTCTTAATACTCAATAATTAAAGTTATTCCGTTCAGGTTGCATCAATTGTAAGTACCTTCTTTTCTCTCTGTGCTCTCATAAATTCATGGGATTATCTTTATATTCTTGTCTCACTTTAAATATCTTTTCTCGTTTCAATTTCTTACTTTTTCAGTTTTTGTCTCAGTCTTTTTAAGGATTCACAGATTGAAATTCTCCTTAGCCTTGAAAAATCGGTTAGACCTGTAAAAAGTAATTATATATCCTATGGGTAAGTCTGCTTCGATTTTGTAAAAGTTTTTTACCTTAACCTTATAATTAAACAGTAGATCAAAATGAGACCTAAATGTCCTTCACACATCGTCGTTCTCTGCACAAAGGAACGTATAATGATTGAGTTGTTTCAGTATATCTTACTAACATTTTATTTTATGACCAGAGAGCCGTCACAGAAAGCCTGAAATTTCTGAAGGGTTTTCTTTGTACTTCTTAGGAAAGACGCTAAAATTTTCAAATAATGCTGTGCAACGATTCTTTCGTGAAAAAAATAAAATGTTTGTAGCAATACTGAAATAGTGTAGGCAAGATGCGTACCTTCAGGCGGAAGATGACAAAGTATACCCATACAAATCGAGCTTTGTGATCAATATTCTTGTGTATGAATGATCTGCAATATGTCTGATTGGGACATTTTATTGGTCATTCATAAAAGAGTTAGAACATCATGTGTTGCGAGAAATTTATTTGATTTAAAACAATAATGTAAAGTAAACGACAACCTCCATAGTAACAGGTAAGCAACTTCCACTCTGGTGTCTAGTCTAGGTCATTGTTTGATTGCATTGAATTCAGACCTTTTGGTGGGAATATATTTTCATCTTCTTATCAAATGGGGTTCTACTTCTCTCTACTGTGAACTTTGATTGGAGTTAGTTGCAACACTTGATTTTTGTCTGTACTTTCGTTACTCTTCTGATGCCTTATTCCCTAAGAAATTGAATTCCTCAGAAGAATTTCCCCTTTCTAGAAGCATGCAATTATTCTGACACCTTCAAAAGAAGTTATTATTTACAAAACTACCCTTCATATCGATCAATGTCAGTTGATCAATGTTCCTCCAGCGCACCCCTGTTCTCTTTTTATGAATGAAAAAATATCCTTTTGGAATGTATTTTCAGCATCACTTCTATTTTATTACTTTTTACTTTCACATTTTGCATTATAGCATCTTATCTTTGGAACAACTCTTTTTCACTGGGTGCAATCACAATCTTTCAGACTCATAGATGAAATAACAGTTGCATCATTCATCATTTGCATTATTGTCGGGGTCTGATTCTTTGAAAAGCTTTACAATTTTTTACTCAAATATATCAGAATTTCTGGACATTCATTATTTCTTTTTCTCATTATTTAGATGTGAATGAATGCAGTGCAAATCCATGCGGAGAAAATGCTGTGTGCACAGATACAGTTGGTAGTTTTGTTTGCTCTTGTCGACAAGATTATACTGGAGATCCGTATAGAAAGTGTGTTGGTGAGTATTTTTCAGCTTTATCCTCTTTTTCTCATCTAATGGTCAAAATTGCCTTCTCTTTTGCAGAGTCACTAATTCTAATTTGTGTTTTTTTTGTGGACTCTTTATTATGAGAGAAAACGTTTTGAAATACCTCTCATAAAATTTGGTGCAAAATAATCCCACCAGCATTGTGAATTCCTATAAATTTTACTTGGCCAAAATCTTGGTTTTGAAAATTTTGACACAGCCAGGTTTGGGTATTTAGCCAACCTGAAGTTCATTACGATAATTTTTTAATCATATTGAATTATTAGCCCACATTATCTATTTTAAATATTCAAAACAGGTTGCATTCAAAAAGTCTCTCTTGATTGTTCATCAATTTGAAAAATAGAAACTGTTTTTAATAATTGCGTAATCCTAATTGCAATTTTTGTAATTTTAGATATTGATGAATGTGCTATTTTGGATAAACCGTGCGGACAAAATGCAGTCTGTGAAAATACAGATCCTGGATTTACGTGTACTTGTCCTCAAGGATTTGCTGGAAAACCAGACCCCTCCGTAGCTTGTGAACAGGTGTGTTGACTTTTATAAAAGAGACAAATACTCCCGTATTCACAAAGTTTGTACCTTCAGCTAAATTACAAAGTAGAAAAGAGAACTTATCGACGGTGAAACTGCAGGAACAAGTATCTTGGTTTACAATGTAACATGTACCCTGTCATGCTTTATTTTTTAGATGGAAAAATACTCAACATCATTAATTGAAAATTCTCTTGATTTTTCTTCTCTGTGTGAAGCATTTTGCATGAAAATTTCAGGCAATAGCATAGGTTTGTTCTCCTTTGATAAAATAAAATGAGAGCAAAGATTCTGTAACACCATAGAAGAAATATGCTTTCCTTCAGTTTCATCATAGTTTTGTATTATTAGTTACTATTTTAAAATGGTTACCAGAAATTAATGAACTGTAAGCAACCTGAGGAAAGAACCTTATGAAAATAAAACATGAACTGCCAGAACCTACTTTGTCTCAACGTGAATGAAAAAAAAAAAAACTCAGGTGGCTGATATAGCACTGCAAGCTGCTGTCAAGCTGGAAAAATATTCTGATCTTCTTTTGAATGGCACCCTTGTATAACTTTCTGTTTATCTGTAGGTGGACGTTTCAGTACTCTGTGCAGTGAATTCAGATTGTGCAGAGCATGCTGAGTGTATTGAAGGCCAATGTTTTTGCCTGAATGGATTCAAAGCTCAAGGTTCTCTTTGCCATGACATTGATGAGTGTCTGTCCCTTCCTTGTGGACCGTTCTCTGTTTGTAACAACACCCAGGGAAGTTTTCAATGTAGTTGTATTCCAGGAAATGTTGGAGCACCTCCAAAAATACCATGCAAACGTAAGTAAAGAAGTAAACAATTATGCTAATACCTTCCAATCCAAAAATCAATTTGCTTGCAGGTTTTACAAAAATGAGATCCCATCTGCTGATTTCAGTCATTGCCTTTCTCTAATATTTTGCATGACCTCTCTGTAGAAATTTTTTCATGATTTAATTTGAAAATAACTAAACCTGTATAAATTAGGGGAAGGAATTCACAAACGAATTTTCTTTTGAAAAAAAGACGAAAAGAAAGCTTTGATCATCATGTCTTGTTAAAAAAAAAGAATGGAGAAGACAAATGAAATTCATTAATTGGGAACTGCACAACCCTAAATTGTGGAGTCTATTCAATTACTAGTGTTAAAGTATTCAATTTAATAAAAAAGTTAATTGAGTACCACAGGTGAGCAATTAATTTTTTCCCTTCGTTTTTACATTCCAATATTCATCTTTATTTCAGCTCCATGTGATGATATCAAATGTGGTGAACATGCATTTTGTAAAAACAATGAACAAGATGCATACTGTATCTGTGAGGAGGGTTGGACATTTAGTCCTGCAGATGTATCAGCAGGCTGCATTGGTGAGTACATTGTTCATTTTGCTCTACTATTTATTTTAAAGTAGTTTTTGTCTTGTTTGCAGTATTGAATTTGTTATGCAAGTAGAATATATTAGCATTGTAGTTAATCATAGTATCCAGTAGTATCGTAGTATCCAAGCTGTCTCTATTTTTCACTTCTCTGATCTCTTGCGATTGACGTAATTATGACCTACCGGTCTTCATTGATGAACGCATAATCAAAAATCATTGATGAACGCATAATCAAAAATCATTGATAAAAACATAATCAAAAACTATTCATCAATGCGTAATCGAAACTCGGGAGAAATGTGTAATATTTACAAATCTAGTGGCTTCATCCATTGGCTCCTTTTTTTGTGACAGATATCAATGAATGTGACCAAGTTCACGGTGTGAATGGTCAGTGCGGCTTGAACTCCATTTGCACCAACTCTCTTGGAGGTTTCAACTGCGAGTGTCAGCAAGGTTATTCAGGGAATCCCTTCAAACAATGCTTCGGTAATGCCAGTATTGATTAACATATTTATTGCTTTTTAGTTATCCTCCTTAGATCGAAATTTATATTGCTTGACAATTCCCCCATGCCAAGGAAGAACGCTGTATGAGCCTTCAGACATCGCTAAATTTATTTTAATAAAATTCAAATTTTCAGAGACATCTGTGAATATTTGCCTCACTCCAATTTTTTAGAAAATTTTATTTACAATCAGATCTAAATTATCTGAAAATTTCAAGAAAAATATTCACAACTCTCCTCAAAAATAAACATTATATAGGAGGAAATTTGGCAATTCTGGAATGTTCATAAGGCGTTTTTCTTAAGTGCGGCAGAATGGTAGAAGCTGCATTCTCAGTATCTTATTTGTAAGTCTTCCTTCTTTTTATCAGGCCTCCTACAGGCAATTCTCATGGACTGCAAACATCGCTTTTATACCTTAGTGTATCAATAAAAAATTTCATTTTTTCAGTTGCTTATACAAATTTGGAAGAGGTCTTCAAATTCTTTCATCACATGTCACCATCTGCAAAAATTAGGACCTGAGTCAATAACACAAGATCAAATTTGTAACATAGAAATAAATAAACTCAATTCACAAAGAAAAGAAATAGAAAAACTGATCCGTTCCAGGGCGTCTATTCTCCTCCGCAAGGCAGATTCTGGATGAACTCACGAACTTTGCCAAAACTTTGAGGATAACATGCTGCTTAACAAGCTAAGTGGCACCAACTGTAGAGTAGCGCTTATAATATCAGTAATATCACGTTTGTGGTATATGCTGCAGCAGTTGTCAGAAAAAAGTGTTCATGTTAAAGTGTGTGTGTAACTTAATTTAGAAATACTTTATTTAAGATTTCTCCTATTATTTTTAAAGATATCGATGAGTGCCAGCAAAATCCATGCGGAGAAGGTGCACTGTGTGAAAACACTGTCGGCTCTTTTGAATGTTCTTGTCCGCCAGACTGGCTGCCTGATCCAGATCCATCCACAAAATGTGTGCCCATCTTAACCTGTAAGGTTGACAAAGACTGTCCAGGCAACGCAATTTGTTATGATAAGAAATTCTGTCACTGCCCAGAGCCAAATATTGGCTCAGATTGTGTCAGTAAGTATATTTTAACTAATTTATCTTAACTTACTGTTGCTTTAATTTTTTATTGCATGCAATTTTGAAGGAAAAATGTAAAATGTAGTGGTTTGATTCACTTGTCTCTTGGCCAATTTAAAACAATGTCAATGTTACCAACATTGTTGATTTATTGAAATTAAATTAAACCACGAAAATGTAAGTGCAATTGCACAGTTCTTAAATGTTATTTCACTCTTTTGTTCATTTTCTGACCCATTCTCACGTTAATTTTCCCTGCATTTCTTTTTCAGACCCATGTGATGCTGTGTCCTGTGGTACAAATGCGGAATGCGTCATCTCCAACAATGAGCCCAGTTGTGTTTGTAGCCCAGGCTTTACCGGCACAACTCCAGACGGATGTGTTGATATTGATGAATGTGACAACAACCCATGCCCAATCGGTGCTGTCTGCCATAATGAACCAGGAAGTTTTAGCTGCAAGTGTCCTGGGGGCACTGTTGGTGACCCATTCAAACAAGGTATTTGCTTTGCTCCTTCATTTTCATTCAACCTTTTATCTGTATCGATATTTTTGGGGCACTTATGAATGGCCTTATATAAGCAAAGGAATTTATCCAAAAAATCATGAATGTAGTAAATGGTTACATTTCAGGCAATACGAATGTCAAGGACAAAACTGCTGATGAAAGTGAGTCATACTTTGATAATTCGAGATGAAAAATATTTTTGGCTATTCGCAACAAATATTGCGGTACTTCTTAATATCATCATATACGTTGACTCTCCAGAACATTTTTTAAAAATACAGGAGGCTTGAACTTTTGACAAAAATTGATTTTAAAATCGACAAAGAATTCAAATCAGCAGAAATCATAATTGTGAATTCCAGTTTACACTAATTAATTACCAAAAATGGTGTCTCTGGAGAACAAACAATGTGCACAACCTAAAAGTGTTATCAAACATGATATCCTGAAATTCTTACCACTTTCCCTTCTTTTCTTCAGGTTGCAGTCAGGCAAAAATTCAAATCGGATGTGGTCCCGAAAACCCATGTCCTGGATCTGAATTGTGTATTCGAGACGATTTTTTAGAGGAAAGTGTATGCATTTGTCAACGAGGCTACCTACGAGATGCAAAAACAGGGAAGTGTCGTGATGTAAATGAATGCACAGAACTGCGCGATAAACCAGTTTGTGGTGTTAATGCCATTTGCAAAAACTTGCCTGGAAGTTACGATTGTCAATGTCCTCCAGGCTCCAACGGCAATCCTTTCAACAGTTGTGAGGGTGAGTAATTGTTGTTTTCCTTATGCTACTGCCATCAACGAATATTTCCCTCTAAAGCAGAGGAAAGATTCTTGACAAAAAATAATTGAATTTTTTTTATCTTTCCAATAATTACTCATTTTACCAAGTTTGTTGGATAGAGCTTACAGAAATTCTCCTGATTCTCAAAGCTTGGAGAGTTGAATGACAAATTTTGACACCTGAATCTCACAGGTACAAAGAAGCTGCACTCTAAATTTCCAGAGCTAAGACTTACATCATGCTGTACTGTTTTTCTCTTTTCTTTCTTTTTTTCTGTAAGAGTTCTTAAATGTGTAAATAGAAACCCGAAGTTAAGAAGATTTTCCTTTTTTTTACAGAGTGTAACTCATCGGAGTGCCAGTGTAAGCACCCCTATCAACTCTTGAATGGAGAATGTGTTCTCGCAGGTTGCGATAATGGACAGTGTCCAAATGGAGCCGAGTGTATCACTATCGCTGGACAAGTCAGTTATTGCGCTTGCCCTAAAGGATTCCGTCGCCAAGAAGATGGAGTTTGTGAAGGTATTTAATGAACAAATGTACATAACTAAACTTTTAATGCCTCACTTTACAACGATCCTAACTCTTTTTTCTGAGCTTTATTATCAATTAAGCCCATTTTTATGCTATGATAGTTGCAAATGTTCACAGATGTTCAGAGATTTTATTCACTCTGCTCTTGTTTTCCATCGCTTTTTTTTTTTTNTTTTTTTTTTTTTTTTTTTTTTTTTTTTTTTTTTTTAATTGATTGAATTTAAATTTTGCTAAACAGCACAGCAAATTCACTGGAGATTGATGTTTATTGTGAAGGTAGGTAGCACATAGGTTCCTCCCAATTTCTGAATATATTCTGGAAATTCGTTTCCTTTACTGTGAATGCACTAATGCAGTCATTTTGTTTATAACGCAGCTTTCTCAGAGGATTCTTGAGGGATTTATTGTTTTTTAAGAAATGTGTAAATTCCTCGATATTTTTCACGGTTTTTCAAAAATTTCAAAACTTCAGTATTTAATTGATCACTTTTTTTTTTCAATCAACACAAATGAATATCCCTAACTTACATTTCGTCCTTAATTTACTGTGCAGATATTGATGAATGTGCTGAAATTGCACAAGCATGTGGCTACGGAGCGGAATGCATCAATAAAAGAGGAGGCTATGAGTGTCTCTGTAACCAAGGAACATCTGGAGATCCATATATATTGTGTTCTCCTGCACAGATTAAATGCTTCAACCACCATGATTGTCAGGCCAATGAGAAATGCATTCAACCAGGAGAATGTGTCTGTCCCCCTCCTTTCATCACAGACAGGATGGATGGGAACAAGTGTAAAAGTATGTTTCTTTCTCAATAATTGTTTGCATTTTTATACCTAGCAGTACTCCTAACTCAGTGCATATATTCCCATTCCATTAAATGAACTTACATTTTTCACAGTTTATTTATTTTTTAAAGTTATCGCTTTCTTCTCATGCCGTCAGTGAAATTTAGATGTTCCTGTTGCTCTGGTCTAATTTCTACCACAATTAGTAGTTGAAGAATGTGCGAATTCGTATCTATCTTTTTCAATACTGTTTTAATTTTTTAATGAACTTGATTACGAATGCTTTTTTTCAGGTCCATGTGAAATGTTGAGCTGTGGAATCAATGCTGAATGCAATCCGCATGATCCTCCTCGCTGTGTTTGTCGACCAGGGTTCACTGGTGACCCCCTTTTAGGCTGCATTGATATTGACGAGTGTGTTAACAGCCCATGTGTTGCAGGCGCAAAGTGCATCAACGAACACGGCTCTTATCGTTGTGACTGTCCTAAAGGTGTAACTGGAGAAGGATGTAAGTGAGATTTAATTGCTTTGAAGAAATTCATTATTTTCAGTATTGTATTTTCACTTTGATCAGTTATTCAAAAACATGTAAAAAAACTATCTTTTCTTATCTTGTAACACCTTGCAGGTATATGTTTCTCAGTAGGTGTCAATCCAATGTCCTGCTTTTGTTTTGTTTTATCTCTATTACAACTGAATTTAAATTTGTAAAGTATTAATATCATAATGATAAACATTGACCGATGAGGCATTTAGTACCAAAATACAAATTTAGCTTTTTCATAAGTGGATATGAAATAATAAAATTAATTTAAAATTGAAAAGAAAAAGATAAAACCAATCAGTAGACCGTCTCATCTCGCAATACTTACAATTGGGTGCCAGATACAAAATTCCTAATTGATCGATAGCTTCTTCCCAGACCCGCTGAATACAAATCCAAAAGGTTGCGTTCACTAAAATATAAAGTGAAAAACAGGAGTCAAAATTGATTTTAAACTCTTTTTGACTATGAATAATTTGGATCTGATTAGAGCAAGTGCATTTTTAAGTCAGTGAACTCCTCTTCTCAGCTCTTTGACTTGAGTTGTACAGTGTCATAATCCCCTGATCCTTCCATCAACTAAAATATAAGTTTTGCAAGGTAAGGAAGTATTTTGACTGGTTTTATCCATAACTATTAAAATATTTGTAAACCAAGATCTCTTCTTCAAGCTGGATAACTAGTATCTATTTCGTCAAATCCTGGAAGTTAAGTACTGTGTCCTCAAGGAGCCATTGCGTGCTGTATCCATGCGAAGAGGATAGTATTCAGTTTTTCAATGTTAACAAACTTTGATTTCAAAACAGCTTCATTTCATTTTACAGGTGCAGATAGGTGCTCCCGCAATCCCTGCGGTGAAAACACCCGATGTCGGGATGTCAACAATGGCTATGAGTGCTCGTGTTTACCTGGCTGCAGTGGTGACCCTCTTAAAGGTTGCAATTGTGAAACCAACAGATTAGATGCCTGTAGCGGTCATGTTTGCGGAAAAAATGCTCTTTGTCGCATGACCTCTGGTTCAGAACCTGAATGTTACTGTCCTCTGGAATTCCCAGTCGGAGACCCAGACTCAGAATGTAAGCACTGATTTCAACATTGTTTCTCATTCTTTTTGGAATCAATTTTTGAATTTTTCAGCCCTGTCTTTTCAAAAATTTTGTTTTCCTGTCTTTTTTCTTATTAGTATGATCAATATTGTTTCTTAATAAACTCAAAATTTCAACTCTACAGGTTTCGCCAAGAGAATTCCTGTGGATTGTCGTGTCAGTGGCTGTGGTAAAGGAGCACATTGTGTGCTAGTTGGCTCAGATTATTCGTGTCAATGTCCCCCTGGAACAGTCGGGAATCCAAACAAAGATTGCATTCCAGGTAAAATTTTTATTTTTAGTCTAGACTTTTTCCGATCACTTTACAATTTCCTTTCAACTCATCCTAACTCAATCATAAAAATAAATCATTATTTTTCTTGTCTAAATGGAGAGGAACTGAAATGAGAACATAGCATTTAAGGTTCATCTAAATAGTGAGTTTCCCCCTTTTATATCTTCCAAATTAAAAGTGGTATATCAAATTGGTGAAATAGTACGTATTAACACACTCTCAGGTTTAAAACAAGCCCACAATTTTAAAACGCATCGAGGTATTTGTGAGAAAATTCAAATTTACTGGGACCACCTACTAAATCCCTACTGTAGAGGTGAACGTGTGTCCATGAATTTAAGTTTTTCAACAAACCCTTGACCATTATTTCTCAATTTATCTAGAAAGCAGGGATTTTAGATCTGATCTAAATGAGGCCAATTTGTGTGGAGTCAGTAAGTTTTGTGACTGAATTCGTGATATCAGAGAGTTTCAGGAAAGAGGGAAAAAAAATCTCCTCAAAATTCAAGTAAAATTATTGTTTATTGTCAGCTGGATTTTTCAACCATCTTTTACGAACGAAAATTATGTCATTCATATTTTTAAATATCAAGGGTCTTCTTTCAATCTCATTTTTTCCAGGAAGAGCATTAGAAATTCCTGTTCTTCCTTGAATCATTATTTCCTTCAATCAGACTGACAACTATTATTCTTTGCTTTTACGAATATTTCTCTGTTTTTGCTCTGTAAATACTCTCCTCTTTTTGAGAAGAAATATTTTTTTCATCCCACCTATATATCTCCTTATATTTTTCCATCTGCACTTATGTTATGAAATTATTTGGTTTGTGAATGAAAGATGATGGGTATACAGATTTAAAACCTTTCGAAATAGTTGATCCTTGTACAAAATAGAGTCCCTTTTTTTGCTTCCTCCTGCTTTTGGTTATTTAGAGCAATTCTGTATAGAAATTTTATTATGAGTTGAACCACCATTACACCATTGCATTTCAGATATCATTCTTCCACATATCATGTGAAACCCCGACCCGAGTTTGATGGTCTCAAATAATGGTTGCCTGGGGCTGGTTCAGTAGGGACGGANCATCTGCACTTATGTTATGAAATTATTTGGTTTGTGAATGAAAGATGATGGGTATACAGATTTAAAACCTTTCGAAATAGTTGATCCTTGTACAAAATAGAGTCCCTTTTTTTGCTTCCTCCTGCTTTTGGTTATTTAGAGCAATTCTGTATAGAAATTTTATTATGAGTTGAACCACCATTACACCATTGCATTTAAGATATCATTCTTCCACAAATCATGTAATCAAAATGTTTTTTTTATTCATCTATGAAAAAGTAATTTAGATCCATCCTTACACAAATTTTTTTTTTGAAAAAAAATGAATGAGCTTCGTATATTTTGCATCTAGAACAGATCATCGAAGCTTTTCCTTAATTTGAAGTGGACACTCTTCCTTCTGCTATACTTTATCTTGTGTAGGTGTATTTTTTTTTTTTTTTTTTTTTAAATNNTTTTTTTTTTTTTTTAAATATGGTTATCATTGACCACTGATTTTTTTGCCCCCAAGTGGAAAGAACCAAACAGTTGCATTTGTCTTGATCTTTAAAATTGACATGATTGAAGTCGAGCAATGAATGTTTTCACATTTTGATTCATTTTAATAAACTCTTTTATGTAAATATTCTTTGGGTAACTTCGTGATGGAAGAATCTTTGTTCATACAACTCATAATTAACATCTATAAGCATCATATCACTGACTGAACTCCAAGAGAATGTACTTTGATCACTCTTGTTTCGAAATATCAGTTCCTATTTTATTTATTCAAAGGCAAAAGGCCAACTTGATTGAAATTTCCATTGTAAACTTCTCAAAAAATATAATTAAAATCACAGAAATTTTCATGAAAATTTTGTTTTCTGCTCTCCAATTTAAGAAAAAAAGTAAAATTAGGATATTTGCAAAGTTCTGAATGCAGATATGCCGTTTCTGAGTTTAACCATCAATATCTTCAACGTCTGCAATTTTTGTCATGGTGACTTAGTTAAGGACTGTCCATTGGCCCTACAGACTTTAAATTTTGCTGTGTTAGACTTCACTTCTTGAATACTATTAAAATTGTAAAAGATTCTTTCATCAAGACAGTGCACCGTCTATTTTTGTAAAATATGTGTAAATTATTACTTTTTTTTGCATTTTGACTGTCTAAATGTATAGCAATTTCTTGTTATGTCCCTTTTTCCTCCATAGAAAAAGAATGTAGCAGCAACAGTGACTGTCAGTCGGACAAAACTTGCTCAAATCATCAGTGTTTGGACGTGTGCAGTGTTAAAGGTGCTTGTGGTCTCAACGCCTTGTGTGAGCCCGTTAACCATAGACCTAAATGTTCGTGTCCTACATGTTACATTGGCACTCCAAAGACTGGTTGTTACCTGGACTCAAATTGTAGTAGTCTCTCTAGTCAAAAATGTTCCTTAAATAGTGATTGCCCATCAAACTTGACGTGTATTGATGGGTTTTGTAAAAATCCCTGTCTCTATATAGACAATAAAAATATTTTAAACTGTACAAATCATAAAAAGTGCCATGTTCAAAATCACAAGCCCGTGTGTATTTGTGAAACCGGTTATGCAGTCAATGAATATGGAGACTTGATTTGCTCACCAAACAAGGTAGAGTGTCTAAATAACGATGACTGCCCTTCAAATTTAGCGTGTTACAAAAGTAAATGTAGTGACCCATGCGAACATACTCTTTGTTCGGCCAACAAAACCTGCAGTGTTCTTGCCCATCAACCTGTCTGTATGTGCACCAAAGATTGTCAACCGTCTACATTGTCCATTTGTATGAGAGACTCAGGATGCCCCCCTGATTTAGCATGTCGCAATTACTTGTGCATCAATCCATGCGCCAATTTCAGTTGTCCCGCTCGTTCTCCCTGCAATGTTGAAGATCACAAGCCTGTTTGCAAATTTTGTCCTGTCGGATTTAGCGCTGACAGTAAATTCGGATGTGTGAGAGGTAATTTCTCTTCCTTTTTGTTTTGTACATAGAACTGTCCAAAAAATTGTTTTTCTCCCTCTGTCTCTCAGAGTAAGTTATATATTTTTTGAATGGGACAGTAATCAGAAAATCTCTTGTAATCCCTGACTCCAAATATATTTATAATTTAATTTTTTATACATCTCAATTCTGTACAATATCACCGTAAAAGAAGGTTTTCTTTAAAACCATTGAAACACTCTTTGATGTAAAATTATTCTTTCCTCCCGTGTGTAATTTTCAAAGCTTTCAAGGACAAACTTAATTCCTCTATCTTCGTTCTTGTATAATTTTACCCCTAAGTGTACGGTTGCACGAGTTTTATTTTAATTCTATATTTTTTGATCTCGTCTATTCATTTATTTCTTCATCGTAAGTTCCCATATGTCCTCCTGTTTTTAGGCTTCATATATTCTCTTGTTTTTAAATTGAAAGGTTTATTCTTCCTCTCTAGCAAATCATTTTTATTTGTTTCTCTTTTAAGCTTTATCTTTAATTTCTATGGCAATATTTTTCCTTATTTTAATTGCTTTTTTCGATTTTTGTTCCTCGCTGAAGAATTTTAATGCATGAAATCATGCTTTCAATAGGTCTCATTGCTGCCTTTGGAATGATCTGTGTGCGCCATGCGGTATTAATTATGAAAGGATTTCCTGAATTCTACTGACATGTGTTTTTTTACAGCTTTCATTTGTTTTAAGTGCCGTACAGGTGTAAATGCATTGCATTTTTAGAGTTTAATACTATTTAGTAAGATTACCTATTATACGAGATCCTCTAAATCTGCAGCAATTAAGAGTCAGTGTTACAGGTTTCTCATTTTTTTCTTCATTTTTCAATACACAAATTATTCTCCTTTTTAATCTTCACTTTTTGGTCAGAAAATATTCCATGAAAAGTATTACAAATCTCAAGAAGTTAATAAATCGATAGAGGTTTTTTTACTTCTGTATGGGCTGATTACGCTATCTAGGAAACTTTATTGCCACCTTGGTTTAAAAATAAGCTGAGAATGTGTTTTCTTTTTCTCAAAAATTTCACAACTGCACCAAGAAGGCATTATTTGACTCTGTTCGGAATTATAATGTTCTGTCACTTCATTTTTAAGTCACTAGTGACCAATAAAAATAAAGAAAATGAGTTTACTGATTTCTCAGTTCTAATTTCTCATTTGCTTTCCAAGTGTAATTTATCCCTCTCCAGTTTTGTTCTGGTATTAACGGAACTTTCTTTTTTATTTCAGCTGATTCGCCTGGTTTTATTTGGCATGGGTCCAGCACTCTCCTTGATTTACTATCCATTTACCTCCAAGTTGGTCCGAGTTCCTCACTCTTTGCATTTTGAATTTTCCCCTGGAACTTTGGGGTTACCCACTCAGCTCTACCATCATCACCCCCCTCTATAATAATTTACCTTTTTTACAGTGGTGCTTTTTGTCACCTTCATAGTGAGTCATCTTTACAATTTCCGTTGCCCAATGAAATGAATTGCATGAATAACTTATTCATGCGTTAATTTCTGCTCTCACTGTATACTTAGTCACCTCATTCCTTCAAGCATGGTTTGACTTATTACGCAAGCTTGCTTATCAATTGTTTGCCCTCTTTGTTCTTGCGCTTGCCTACTCACATTTTAGCAAGGTCATACAATTTTTTATCCATCAGTTATGGCTCGGAAGAAAGTTAATTGCCATGCTGCGATTGCTGCCTGGCAATTTTTGACAAATGTCATTCTTACAGCAAAATCTTGCTTTAGTCGGTAAAATCTTTGAAAAATTAAAGAGCTTCTAAGGGTATATATTTTCATAGTCGGTAAGGTATTGCATGATCACTTTAACTATAGCTAAATTTTTCCTGCATGTTATTTAGTTTTTACTTTTTTAAAAAGATATAAGGCTTCTTTGGTCTTGCTCTCTATTGCTGATGGTTACTGTATTTTGATTCGAGTATAAAAACAACTACCTACTACGTAATGCCCATTTTAATAGGCAGCAGTCGCGTATAAATAACTAATTCCCACAGTTCTTTGGTTGGAACTCGTGGACCATACATTACAGGTCATTATTCTAACTTTTCTTTAATCCTAGAGCATTTGATTGTAGTATTGAAAGGTTCAGCTAATATTTTAAATTATTTTCCCCAATAATCTTATCTTTAAAATCATAAGAAATTCCCTCTTAAAAAAATCCATAAACTAGGAAATGTCAGTTATACTGTAATGCGCTTGGTAACATACCTTAGTTGCTGATGTATTTTTCTTCTCTTGTCTTTTGCAGTTTTCTTTTAGTGATTAAACTTGGAGACTTCTAAAACTTAGCATTGTAGATAATTTTCATTTTTTTATGTTCTCAAATTGTACCTTCATGATTATAAAAACAGGTGTCACTATCTTCTAAACTGTCATTATTGTTACATCTACAGTGCACTACGGTGTATATTCGATTTTCATGTAATCTAAGTCTCTCTCTTTCTCTCTCTCTCAGGCAAAAAAATGACAATTTTTTTTACCATGTCTCTTCAAATGTGTCACTGTTCTCCTGTGGAAACATTCTATGAATTGTATTTACAATTATTAGCCTACTGGACTTTATTTCTTGGAATGCTTTGAAAGCAGGTTCTATTTTGGGACCGAATTCTTCGTAAATGGACTGTTCTTCAATTTTACTTTCAACACTTTAAACTACAAATTTTACAGGTAGTGTCACTCAAAGATTCTTTCCTGTTTATGTCCTTTGTTCCATCAAAAAATGTTCACAGAATTTTTCGTTTATTCTAGCTGTTGGTTGTGTGGACAACGAAGAGTGTGCCCTGAATATGGCCTGCATAAATAACCAGTGTCAAAATCCTTGCCATATGAATAATCCTTGTACCAATCAACATGATTGTCAAGTGCAAAATCATCAACCTGTTTGTGTCAAAGGTGATTGTCTTATTTTTTATTTTATGTCAGGTATCACTTGTTATCTTGGTGTGTGCTGAGAAGTGTATTTCACTCACAATTCTTCCTTTTCAGAAGTCTGCTTGAAATAGCTTAAGTCTCTGGAAGATTTGGATAATTTGTTAAACCAGATAGAGAAAAACACTGACCACCTTTCAAATTTTAAGCTTTCAGTGTATTGTAAAGGTAGAAATGATAGTAGCGAAGCATTATTGTATTTAAGTGTCAAGGTGGAGTACATTGCTCATGAATGTCACAAAAATCCCATTTTATGTAGCACAACAAGTACGTGCAAATAGAGGGAGAAAATGCATGTATTTTGTATAGGAGCTTCAAGGGACCAGTGAATTAATCAATTACGGAAAGCTCTCCGTCAGGTTAAGCCTTAATTAAAGTCTCAAGATATGAATAATTTTAAAATGAATGTTGCTTTACTAAAAGTTTTATCACTTTTTCCCTTGTTTTCATGGTCCTTTTAATGTTTCTTTCAGTTTGTTCGTGCCACAAAAATTCAAATTGTGGCCCCAATCACTACTGTGATGGATGCCATTGTGTCATTGATCCTGCTAGTAAGTAATTTTTAAATTTGAACTTCTTTAAAATACAGTATAGTTTATTATTTTGCAATTGATTTCGAAAAAAGCAAATTGACATGAGTCTCTTCTAACCACGAGGATACTCAAAATATAAATAAATTTAAAATCCAATGCTACCCAATATGAAACAATATTATGGACAGTATCCAAAACCTCATCTCAACAGCTTATAAGACCCCATCAATCTTCTACTTTTTTGCATGTTTTCAATTTTTAGCAAACTATCAAATGCCTTCAACGAATTACTCTGAAATTAGAAGGAAACAGTCACATCTTTATTGCTGTGTTTCAATATCCCATCTCCTAGTTTCATTTTTTTGCAAAAAAACCATCCAACATCCCCACCCGAAAATTGTTGCAATATTTTTTACCCATATGAAGATTATTTCCACAAAATTTTAAGCAAGATATATTGGTTGGTTTCCTTGCAAAAAATGAAAATAGGAGATGAGATTTCGTGAGATTGTTTTGCTTAATTCTATACAAGTCTAAGTGCTACTGTGTAGCTAATATAGGTTTGTCCAAATGAATGAAAATGTAGCGGCTAATAAAACAGATCCTGTGTCTGTAATTTCCCTCCTACTTCCATCAAGGTTGAATTATTAATGTGCTGTATTTTATCTCTCTCTGGTAATCTCGGGCCTCCTCAATGACTGCTTTGTTCGTTATCCTTTCCTTTTATTGCTTTGATTTCAGGTCGAACCCAGTCACCTCTGCCAGGCTGCGAACATTGTCCTCCTGGTGTGAGGTGCGATCCTTTCACCGGAGCCTGCATGAAAAGTAAGAGTGTCTGTTTGAATCCTCACTTCATACAGTTTCATAATTTTTATGAATTTCAGTCATAAATCAGTGATATGAATTTTATTATCCTGCTCTGTAGAACATTAATTCTCTTTGAAGTCTAGTTTCATCGCCAAGTAAATAATTCATTCATTCATTTCAGTGAATGATTCATCCTCAAACGACTTACTTTTGGTTTTACAGACTTTATTTTTCAGCGTCTGAATCTGTCGAGTCACCAAATGTAATTCCCTTCTTTGTTCAATCCAAGACATAATCATGGTTGAGAAAATGAGAGTAGTATTAAAAATGGATATCAACATCTCAAAATTTTGAAGAAAAAAAGTTTTAGAATTAAAGACTATAAAACATGAAGATATTGAAAAAATTAAAATTCCCTCCTCTTTCTGCCCTCTGTAGCATTTCTAATTGAGCTCAGACCTAAACGTTTGCAAAACTCTATGATTGTTTACAAATTCGTATCAGTGGTTTTTGATTTTCACCATTTTTAATCAATATTCACTAATTAGAAACATAAATTTCCATTGATGTGTTGCTGTTTTGAGAAAACACCCTCTCCCTCATCTCGAAACCCCTCCCTTTTCTCCTCCTCCAGACCTCGGAAATTAATAGGATTTGTTGGACACAAGTCATTTGGGTTATCCGTTCAGCAAGGGCCGATCAAGAAGTCTGAAGAAGAATACGGATCAAACGGTGGAGCAACCTTCATTCTCTTACTCTTGACTTGGCTGTCTTTCCAATTTCTTTGATGAAACTTTTGTAAATTTTTCTGTAAGCTCCATTTTCTTTAAAAGAATATCTTTCTCTTTGAATTTCTGTGACTATTATATGGTTCAAATCTAGATGAAGTGGGTAAGATTCCTTGAATGTACATGAGATCACTTTTTTCTCTTAGAATTAAAAATTCATGTAGATTGTCTCATTGAAGTGAGAGTAAATGGGCTTTGCATAATGGTTATAATTGTAAAAGAACAGATTTGTGATATAACATACCTTTCTTTCTCCAATTCCCTTCTATCTTCTTTCTTTTGTCGTTTTTGATGAATCATTCATTTTATACCCAACCACCCATCCAATTTTTTGTCCATATTTTTGTCCAATTTTGTACAGATACGAGTGTGTTGGGGTAGCACCCCTGATCATTGAATACATTATTGGTAAGAAACGTTGTAAATAAATAACCTGAGAAATTGGATTTCTAAATTCTTTGAGAAATAGCAACACATCTTCCACTAGTCTGTTTTAAGTATGACTTTTTCTAACTTATCATGTACATATGTATGTTTCTTTTTTTTGTGCATTCGTACAGTTTTTTCATCTACCTTAAAGTGTACATAATTGTCCTTTCTTCAGTTGTATATAAAGGGCTGTGGAGTGGCATTAGAAGCAGAGAAAGCTATTTTAAAGAGCTACTGAAATATCTTTTGCCTTTATTCGACCTCATTCAAAGATTTGATAATTGCTTTGATGGCTCATGATGATTCGATTTGATGATTCATGATGATTTATTCAAAAATTTGATATTGCGATCAGTCCCTTTTATCTGCCTAACATTGCTTGTGTAAATTATTGAATTATACTGGGTGATGAAAGGGGACATTTCTAGAAAATTCAGGACCACTTTGAAAAATTAATTCGCTAACATACCCATCCAAGGATGCAATTTTTTTTTTTGTAATTAATATATTTTGTAGTTAGATTTTAAATATGCCTGTTTTCATCCTCGCTTCTGGGTGCATCTGTTATACGTGATCTTTACTGAGACAAGTCACATGTCAATTAGCTTTATGGAGCACTCATCTCTTTCCCCAAAATAATTTATCTTCAGTCTCTTTGTTCTCATGCTGTCAATTTTTTGAACCCTTTCATCGAAGAATATCTGCTCGATCTTGCTCACAAAAGCACTAGATTTGCCAGACTTTTTATGATCTAGTAAGGAATTTTCTGAAATTTCCTTACTGCATACTCATGAGCGTTTTAGTGATGTCTCAGTTTTGATCAAGATATTAAGCACCTACGAAAACCAAGTTCAACAGATAAGAATCCACCCGCGTCAACGGTTAACTGAGAAAAAAATGTTCAAAATAATCTCTGTTTTCCTGAAATATTTCCTTTCTCTCAACTTTGAATTTTTAATAGCAGAAAATATATGGCTAAACAAGCTCAATTCTATTTTAGACTGAATATCGACGGTGTAAGTCCACAACCACGTATCTCGGTTTGCGACTTCCTGTCATACTTATTTTTTTTAAAAGGAAAACTAACAAACAGCCATTGTCAAAAACTGCTGTAATTTCTCTTCTCAGTGCAAAAAATTCTATAAAAACTTTAAGGGATGATGTCAATTTGTTCTCCTTTCAAAAAACATAATAGGAGTGGAGTTTTTCAAACGAAATGAGTAGTTGTAGACTCTCACCATCAATATATTCTGAAATGTGGATTGTAGTTACCCCCTCTGCTTCCCCGCACTGCTTTCAATGACATATCTCAGATGCACTCAGCCTCTTGTACATATGTATTTAAATGTGTATCCGTGTGCTGTAAATATGTGTGTGTATACTAATCTATCAATGGTGTAATATTCAATAGTGAATGGAACCGCTAAGTATCCTCATCCTTGCCAGTCTGACTCAGACTGTCTTGAGATTGAGGCATGTTATGATGGACAATGTGGAGATTTGTGCGCATTAGCAGGAACATGTGCTCCGTCTGCCGAATGTCAAGTCTACAAGCACAGACCCGTTTGTAAATGTCCCCCAGGTTATGAAGGAGATCCTGCTGTCAAGTGCTTTCTTCCTGAACCATGTAAGATATGCTTTCCTTAAAATTAGTTCCTTTTTCGTCTCTAGTGGGCCGAATGTTAAAAACACTTACCCTCAATTTCGAAGAGCTCATCCTGCTGAGGATTGCTGGCTGAAATTCAGCCTCATTGAAGAGAGTTAGTCTTACATATTTTGCTTTAAATTCTTTACAATTTTTGGAAAATGTTTTTTCTTTACAATACAGTCTTATCTTGTTATAAGTAAGGAATTTGAAGGTGAATTCAAAGTAGAAAGTTTTATCTAGAAAAGTGTTATTTTGATGAACGCTACAACCAGAAACGATTGGCCACAACCTCCAAGATCTGAATCATCTCTCCCAAAAAAGTGGTTTATTATATTGGGAAACATGATAGCAAGATATGACTGTATTTTATCCTCCATGAACAAATCTGGTACATTATCATAGCAGTGATTCCCTGGAAATTACAGGTAGAGGTAAGCGAAGGAAAATGTTCTTGAAAAGAGAATTTTTCTAGAAGTATTTGTATTCATGTTTAGATTTGTAAATAATTTCCTCTACTAAACACTGTTTGATCACAATGTTGGTGACCCTTATCTCCTCATTCTCGTCGTAGTGAATTGCTGTTTATTATGCTTCGTTTTCCTTCTTGTGTTTTATTAAAAACAAGTGAGAGTAACTTGAACTGATTTCTATCACCCTATGCAGTTTGAAGTTTTAACATGTCAGTTAAGGGAAATGTGCCTGAAAGTTCGAAATCATCTGATGTATTAAAAAAATATGAACATTTTATGGAAAGAGGCGACATTGAATTATTAGGTATTCAATTTTTTTCAATGATTCATGTAATTGTGAAGCCGAAGACTGTAAACAAGTCTTGACCAAAAAATAATGTTTTTTAAAAAAGGGGCTGTCTTTGAAAATATTAAACCAACATTATGAGATTAGGTATTTTTAAAAATGTTGAGACTGTTAACCACAGTGCTAATGATTTGGGGATGGGGGGGAAGTGCAGCCTGAAGTTTCTCTAATATGTATATTGCTGAATACATACTAACAATAAAGTTATTGTTATTGTATTATTTTTTTCATGTATTTATGTAAAATATGTACTATAAATATGGTTTTTTATGGCAAAAAACATCTTTTCAACTTTTGGTTTGTTGGAAACCATGTCTCTTCCTTTCCTATCATTTTCTTTTGTTCGTATACCCTTCAGTATCATGTGTTACCAATGCGGACTGCTCATTCATGGAGGCCTGCATAAACAAAATTTGTCAACACCCTTGTGATGTTCACAACCCATGTGCTCAAAATGCCATTTGCTCAAACACAAACCACGGAGCTTCCTGTGGCTGTATTGAAGGCTATGAAGGCAACGCTTACGTTGGCTGCACTGAAGGTTTGTATTTTTTTTTAATTTTAGTGTTTTTCAAAGTATTTCTCAATTTATTCAAAATCTTTTCAAGGGACTTCAGATCAGTGGGTATCATTAGTCGAAAATAAACATAAGTTTGGATCCTAAGTAGAGATGGGCTTTTATTGCTATTTACATATTGAGTTTTAAGAGAGAATTATGGGCAGCTCGTGTGTATAATTATGTGATTTCTGAATTAGAACTAACCGTCCCAGCAATTATCTCAGACATTAAAAATACAAACATAGCAATTTGTCAGAAAGCTGAATTTAGTCCACAAAATTGTTCGTATCAAATTCTTTTTGGTATAAGGTAATTCTTCTGAGTATACTCGAAAAGTTTAATAATTCTCTTTTTAATTTTGTAGTTGCAGCAAAATCTCAGCGATCTTGTCAGTACAACGGAGACTGTCCTTCAGATAAAGTTTGCGATCGGCTAAATCGGATTTGTGTCAATCCATGTTTCGAAGATTCTTGTGGTCTCAACGCCGTTTGTATTCCCGTCAATCATGGAACAGACTGCCGTTGTTTGGCTGGTTTTCATGGAAATCCATACCTCGGCTGCACATCAAGTAATATTTCACTACTTTGAAGTCAAATTCTCCTGTCTCACTTTTAAGCAATGCTCAAACTATATGCAAATAGGAAAAACCTCCTTGTAAGAATTATAAGAAGATATTTCTAAGATTTCTAAATTATCAGCTGGGGTTTAATTTTATAAAATTGAGCTGACTTAAATGGGATTACTTTACTCTGTTTTGATACTATTCTGTTTTTTCCTCAATATTTTTGCACTTCACTTAAAAGAGCGAAAACGTACTCTCACTAATTAAGGCAGAATATGTCTGTTTTTCCTCTTCCCTGAAGAAACAAAACTTTGAATCACCCTTCACGCTGGAGTACTAGTAGTCGCGTAGAATTACCAGGATACTTTGATGATCCCTGCACGTCTAATTATTGTCTGCTTTCTTTTAAGATTTTTTACTTTTTTCCTCTGATAACAAACTTGAGCGTTTTTAACTTTTTTATCTTTTGTTTTGCAGTCGTACAGTGCCATAATGATAATGAATGTAATGCAGATGAAGCATGTATCAATGGCAAGTGTAGCAATCCCTGTCGCTGTGGTCCAAATGCCATCTGTGAAGTATACTTTCACAAAGCGAATTGCAAGTGTTTAACTGGCTACTCTGGGAACCCTACAATCGGATGCATCGGTTTGTAATCTTTTTTGGATTAACATTCATGATCCCCCCCCTTTTCTTAAAAAAAAAAATAAATTAAGGACTGTTAACTTATTGCACAAAGCTTTATCTTAAAAAATGTATAAAGTTTGTTCTATGCTGTTCAATACAATGCAACGCTCAATCTGTTGAGAAATGGTTCATTTTTAAAGTGCATTTTAGTCTACCATCAGAATAAATTTTAAAGAAATTTTTAGCTCCTGTGTATTTGTTCCATTTCGGACTTTTTAAACTTCCCAAAATTCCTGTAATATTGTGTGGCTTCTTTAACCATTCACATAGCACTGCAAGTAGAGAGGCTACTAATTTAAAATGCTCTTTTTCAGCTCCAACAAATCCCTGTAACCCGAATCCTTGTGGTTATCAAGCTTTGTGTGAGGTCGATGAGGGCAATCCAATTTGTTTTTGTCCCAAAGGAATGACTGGAAATCCATTTAAAACTTGTAGTAAGTTGCACTTTATTTTTCTAAATTAATGCTTTATGTTAACTCCCATTGAAATTTCCAAAGTTTAATTCAGAATATTATCCTTGCAAATCAGCTTTTTAAATTAATACACTTACGAGGGGCATTCAATAAGTTTTTGTACCCCCTGTGTCAGTTTCACATTAATCATCTGGTTTTTAAGGACTGAGGATATATGGACGTATTTCTACCAAACGGAACTATGTGCATTAAGACATGGGCCCTGAGACCCATAAGATTACATGCATAATAGGGCTCACATCATAATGCACATAGTTCCATTTGATAGAATTACGTCCATATGGGAAGCTTAGGACACATTAAGTCAAAAGCTTAGAGTCAATGAGTAGTTTTTCAATTTAATTTGTCAGGACAAATTAAATTGAAAAACTACTCATTGACTCTTTCATCTTTTATATCTTACAAAGCTGTCAAATCTTACATGAGCCAGAAGGGTTTCAGTCCTGAATTTGATGGTTAAAGGAAACACAATTTATTTTAAGGCGCCGCCCTAATAATCATACACAGAAATTATCAATTTACTCGATCTCTTCTTTCAGTCCCTGAAGGCGATGAATGTTCACCGAACCCGTGTGGACCCTACTCTGGCTGCAGAGTGGTGCATGGAGCAGCTGTCTGTTATTGTTTACCGGAGTACGAAGGTGATCCTCCAAGCAAGCCGTGTCATCTACCAAAAAATCCTTGCTCACCATCACCATGTGGTCCCAACACTCAGTGCAGCCTTCTGAGCGATGGCTTTGCCAAGTGTACATGTCTGCCTGGTTACGTTGAAAGTCCCAATACAATCCGAGGCTGTGTTGAAAAACGTAATCGTTGTGAACCGAATCCATGTGGCCACGGAGCCATTTGTGATCCAAATCAAGCTCAGTCATGCTTCTGTCCAGAGCCTTTGATAGGAAATCCTTACCGTTCCTGCACAGGTAAGTTTTTTTAACTATCGTTTTGATAAAACTTCTTCAGTTTTATTAAATTACCAGCTTGCAACTTTTAATTTTATTTAATTCATTTAATTTTAATTCGTGAAGAATGAATGGTTTGTAATATTGTTTCTCCTTGCTCAAAATTGACCTGCAGCTTAAGTATCTGATTATCAGAGTGTAGAAAATAGTGATACAGTCATTTTACTCCTCAAGTACATAGAATTTCAATCCTAACTCAAACTTGTTTGACTTCAATAAAACATGTAATTGAATTTTTATTTATTCTTGTATTTTTCTCCTATGTAGAAGATGGAAAAAGTAATTATTTTTCTGCTGAAGATTGTATTTGATCATATATTAGAGGAATTTTAGTCAGTTTTTGCTGGTTTTTTGGACATTTTCCAATGTTTTCATTCTCTTAATTAATTTGTCCTCTCCAAAATTCAATTAAAATTATTTTCTTAGTTGATTTTTTACTGGCTCAGCAGTATTCATGTAAACATTATATGTTAGTGGTACGTACTTTTTTTTATTCTTTAAGTAAGACGAATTAATTCATTTTTTGCAGCACCCTCAAAAACTTTGTGTCTACCAGGCCCTTGTGGTCAAAATGCGGATTGTTATGTAGTTGGAGGAACTGAGCAGTGTTACTGCAAAATGACTTTTACCGGTGATCCATACACCTCGTGCCGTCCAGGTCGTTCTTCACCTTGTGATCCTAATCCTTGTGGACCCTTTGCAGAGTGCTCAATATCCCCTGAAGGTAATAATTGCCTCTCGTTTCATTATTTTAAAAATATAGATGCCCTGTTACTGAGAATATCCAGTTCTTAACAGGTCTTTTATGCCATGGAAGTCTCAAAGTAAATGTCTCTATTTATCCTAAATATAAACGGTGAAACTACCAAACCACAGATCTCTATGGCAGTATTTAAAATTTTTTGTTCATTTCTAATTATTTTTTGAGAATACTGTTTGACATATTTTGGCACAATTTTCAGAGCGAGTTGTTGAAAAGACGAAAAAATAATCAACAAAATATTGTGAAAAAATGATGATTGCCCTTTTTAAACAAGCAAAACGTGACAGGATAATTGCAATATCGCAAATCGAAATGTATAATTTGGTACTTTCATCATCGATACATCCCTGGCAGAAGTTCTTATAGTGTCAAAAACTCCTTGATTTTGAAGCTTTTCTTTTGGATTTTTTAATTTTTGAATCATTTGTACGTTTGCTATCAGCAAAAAGTCTATTCTCACTACCAAGGATTCCTCTACCATGTCTTCAAAATATTATAATATTCTAATTTTTTCATTTTACTTCCTCTCAGGAAAGCAACATTGTGCATGCTTGAGCGGAATGGCTGGAGATCCTATGAGCGGTTGTTCTGGCCCAGAGTGCCGAAGCAACAAAGACTGCTCTCCCACCCAAGCATGCTTAGGTTGGAAGTGTTTGGACCCTTGTCCTGGTGCTTGTGGAATCGGAGCTTCCTGCCGTGTAGAGAAGCACCATCCTCAGTGTGTTTGTGACAGTGGTCTGACTGGAAATCCTCTGATCAAATGCGTTCCAGTCACAGGTAATTCAGCTCATTTAAAATTTGCCCGGTTTCTTATAACTAAATGTCACCAATCTGACAAAACAAGTAAGGTTCCTTGCTGAGAGAAGAAACTCTATTTGAACACGGATAGTCTTTTCTTTGATGGTTCATCACTACAAAAAGCTATTTTCTGTTTGCTTCAAAATGAGCTTTCACAAAGCGCTCATGAAATTTTCCAGCCCGTAAAGAAAAATAAAGCAGCCTCCCATGAACCTATGAGTATTTTCATATTTAATTGATTCTGAGTGTTAAATGTGTAAGTATTAATGTCATATAAAATGCAATTCATTGCTGATTTAATGGTTTATTCTACATGTTTGTCTCAAAAATAAACACATTGAACTCGAAGCAGTTGGACTTTCCATTCTTCTCTAAATAATTTTCTCGAGTGTTTAGCGTATTCATAAAACTTCTTAAACCCATGAAAGAGTCTCAAATTGAATTGACTTCTCTGGCCTTATTGTAGACTTAATATTATTGAAATACTTTGTGTGAATTTCAGTGCTAACAGCTCCCTCAACAAATCCATGTGAGCCAAATCCTTGTGGCCTGAACACCTTATGCAGTGTGGTCAAAAATAAAGCAGCGTGTTCATGTCTACCTGATTTCATCGGAGATCCCCAATCCGGCTGCCGTTTAGAATGCGTCCTGAATTCTGATTGTCCCTCAAACCAAGCTTGTATCTCTCATCATTGCAAAGACCCATGCTCTCTTGGAAACGTTTGTGGTGTTGGAGCAGTTTGTATCAGCAAAGATCATGTCGTCACTTGTGTTTGCCAGAAAGGTTATTCTGGTGACCCGTTCATCCAGTGTATTTCAAAATGTGAGTTTTCACTCCTTGTGAAAGTTTTGTTTTCATCCTTTGAGAATCTTAAAAATTTGGAGGTTCCGTGAAGATGAGATCATTGTCTCAATCTGGGATTACAGTGGTTTCCCTTCAAGTTTTTGTGGGTTTTAAAAAAAGTTTTCAATTTTATTCAATCCAGAATTTCAATGGACCAGTTAAGGAAAAAGGTCTGAAAATTTGAAATTGTGCTCAAAATTCTAATCAAGAGGCTAAATGCTTTTTAAATTTATTCTGCCTCACCAAATATCATCTGCTGAGAGTCATTTTCTGTATTTATGAAGCGTAATATTTTGATCAATTGAATTATCATAATTCTCTTATTCTTCAGATATACTTTCAATCTATTGCTAAAAAATTAAGAATGTAATTTTTGCGTTTTAAACTCACAATCAGATCATACAGTAGAGTACTGATTACATAGATTTCATTAGAAAATTATTTCTTGCAGATACTGCAAGTCTTGAATTACATAAATATATTCAACATACTTCTTCTCTTTTACCAGCATACCTTCCCATATTGAAGAACGAGACGCTGCCCTGTGATCCTTCTCCATGTGAACCGAACTCTTACTGTAGCGTACACAGCGGTCAAGTAGCGATGTGCAATCCATGTGGCTCCTCAGGTGGCTACTGGAGTCCTGCGTGTCATCCAGACTGTTTATTTGACTCGGACTGTTCTTTCAATCTTGCATGTATTGGACAAAAGTGCATGGATCCCTGCTCAGGCTCTTGTGGTTTTGGTGCTCAATGCACCGTCCATCATCATCAACCTATCTGCACATGTCCTCAAGGACTGGTGGGAAATCCCTTTGAGCATTGTCATCCTCCAACAGGTAAATTATCTTAATTCCTTTTCCAATTCATCAACTATTATTCATTCATTGAAATTATGTGCATAATTCAAAATGACCTATCATATAAGGAAGTGTGGCATCTTGTGCCATGTAAATAATGTCCAGATTTATTTAAAAATACCCCTCTTGTTTTTTCTCTTTCGTTGCTGTTTCTGTGTGAGCTGCCATTTTTATTTTGCTCTACAAGCAGTCTTCAGGGATGATAAAAGCTCATTATTTTATGAAAGATTTTTACGAAAAGAAAAGGAAATATCTATCCTTTGGACGAATCATGAAAAATACATCTCTGCTAATTTGAATAGGCCATTGGAAGAATAATGTTCCCTCCAAGCCAAGAATTTTGTTTTTGTTAGATCATAGTGTTTTTAGTATATCAGCTTTTAAACATCAGGTTGTTTTTTTGTTTTTTTTTCAGCATCAGAAAATCAGAAACAGGATCCTTGTGCTGCCCTACAATGCGGCGCTAATGCTGTGTGCAAAGTCAGCTTCGGACACACAACTTGTGTATGCTCTCCTGGCTACCAAGGCAACCCATACTTAGGCTGCAGACCAGAATGTGTGTTGAATTCAGACTGCCCATCAGCTCTATGCTGTGTCAATAATAAGTGTGAAGATCCTTGTATTGGTGCTTGTGGTGTCAATGCCGAATGTCAGGCTGTCAACCATTTGCCTGTCTGCTACTGTCCAAAAGATCACTCTGGCGATCCATTTGTCAGCTGTTATGCATTCAAGCCAAGTAAGTAAACCTCTATCATTCTTTCGCGCAAATTTAGTTGAGCACTCTTATAAACAAAAAACTCATGTATCAATAACGATTGCAAAGGTTTCCAATTTACTTGCTTCTGTTGCTCAATTTCCTTTTCTGTTTTCAAGTTTTCACTAAATGATCGAAGTTAATAATATTCTCTCATGAATCTTATGAATAATAACCAAAAAAGCATGAAAATACGTAACTGTACGTCTTCTCTACAATTACTGATGCTTCAATGGCCGTATTGTGCCAAAAATTTTCTTCAAAATTAAGATACAATGATGATTTGAAAGGAGGAAAATTAAGTATCTTGATCTGATGGAAAAGCATTTGCATCATTAATTATGAAGTTGGTGTTTGAATTTAAACATGGAAATATTTGTACTCTCATCTGTGCTTAAGAAAAAAATGTTAACCTTGTGAACTTTTAAAAGAGAGACAGGTTTGTTCTTGAAAAGTATTTGCAACATGACTCTAAAAACTGTTTTTTGTAAATTCTTCTGACATAAATACTTGAATTAATTTTGTGCTGTATGATTCTTAAAATTTAATTTTGAGTGACTTTGATAGAGTCTCTTTCTTAGTCACCACTTATTAATCGATATTTTTAAGAATGCCTTTAGTTTTTATCGTCTTTCTCCAATTTTTTCATTCACTTACAAACACTATATCCCTTCAATCCTCGAATATACTCTCTCAACCATCTTTTGCGCAGTGACATTATAAACTTGAAGTAAACACATTTTTCCCGCAACTTTCTGTGAATTTAACATTTTTTCTTCTTTTTTTTTCAGTTTTCGCTCCAGTCATGGGACACCCGAGCAACCCATGTGATCCCTCTCCTTGTGGACCAAACAGTCGCTGCTTAATATCAAAGCAAGGTTATGCCTCTTGCTCATGTTTACCCGGCTATCGAGGTGTTCCTCCAGTCTGCAAATCAGAATGTGTGATCAGTGCGGAGTGCCCACAATCACAAGCTTGCATCAATCAAAAATGCGCCGATCCATGTCCAGGGACCTGCGGACTCAATGCGAGATGTGATACCATCAACCATAATCCAATCTGTAATTGTGCCCCAGGTTACGTCGGAGATCCTTTCATCAACTGTTATTTACCTCCTGGTGGGTATTTCCATGTTTCCGTTCTGCATCATTCTGGAAATTTTTAACCCTGAGTAACTGTAATCCCATTCTCATCGAAGTATAGAATTTTGTTACTATTGCTGTGTCGCCTCAATGAAAAATAATAGATTAATGACAGCTTGCTCCTGAAAAAAATAGTAAAATATAAGGTTACATTTTTTTTGTTTAATCTGTAAATTTTAATTTTGTTTGTTTTTTGTTTTTTTTTGTTAGCATCCTAAGAACTAAAGGATTTCAAAAAAAATTCAGGGTCCCCTAACTTTTTGAAAGTATTTGCAAACTGAACCAGAGTAACTGAAAAACTTGTTTTCGTTAATTTATGAAGGCACTAAAATTAATGCTTTTTTTTTTAAAAAAAAAAGTGTTTTTAGTTTTGATTTTTGTTATTCTCAATCTTGTTTCTCATGCTCCTCTTTTCTTTCTCTAGCGGAAGAAATTCCCAAAATTCCTAAAATCGATGGCAACCCCTGTGACCCCTCACCCTGCGGCTCAAATTCCATCTGCCAAGTAACTCAGGGACATCCTGTCTGTTCTTGTGCAATGAATTACACCGGAAAGCCTCCATTCTGCCGCCCTGAATGTGTCATGAGCCAGGTAATTGAAGATACAAGTGATCCTCTAGATTAGCATTTTTGATACTGCTTTACTCATATATTTGTAACATATTCTATAAAATCTGCTAAAATGCCTTTCCATCTCCAGATAAATTCATTTTCTCTAATTCTCATTTTAAAATGTATTTTTAATCTAATAATTTAAACCATTATATTAGAATTTTATTAAAATACATAATTATTTCACTCATTGCTGTATCAATTTTTTTCTCATTTTTCCGTTTTTGTTGCGATTTCTAGGAATGTCCTCATGATCAAGCCTGCATCCGAGAGAAGTGTCGCGATCCTTGCACCCAATCTTGCGGTTACAATGCAAAATGCAGTGTCATCAATCATACCCCTTTCTGCTCTTGTTTACCTGGGTACGAGGGTGACGCCTTTGTTGGATGCTCCTCTGTGCCACCAAGTATGTATCCCTTATTCTGCTACTGTCAACTTTTTAGAGTTTTGTGTGAATTTAAAAATCATCAATGTCTCAAAATTGTCAGACAGTAACAGTAAATTCTATAAAATTTTAATATGATTTTCACAATTTGAATCTATTAACGCAATTACTTAGAGCCCCAGTATATTAAGCAAATAAAATTTCATTGACTTCACGCAACAATATCCATTTAAATTATTATTCTGTGTGTTTAAAGGTATGCTTACTTCATGCAGTTTTGGCTTTTTAATGAATTCTTGAAAGGGCATTGGTTTGCTGAATAAAAAGATTGCTAATTTCTTGGGAATTTCATTTTTATTTTACTCACTGTAACAGCATTTTTCAAAATGGACTACACTATAGTCTGTCCCAGATACGAAGAGCCCTGGAAAATCGGAATAATTTGCACGATGTAGAAGCAAGGTATCGTTCGTTCTATTGTGTCCGACTAATCACCGAGCCAACCCCGCACCGCACAGAGGGTTGGTTATGAGCTCCGCGGCGCGTCGGCGTCTTACGCCGGGAATCCGCTCCTGGGCCTCGGGGAAAACCATCGCGGAAAGATGCGAAGGGAGTATGCGTTGCCTCAAGGTGGCTTGTGGCCCTCTGTGCGACGCATGTGAGAGGCGACGAGATGACAGGTGACGAGGGTCGAGGCACCCCAACCCGCCAAATAGTGCTAATTACTCTGATTTTCCAGGGCTCTTCGTATCTGGGACAGACTATAAGCATAGAGATTTCACACATACAGGAATCCCCGTTTAATAAAAATAGACAGTAAAAGACAGGGACAAGGGTGGAAAAATGTCACCGGTCTGTGATTGTGGCGGCTGACGGAATCCCCATATGTGCCTGTTTACCTAATACAGTCAAAATTACATGGTTTTATCTCCATTTTTTGTTTTTTCATTATCAAACCTCTCTCTTTATATTACTCTTTTTTCATGCAAGCAATATTTAACATGTAATTTTGCTCTTTCAGCTGTGCAAGCTCCAATCCCCACGAATCCTTGCACACCATCGCCTTGTGGTGAGAATGCCCACTGCACGAGCGTTGATGGAACTGCCAGGTGCACCTGCATACCTCCCTATGTCGGTAATCCCTATGCTGGAGGCTGCCGGCCTGAATGTGTCATTCCCAGTGATTGCGCACCTCATGAAACGTGTTTATCTAGTCACTGCCGAGATCCCTGCCCAGGGGTCTGTGGCAGGAATGCGGTCTGTAAGGTCGTAAATCATATTCCACAGTGCTCTTGTTTACCAGGGTTTATTGGAAATCCTTTCCAGTCTTGCAAGCCTGAACCTCCGAAACGTAAGTAAAATCAAAATACAATCAATATTGATTTACATTGGTCTATTGGATTAGAGACGATGATACTCTTAAGGAATAACAGCTATCGTTTTTCATAGATTGTGTTGATACTTCACCAACGAAAACTCAGTTGACGCGAGTTCAGTTTGGATAGAGAAATTTGGCTTGTTAACCACATTACCTCTATTTTTGCTTATGTTTTTTGCTGTCCAAGTGAAATCACCTTCAACTGAGATTGTTGTCATGAGTAGATAGGCTATTTTTAATCAGAGAAGGATGCAGACAAAACAAAATAATCTAAAAGTGCAACCTTATTATAGAGATCGCATTATTGTAGCCTTTATTACAGTCACCCGTTGTTTTTTTTGCGAAAGAATCTAAAATAAAATCCAAAAATGAGAAACTCCAGATTACTAAACCCTAAAAAAAGAAAAAAGAAAACTAAGCAAGTGTGTATGAAGAAATGCTGTGTTGATATGTAGGCCTCCATCAACTGATTTACATGTTTTTATTTGTTAATGTTAAAAAACCAAGTGTCAGCTTACCCCATACCATGTCCTTAGTATAAATTCAATGTATTCCATGTAAAATTGATTTTTTTAAAACTTTCCAATAAATTCCTGAATTATCAATTTCTTTCTCTTTTTTTGAGAAACCGACTTATTGATCAGTAACCTTTTATATTTTGCAGCTTTGCCCCCGAAAAATCCATGTGAATCTGCAATGTGTGGTCCAAACAGCATTTGTCGGGTGTCAGATGGTCATGCAGTTTGCTCTTGTCAAAGAGACTTTGTTGGAACTCCCCCTGCTTGTCGGCCAGAATGTGTTCAAAGTGGTGAATGTGACCAGACCAAAGCATGCGTAAATCAAAAATGTGTCGATCCTTGTCCAGGAACCTGTGGTGTGCAGGCAGTCTGCCAAGTCCTCAACCATAACCCAATGTGCAGCTGTCCTCCTTCAACCACTGGTGATCCGTTTGTTAAATGTGTTGAAGAGGGTACGTTACCAATTACATTTGTTTCCACAGTATTTTATTCCTAAAGAACCAAAGAAGGGAATCTTTCTCTTTTCATTATCTCTCTGCCTTTCTCTTAGCTATGCCAATTAGGGATATCAACGGTGAAACTACCAGACTAAGTATCTCGTTTGCGGTGTTTAAAGGTCTCCGCTCTCATTTTATTTTTTAAAGGAATACAAATCAATATCATTCCTTGAAGTTTTTACAGAATTTTCTTCTCAATGCAAAGAAAATTCACAGAGGTTTTTAAGAGTTGACATTGAGCAGTTTTCCTTTTAAAAAATTAAGTATGACAGGAAGTCTGCGATGCTGCAAACCGAGATACGTAGTCTGGTAGTTTCACTGTCGATATGCTGTTGCTTGATGAAAAGACTGCTCATTTTTTAAGTCTTGGTCAGTTGTCTCTGGTTATAGTGTTTTTCCAAATAACATTTTTCTAGAAACAACACTCATTTCTAAGTTCTGGTTAGTTGTCTCTGGCTGTAGTAACTCAAAGTAACGTTGTTCCGCAAAAAAGTTCTACTTTTAATTTCCGTTCGATAACATTATAACAAGGAATGACCGTAAGTTTTCTATGGAGTCAGATAGGATGAGAAGGACATCATGCCTCAATGCACCCATTTTAACAACCTGAATCTAATTACTCTCTGTGAAACGCAGTGAATGAGATTAAAAATGGCATTTAATAATCTGTCAATGTAAAATTCAAAGTTGAACTTTTGAGACAAGGTACGTATTTATCTATTTCAGCTCCCAAAGAAGCAGTGGAGTCAATCAACCCTTGTGTGCCATCTCCATGTGGAGCCAATTCAGAATGCCATATAACCGAACGTGGAGCAATGTGCTCATGTGTCCCGGGGATGCTTGGAGCACCCCCTCACTGTCGACCCGAATGCTCAATCCATGCTGACTGTCCAACAAAACTGGCTTGTATCAATAACAAATGTCGAGATCCGTGCATGAAAGCCTGCGGAGTGAATTCCCAATGCGCTGTTGTCAATCACAAACCTGTTTGCTCCTGTTTTGATGGATATCAAGGCGATCCTTTCACTCGTTGCAACCCAGTTCGAGGTATGATTCCAGTTGTAAATGTTAAAATGGTCGATTTTTATTATCCAGACATCACTCTGTATTGTGTAACAAGCTTTCACTATTTGTTCTACCTCTTCACTTCAGTGCCAAACTCATAAGGCCTCAATTGTCTTAGACTTTAAAACCACCTAACTCAAACTCTCTTCTGTTGGCCATAGAAATAAAAAAAAGCTATATAAAAACCATGTAAGTAAATCAATTTTTTTTCAGACAAAAGTGGGTTCTTTTTAAAATATTCAGATCCTTTTATTTATTAGTTTTTTTATTATCTTCATTTATCCATCTATTTTAAAGAGCAAGATAGGTAGAAACCGCAGTGTTAAAAATATATAGAAGAAAATCAAGCTCAACAGAAAATTAAACCAAAAAACAAAACTACAGTGAGAGATTTAAAAATTATGAGCCTCCCTCTACCATCTATTTTACAGGTCACTTTATTTTTTATACATTTATTTATTTATTTTTTCATTTATAATTTCAGCTAGTGAAAGAACTCCAGCGCAAACTGACCCCTGCTTTCCAACACCGTGCGGTGTCAATGCTGATTGTGTCAATAATAAAGGAGTGGCCTCATGCGTCTGTCTCTCTGGTTTTTACGGTAACCCACACAGTGGCTGCCATCGTGAATGTGAATCCAACACAGATTGTGCGTCATCACTCGTCTGCTCAAATTACAAATGTGTGGATCCTTGTCCAGAAACTTGCGGCGTTGAAGCTGTTTGCACAGTATCAGAGCACAAGCCAGTTTGTTCTTGTGCTCAAGGATTTTCTGGTGATCCATTCATTCAGTGCCATCCAATACCTGTCTCCCGTAAGTTAAATATTTTAAATTTCATTTATTTGAAATCAAAAACTGTTTTATATACCTATCAGTACAAGTCAGTGATTTTTACTCAATACTATATCATGTAACTTAGGTGAACTTAGTTTTTCCGGCAAATAGAATGGTTGAATTAACGAAAATGAAAAATGTCAATTTATCAGTTTTGAGTTAATACATTTTTTTTTTTTTTTTAAAAAAAAATGTTTTTAAGGGAGTATCCACCGTGCACTAAAATTTTGATCATAAAATATGCCATGTCGTTTTTCAATCCCTATTTTGTCCAGTAATCAATTTCATTAAGGCTTTTTTCGAATAACCACTTCAAGCAATGCAACATTACATTAAACTCTTGCCACAAGAACGTTTTATCCATTAGCTGTATTTTTCACTGTCACTAATTTTTGTCTTATCCTCTGTTCTAGCCTCGACCCCGCCTCCAGTCTTGAACCCTTGCTATCCTTCCCCATGTGGCGCTAACAGTCAATGCAGGCCAGTGAATGGTGAAGCCATTTGTTCTTGCTTACCTCAGTTTGTCGGCAATCCACCAAAATGCCACCCAGAGTGCACCGAAAATTCGGATTGTCCAGCGGACAGAGCTTGTGTCAACCTAAAATGTGCCAATCCTTGTCAAAACACATGTGGTATTCGTGCTCAATGTACTGTCAGAAATCACAATCCAATTTGCACGTGTCCTGCAAAATACACCGGAGACCCATTCATCCAATGCAGTGCTATCCGTAAGTGATTTCTCGATAAAATTTTACCTTTAACAACTGCTTCTTGGTGTTTTATGAATGAATGTAGAAACATTTAACTCTTAAGTATTTTGGGAGCTGCACTCAACTGATAAAAATTATCTATCTAATAACCCCTGCATATTAGTAAAATTTTCAATGAAATAGCCAGACTTCAATATTATCAATCCTGGATATTTTACAAGCATTTTGTTGAGTATTTCACAGTTCAAGAAGATATAGCATCTGACAAAATGTTTTAAGTCAATTTCTTGTCCCTATCGCCATGTAGCAATGAGACGTTTTAATTTACCGGGTTATTACCCATAACGTTTTCTCTCCTCAGTATTTTCAGAGAGGCAAGTATACTTGTCTTTCTTTCAAAGAAAGCTAGCTTGGGTAGAAGAAAAAAAATCTAGGAAAAATACATATTGGCAAAAAAGATGAGATTTATTTTAGAAATACATTTATAGAATGACAAGGCTATTATTCCAAATTGAAATCAGCTCCAATGATTCTTATTGATGGCTAGCGGCAATAACAGCTGTCTTCGTTGGTAAAGGAATATTGATCACTTCATCTAGAAGTCGTTTAGAAATGTTCTATTGTTTGATTTGTACATGATGTTATTTTTTTCTCTTTTTACAGCTTCATCATTCATACAAGTTCCCTCAAAATCCAGCGCATCCTGTCAACCCTCACCTTGTGGACCTCATTCTCAGTGCCAAATTGTTGATAATAAGCCAGTGTGCTCTTGTATCCCAGGCTTCATCGGATCTCCGCCAAAATGCCGTCCTGAGTGCGTGATCAGCACAGATTGTTCTAGTCATTTAACATGTGTCAAACAAAAATGCACGGATCCTTGTCCAGGGTCCTGTGGCGTTAATGCTCAATGTCAAGTTCTCAACCATGTTCCTACTTGTTCTTGTATGGAAGGATTCACTGGGGACTCTTTCGTCCATTGTTCTCCGATTCCCATGAGTAAGTTTAATTTATTATTCCTTTTTTTATGGATCATCTTTTCTCTTACCTTTTTCTACAATTTACCATAGAGTCAGTCTTTTTAAACTGCCTCTTTCCCCAAGAACTAAAATCAACATATCTCAAGTAGACCTTTGAACACAATCTTACCTTTTGACAATTTTTTGAAGTCGGGTTTTTTTTTATTTTCTTCTTCTAAGGATTGCAGCAAATGTAAAAATTTCATCAGAAGTCACCCTGAAAGACACTCTTTTATTTGTATCAAATTTTTTCATCAAAAATATCCGCTTTAAAAAGCAACTGAAACTTTTCACACCACATTGCGTTTATCTTGTCTTAAATACCCAAATGTCTGATTTACATCACTGTTTTTTTCTTTTTTTACTCAGCTGGTGTCAACCTGGAAACAACAGGAGATCCCTGTCTCTCATCTCCTTGTGGAATCAATGCTGTCTGTCAGAAAGGCTTTTGCTTTTGCATTGGTGATTATGAAGGAAATCCCTACGAAGAATGTCGACCGGAATGCACGATCAATCATGAATGCGATCGCAGTAAAGCTTGTATTGCAAATAAGTGTCAAGATCCTTGTCCTGGAACTTGTGGACAGTTTTCTCAATGCAGTGTTGTAAATCATATGCCGATTTGTTCATGTCCTCAGGGTATGACAGGAGACCCATTTTTCTCTTGTCGAATGCTCACAGCAGGTACTTAATGCATTTGACTTCCTATAATCACTACTCAACATCATTTGACCCCCCCTTTTTTTTGTCACCTTGAAGTTAGAAAAAAAATCAATCAATCTAAAAGTTAGATCTTTAGGCTTGATTGTCTGCAAGAACTCATCCTTAATAGAAAAAAAAAAAACATTTTTTTACCAAAAATGTATCTTTTGAAGTACTGTAGAACAGTTTTTTAATTTCTTGCAAGATTATCTTTGCCATCGCTCCACTTTTAACTAGTGCATCTCCAAAGATGTTTTTCCCCTAGATATTTCCAGGAACATACCTATGCTTTTAGAGAATAATGATCTTTGATCCCTCAGTCATTGTAGTAATCATCTTAATCATCTCAAATCATCTTAATGTAGTTTGCAAGAAGTCGTGTATAATTCTTGACTTTCCACAGAATTCTAAGGCGTTTGAGTTAGCATTTTAAATATTTAAATTCTGACTTTGCAGGTTTCAGAAAATTTTACTCTTAAATCACAAGAACCTCACTTCAATGACAAGATGAACTATACATCCTCATTTTTCAAAATTGTTAAACTTGTGCATCATGTTTATCCATAATTTTTCACTCTTTATTTTGCAGAACCTTCAAAACCTAAAGACGTGTGCATTCCATCACCTTGTGGACCAAATAGTAAATGTCAAACAATCGAAGGGAATGCTGCTTGCTCCTGCTTGCCTGGCTATGTCGGCACACCTCCTAATTGCAAGTTGGAATGTGTTGTAAGCTCAGAGTGTCCATCACAGGAAGCTTGCATTAATTCAAAATGTATCGACCCCTGCACGGGAGCATGTGGAGTAGGAGCCAGATGCGGAGTTGTCAACCACAGTCCTATTTGTTCGTGTGGACCTGAGCTGACCGGCGATCCTTTCAAAAGTTGCCAAGATCTATCAAGTAAGTTCTCTGGTGTTCTTTCCTTGCTTCCTACTTGATTATTCACAGATAGTGGGATCTCAGTACTTCTGTGCAAAGAAAAAACAACGCATGAGCCTTAGAACATCGCCAAATTTTTCTATAATGGGACAAACAAATCTCAGAAAACTTTTGAATTGTTTTTATCCAATTTTTCGGGAAATTCTATTTGCAATTTTATCTCAAGTATCAGAAAATTATGAGGCAAAATACTCATGACTTTCCTGAACAATACAATTTGGAACAGGAGACCTTGGCAACATTTGAATGTTCTCCTGGTGAATTCCTTAGCTGAATTACCAGGAGTGTTCTATTTTTTAAAAGAAAAGCAATCAACAGTTTCTATTCAAAGTCTCTTAATTTGCCTCGCTTGTTCTGAAAAATTACACAAAACTGCAAGAGAACATTTTAATAAGTTTTGAATGTACTCATTCTTCGTATTAATTAATTGACCTAAACTTGTCTTGAATTTGTCAGGATATTTATTGAAAAAAGCCAACCTCATTATTAAGAATAATAAAAGCACAATTAAAAATAAATCCGTTATTCCTCACCAACATTCATAATAATAATAATTAATTTTTCCCCCAAATAGTGTTGCCATCAACACCCCCAGAGGAGGACAAAAGTGTCTGCAATCCATCCCTGTGTGGGCCGAACTCACATTGCGAAGTGGAAGGTGAAATACCCGTTTGCTCCTGCCTTCCGAACTTCAAAGGAAGACCTCCGCATTGTAGACCGGAATGTATCATCAATCCTGATTGTCCATCAAATCTAGCGTGTATCAATCAGAAATGTGTCAATCCTTGTCCCGGCTCATGTGGAATCAATGCTGAATGTCAAGTCATATCTCACTCCGTCCACTGTTCCTGCTCGCCAGGATTAACTGGGAATCCTTTTGTCCAGTGCATTCAGCAAGGTAATGCCCTCTCTTCACCTCTGCGTCAGCCGCCATTTCCTTCATCCATTTTAAGGGTAACAAGTTTTTGAAAAGTCAGGACATTCTTCCAAACCTTGAAAGCTCATTGAAAAGCTTGAAAAGTCAGGACATTTTTCCGAACCTTGAAAAGTCTAAGATTTTTCCATGGAACCTTGAAATGCTTTGCTGAATACTTTGAATGCTTTAGCTAAAATAATTAATCATTTTCTACCCTACCTTCACGTTCTATGAACGAAAATGAAAATTTCTGCCCGAAAGCTCACAAATTTTGATTTTTCTCTAATTCTAAGAGATTTTGCCCGAAAGTCCTTTTGCAAAAAACATTATTATGAGAAATTACTTTCATAAAAACATGGACAACTCAGGGAATGTCATGCTCAAAAAGTCATAGAAAGCTGAGGGAATTTTGAAATCCAAGAAAAATTGCAGCCCTGTTTTTCAGTCAGTCTTTATTTGTAATAGAAGCATAATGTCACCTACATGCCATCTAATTTATTTTGTATTGATATATTACAGAAAAACTAACCAATCCGTGTACTCCATCGCCATGTGGACCAAACGCTTATTGTCGACAGCAGAAAAATGCTGGCTCTTGCATTTGTATTCCGGACTATCATGGTAATCCGTACGAGGGATGTCGTCCTGAATGTGTGCTAGACTCTGACTGTTCGTCAAACTTTGCTTGCATCCTGAACAAATGCACAGATCCCTGCCCCAGCACTTGCGGACAAAGAGCAGTTTGTTCTGTAATCAATCATGTACCCTCCTGTAACTGTCTACCTGGTCACATTGGAGATCCTTTTGTTGACTGCAATCCCCAACCTGTTGCAGGTTTGTGTTATAAATATTTCTTCATCTTTTGAAATATTGTTGTTTCTACAGTTAAATGAAAGCCATATAGAAGAGTTGAAAAATCGAAATTAACACCGGCCTTTTTTTCTTTTTGCCCACAATCAAAATGTATTTATTATTTTTGACTGTACGCAATGAAAAAAAGAATCTTTGTGTTTAAAGGGAAAATCTTCAGGAGTGTGATTTTACAGCTACACTGCCATCAGTTATGGAAAGAAAGGGGTTCCTAATTTTGTAGGATAGAAGACAAAAAGAAGAAAGAAGAAATTAAAGGGGGCCTAGTTTGTCTTTTCGCTAACAGAGGACATAACATTGCACTTCAATTTGATGTTTAAATTTGAGTCCAGAAAATGACCAGCTCCAACTTTAAATAATTTTCCCTCAAAACTACACTTTTTACTTTGCAAATTCCAAACCATCTTCATCTACTGTTCAAATACTTTTCTTGTAAGAAATAATAATATTGTTTACATTCATCCTGACAGATACTGAGGCAGCTCTGGTAGATCCATGCACTCCATCACCTTGTGGTCCCAACAGTCAGTGTCGGAAAGCGAACAATCAACCAGTGTGCTCCTGTCTTCCAGAATACAAGGGCGCTCCTCCTAATTGCCAGCCCGAATGTGTTTCAAACAACGAGTGTCCTTTGAATAAAGCATGCCAAAACTATAAATGTCGTAACCCGTGCTCAGGAGCATGCGGTCTTCAAGCTTCTTGTGAGGTCATTAGTCATAGCCCTGTCTGCAGCTGTCCTGCTGGATTGATGGGTGATCCATTCGTGAGGTGCATGCTTCCATTAGGTATGTATTTTATCATTTCTGAAATTTATTTATTTATTTATTTTTTTTTTTTCTGTGCAGAGACTACATCTTACATTTAGTTTCCAATTCCGTGACTTTGAGAACTCCTGACTGGTTGAGGAGCAAGGTGTTTTTTGCAAATCAATAACCAAGATCTTATATTATGACGAAGCACGAGGACAATCCTTGGGGAGTGAAATGGAACTAAGAAAAAAAGTGAATTCCACCAGATAAGGCTCGAACGTTTCAGTGTGAGGCTTTGGAGATATGTTATACAATTACTCTCTTCAGAAGAAATTCTCATGGTTTCATTCTCATTCAAAATGACTCATTCATTCATGACGATCAGTTGCTTGAACATTTTGCGATTCAATCAATTTGAAAATTAATAAAATTAGAGAATTAATGAAGAAAATTGATATCAGTTGTGATAAAATCCTTGCCCCATCCAAAAGCATGTCTCTTATTTTACTTTTCCTCAATTGTTTCAGCCATACCATCTTCACCAATCGATGAATCAGATAACCCTTGCCTCCCATCGCCATGTGGGCCAAATTCAGTTTGTCGTATCATCAAAAAGCAAGCCGCTTGCTCATGTCTTCATGGTTTCATTGGAACAGCCCCGAATTGCAGACCAGAATGCACTGTTAGCTCTGATTGCTCTGCATCTGAGGCATGCATCGTTGGGAAATGCAGGGATCCCTGCATAGGATCCTGCAGCAATAACGCAGAATGTCGAGTTCAGAATCATGCCCCTGTTTGCTCATGCGTAGAAGGTTACTCCGGGGATCCGTTTAGCCAGTGCTCTCCTATCATGGGTAATTTTAAAGACTGTCTTGTTAATATAGTTGTAGTATTTGCATACAGCAGTAATTTTTTCCCCTCTTGATTTGATTTCTAAGACTATCCTAACTATTCCAGCACTTTGATTTTGATAGCTAATCTACATAAACATCAGTGAGATATGCCATTTTCTGTAAAGGGAGAGCCTGATAAACTAACTTTGCCAATTGACCAATTGATTCTCTTTTAAAGATAATAGATCGATTTTTTAGTTGCTCTCTTTATAATTTAATTTACAAATTTTCTGTAACTACTGATGTACAATAATTATTTGGAACATGAAAGTCTCATAAATAGATTTTAGCCCCAATCATTCAAAGAAGAAGTTATTTACTTATTTATATTCATCAGTCAAATAATTATGGATGTATATGAAACAAAACTTTGTAAAGAGATACCTTTACTTCCAGATTTTAAAAAATCTCACTCGAGGCCAAATCCAACTCCAAGCCTGACGCTTTCTCGATCCTAAATAAAATGAAATTTTATTGCTTACCAAAACAGAAACAAAGCAAAAAAAGAAATTCATATCAATTTTTGCCCCAGTAGTTTTTTAAATTGCTAAGAATGATAAAAAAAAATTACCAGCTTGTCTCGTATAATTGCAGTAATTGAAGAACCCTCTGGAAGAGATCCATGCACACCATCACCTTGCGGAGCCAATGCTGACTGTTTTGATGGAAATTGCAAGTGCCGCCCATCTTACTATGGAGATCCGTACTCTGGCTGTCGCCCTGAATGCACTCTCAATTCCGAGTGTCCGTCGAACAAAGCTTGCACCAACCAGCGCTGTGTTAACCCATGTCTTGGGATCTGCGGACAAGACGCACGTTGCGATGTAATCAATCATGCTCCTTCTTGCTCTTGCCCCCCAGGATTGACAGGAAACCCCTTGGCAGCTTGTCGCTCATTTACAGTACAAAGTATGTTGAAATTCTTTGACTGTTACTCATATTTATTTCTACTTGTGTTTAATTTTGGTGGTTTACAGAGAGTTTTGTCTGATTTAAAGTTTACTGATTTGAATTTTGAAAAGAATCCGAAGCCATAAAAGAGACTTCGCTGTTTCATTTCTTCTCTTTGTTAATGCAGTTTGCTAAAATGCCTCATTTTGAAGTATTTATCTAGGCTCTAGGAGCGCTTGCTTATTTTAAAATTTTCATCATCAAAGCACTCATGATGACTTTTTTTTTGTTGGTAACTTTAAACCGCAACGATTATATTCACAGACCAGTTTTTTCGTCCTAACAGGAACAATTGAACGAAAACACTTTGAATGCGTGATTTTCTATGAAATTGTCCCTAATTTTATGTTTTTAATTTGCTCTGTACTTTTTACTCCTTTCTTTTTCTAACGGGCCCTTTTTCCTTATGTCATCTCTTATAAATTTTCGCCTTTTGTCTTTTCTAGATGACACTTTGGCTGGCGATCTATGCAATCCCAACCCTTGCGGACCCAACAGCATTTGCCGTATCACGAATGGCTTTGCAGTGTGTTCTTGTCAGCCAGGTCTCATTGGCTCGCCACCTCTTTGTCGTCCTGAATGTATAGTCAGTACAGAGTGCCCTCTAACCCAAGCTTGTATAAGGAGCAAGTGCGCTGACCCTTGCACCGGAACCTGTGGCGTCAATGCAGAATGTAGGGTTATCAACCACAGTCCAATCTGTAGCTGTGAACCTGGACATACCGGAGATCCATTCAGACAGTGTTATGCAGAACCTAGTGAGTACATTTTGTAGATGGAGAACTCATAATTTTCATTCCTGCACTACATATCTAAGTATTTACTCCCACTCAAGAAGAATGTTAAGGATTAAAATAATTTTTATGTTCATCGAATACTTGAATGCTCTTTATTTACATCAAAAAAGAAAGATTGAGCTCTCTCCCTCCCCCTTATAAACGCCCAAGAGTACTAATTGTGAAAGATCAAGGCAGTTACAATGATTGCTGATAGCTATCACCAACTCAACTGGGTTAAACTTCTTGTATCCCCTTAATTTTCCAACCTCTTTTGGCGCGTATACGTAGTATACCGCCTTTGCGATCGTTTCGACCCCCCCCTCGATACAATAACCGAGTCCCCTAGTTCCTTACCGAAAAGTGACTACCGCGAACTTCTGAGATTTTCCAAAGCGTGTAAAAAGTTTACTAATCCGTCAATAATAATGATTAAAATTTGTTTCTCATTCTGGGGCTCGCTAGTTTATGTGTAATGAATACCAAGAGTCTACGTTTCTTGGTTTTTTTTAAAAAAACCTTAGAATGGGGCGCGCTGATTTAAAATATGCATATATAAGCGGAAGCAAGCGAACTGATTCGAGGATGGCTGACCAGTTCGGCACTCCTTGAATGAGAATTTCACTCACTCCGTTTTGTTCACAACGTTGCTTTGACATATCTCCACAACACTGTTATCCTTTTCAAAAGTTGGTACTCCTTGCTCTGATAGCCGGGGCCACCAGGATAGTGGTAAGTGCAATCTGTGATGAGCCTCGAGACTCATTAGACCATTTGCTAAACGTGGCTCATACAGGAGTCCACTAAGCCCTCTCGTCCCCACGCTCCTGATCACTGCGTCGGCGTCACGAAGAACAATGGGCCTTGGGTCCCAACGCGGCCGATACCCGTACCCCAATTACTCACGCTTCATTAACCATTTCACCGTCACGCTAGGATTCATCCAATTTTCAAAAAAAATTGTTTCGCATGTATTTAGCAATTTTTTCCTTACTCTCCGTTAAAACACAAATAAAAAGAGACCTCATTCATAAAAATCGGCCGAATAGAAGAGAAGTTACAGTAATCGAAATCCGAAGAAATCAACAAAACCTCGACTCCTCGATACGAAAAATAAAATGAAGGGGAAAAAAAGAAAGTATAAATTACAATTAAATATAATTGACCTCAAAATTTGACAAACAATTCATTTATATACCTAACGCTGAAAAAACTGGGAGAAATTACAAAAAATTTGCCTCTTGCAAGGGGCTTCTTTGTAAGAATTTTGACCTGAAGACAACGGTCGAATAACAGCAGTACTCCATACAATACACGGTGTGCCTGAACGAGTTAAACATTTTTCATACGTCCAAATCGAAAAATCTTTATATTTTTAACTACAATGTTTCTTGAATCGTTTAAGCAAAAAAAAAAAAAAAAAAAATTCCGTCGAGATTCTGGAACGCAAAGGCGCTTTAAAAGTATTCTGGGGCTATAATAGCTAAATCACCGGTAGTAAATTCGTTATATTATTAAAAAGAAATTGACTCCATAGTTTAATTCCTTAGTTTCTTGAATACGATTATTTTAAGCACTTAAACATTTATACCACCAATTTTAGCCATGGGGTGATTTCCTGAGAGCCGATAATATCACGAATTTCTCATAGAACCCCTCAACAGTGGCTTGCTTTTTTGGCAGCCGATTCGGCCATCGAACCGGAGTTTAAATGGAAGCTGATAATAACCCAAAGCTCTGAGAAAAATTTTGAGATGAGTATAAGAACGGTTTGTTGTAAGTAGCGAGGAGAGGCGGGCAAAGCGGCTAAAATCCTATCTAATTTTTACAGTTTTTCTGTTGAATTAATGTTGCCGCGGGCTTCTGACTGTCCACACATAGTTCTGTTCAGCATATCGATACATAAGTATTTACATTTTACATACGTAGAATCTAATTTTCACGTCGGGGAGTTGACATATTTTGATTTTTTCGATTTTATACGGAAAATTGATGGTTTTTCGGGATTGAAATTATTATTGTTTCATGAAAAATAAATGCACCCAAAATGACTATAGCATATTGATTCTTACACATTTGCACTCACAAAATTGGTTGGTAAATTCAACGAGTGGGTGCATCGACCTGGTATATCAAGTTTCTGCAATTTTTTACGGCAAATCAGTAGATTTTCGGGATGTAGATTGCTTACTTTCAATTCATGAATGAATAAAGCAACGACATGGTTGAACTTCTTTGCATGGAAAGACGTTTAAAATAACAAAATCAAGACGTATTTAATGCAATTGCATTTATATCGAGTCAATTTCTTTTCAATAATATAACGGGATTTTTACTACCGGTGATTTGGGTATTTTAGCCCCAAAATACCTTTAAATCGACTTTATCTTCTAGGAGTTCGACAGAATTTTTCCTTTCTTCGCTTAAATTATTCCGTAGCACTTTTCTTCAAGAATCTGATAAGATTTTGCTTGAGGCAGATCAAAAAACTTAAATTCGATCGAATAGCTTTCTACTTTCACAATACACGGTCTCGTCAAGGTGCGTCTTTGACCTCGCAGTGTTGGATCGTGAATTCTCTTTTTATGCTGTTTGCCTATTTTGAAATCTCTGTAAATGAAAACTAAAGGGGTTGATATGTGCGAGTTAATGACACGCCTTATCAACACATTGTGTTGGAGTTCACTGCTTGTTTTTTCTCTGTCAAACCTCCTTTATTTGTTTTCCGAAGTGATAAATATAACAGAATTTTTTAACAATTACCAAGGATACATTAAGTATTTCTCTAGCAGTAAGACGTCAATTTATGGTATTGATCTTCAAGTCCCTTCATGGGCTTCAAGCTGTGTAATTCACATTAACTGATAGACTTGTCAGTTCTCCGAAATCCGATGAAGCGAGGTCTTACTGTAATTTTGTTGAGATTCAAATGCCTTATGATTTTTTATTTGTTTGTGAATACGCCTGTCAGTAAATCCAATATTAAATATGTATTTTCTTTTCACTTTCTTTTCAGTGAGTCCTGGTCCACTTCCTTCAACAGAAAATCCATGTAAACCATCACCTTGTGGTCCTAACTCCAAGTGCCAAGTATCAGAAGGAAACCCAGTCTGCTCCTGTTCAGAACATTACATGGGAAGTCCTCCACATTGTCGCCCTGTGTGCACCATAGATCCAGAATGTCCTAGTCATTTAGCGTGTATCGGTCAAAAGTGCGCTGATCCTTGTCCTGGGTCGTGTGGTTCAAATGCTCGGTGTTCCGTCATCAACCATTCCCCAATGTGTGCATGTCTCTCTGGTTATTCTGGTGACCCGTTCACTGGATGCTCAGCAACAGAAGGTACGATTTTATCTCTAATGCAATTCAAATGTCTCAAAAAAAATTTTAAATCCATGAAATTAAGTCAATTTTAATTAAATGGAATCTATTTGTAAATTTCAAGTCACAGTTTGTTAGATAACAACCCCTAAAATGTATGTAATGTGTAGTTATACTCACCTACACATAAATTTTAAAATCTCCGCATTTGCGCAGTTCTGTGAAAATTTACAGTGAGACAAGTTCATTGATTGTTACAAAGGAGCTTGGTGGAATGTTTTTTGTAGCATGTAGGGGTTGGAAAATTTCTTTGTCGAAACTATAATTGGATACTCTCAGTACCAGAATCGATGAAGCAAAAAATAGTAAAACAAGTAATAAGAAAATATTTAAAGTATTTCGCAAGTTCATTCTATAGCTGTAAGAATAGTAAATTTTGAGTATGAAGTGTATTACAAAGGAAATAGTTTACTCATATTCTTTTGCAAGTATGAATTAGCCATTAATCATGATTTTTTTTCTCGTTCAACAGTTTCCCTATCGAACGAGATCACAGAAGCTGACCCCTGTTACCCATCACCTTGTGGTTCTAATGCACGCTGCCAGAATGATGATGGCTTCGTTATTTGTGAGTGCATAGCTGAGTACCAGGGCAATCCATATGAAGGCTGTCGGCCGGAATGTTTAGTTAGTTCCGATTGTCCTATGAACTTGGCCTGCATCGGGAACAAGTGCCATGACCCTTGTCCTGGAACATGTGGCTTCTCCGCTATTTGCACAGTCTCCAACCACAATCCCATTTGTACTTGTCCTGAAGGCACAACTGGAGATGCTTTCAAGTTGTGTCAACTCATTCAAAAATCTGGTAAGTTTTTTATTATTGTCCTACAACCATTTGACTTTTTCTTTCCAGTTTCAGTGTGAAAGAACTCGGATATGTTTGGCTGATTAATGTAGTATCCCAATATCGAAGCTAAAATTGACAAAGAATTGAGTTGTGCTGAACGAGCATGAAAACATCATCCTCATTAATAATCTAAGAAGGAAAAAAAAAAACAACTTTGTTCTATACTCAAAATATGCGCCTTCATTGAGAAGAAAAATAGCCACTTTATTTTTGGTAGACTTGGAGGGTCTTTTGAGGAAATCTTCAGAGAAGACTCACCTCAAGTAATTTACTACTGCTTACTGAGCCAATTTTATTTGTGTTAAACCTGGTTTATTGTTGAAATGTCAGAAAACACGCTCACCATTGTTTAATCAAAAAGATGGAGTCTCAGCGTACGCTAACTTTCATCAAACTTATGTGGCGCTACAAAGCTTTTGGTTTTTTTTTATTTTTTTTATTTTCGCTGATGCTAGAATGTAGCCCTACATCAATGGCGCCTAATTTACAGCTCCTCTAACTTCTTGAGTCTGAAAAAATTACCTCTGAATCAAGTATTAATGCATACGATTTTTCCTCCATTTCAGATAGTACAGTAACGCTCTCATCACCGTGTTCTCGTTCGCCTTGTGGACCAAATGCTGTTTGCCGTGTAATCAATAACGCGGCAATGTGTGAATGCTTGCCAGATTTCTATGGGTCACCGAGCGACAGTGGCTGTCGCCCTGAGTGTGTCATCAGCGCAGATTGTCCTCGCAACAAAGCATGCAGTGGAAACAAATGTCAAGATCCGTGCCCCGGTATTTGTGGAACAAACGCTATTTGTCATGTTGTTAACCATAGCCCTGTTTGCTCATGTCCTGTATCAATGGTTGGAGATCCATTTATCGAATGTCGCCTAGCTCCTGGTGAGTTCGCTACTTTTTTTATTGTTCAGTCTCTAAATACCAAACCTGATAATAAAATGACTCAATAGGGCAGTGGGAAAAAATTCTTGCAGTCATAGTATATAATTTTTGCTCAAAGTAATGGGGACAACAATTTTACATAGCAAAACACTCCTTATTGTTGCTTTAATTTAGATGTTTGATCAGCGTTTTTATGCCTGTGAAAATTTGCTGATACTGTTTACCTTAGGTACTTTTCAGTAGCTCACACTGCAGGTCTTTTCACTGCAAGGAAAAAATCGCATCAAGATTTTTAAGTTTAAAGTAGTAACATTCCAATTATTTTGACTCCAGTTATCTGAAACTTTAGTCGTCCAGAATGCCCAGAAGTCCAAGCTTTTATGTAGCATAGAATGCTTGAAGTAGAAAAGAGCTCTTTTTGTTTTAAGACAAATTTACTTCTATGAACAGTGTAATCAAAGAAATGCATCGATTTTCAATGTCAAATTTTTTATTTATCTCCATATGGATTGTCAAGTTTTATCGTGCATCTAATTATAAGATACTTGGTCCTGATCTTTGTTCTAGCTTTTTGTCCTGTAAGTCAGATTTTTAAGTCGAAAATTCAATTTTTAATTTTCAGCTGAGTCAACAGACCCATGTTTCCCATCTCCATGTCATAAGAATGGAATCTGCAACATTATTGGTGGATCGACGACTTGTATCTATCCGGAATGTATCATCAATCAAGACTGCCCCAGAGACAAAGCTTGCTTCTCGCAGAAGTGCAGTGATCCTTGCTATGATGCTTGTGGTGTTAATGCTATTTGCCATGCTGTCAACCACCAACCTGTTTGTTTCTGTCCACCCGGTTTCACTGGGGAACCTCAAGTCCTCTGCAAAATGCAACCAACGTCAGCAGGTATGTGGCAGCAAAACTGGTAGTTTCCATTAGTTTTTGTGAGTGATACAAGACTTTTACAATAAGTCTTAGAGAGATAATTTCAAAAATGAGTATTATATCAAAATTTGAATATTATTCCATTAAACACCATGTAATATTTTTTGACAATTGGGCAGTGGCAAGGAATTTCTGCAGGTTTGCAGTTAAATATTTCAGTAGAATTTAGTGTATATTAAATGTAACATTTCGTAAAAAAACTAAAAAAAAAAGTTAATTAAAGAGTTAGAAAAATTATCCCCAAGGGGAGAAAAAGCTAATCACAATTCGACCAATCAAAAGTCCACAGTTAAGTTTGTGTAGTAATGCAATGTCTGGGGATGATTTCAGCCAACTGGTAAATGGAGTATCTCCCGACTGACTACGTCATCAGTGGCAGCCAAAAATATCGTTTCAAACGGGTCCCATTTTTGGCATTTTCAAAGTAGGGTTTCTTTGACTTTAAGGGTCGAAAAATTGTGAAGAATCTGTTACAGCTTAGTTCACTGTGGACTCCCTGATAATGAATTTAAAACTAGAAATGATGAAATTACAACCTTTTTTTTTTGTTTTTTTTTTTTTGATGACAATATGTACTTTCTCTACACGCAAGGAGGGCGAGAAAGAAAAAAATGGTTGCCTTTGACAAATTAGTTTGTGGTAACTTTGTATGGTTACTTTGATTGCCCTTACCCTGATCCAGCCCTCGAAAGATGTGAGCGGGAATACAATTATTTGTATACATTTATATACAACTTAAAATTATATGGTCAAAAATATTTTTTTTCAGAACCTAGAATAGAGTGTACCTCAGACACAGAATGTAACAATGATCGAGCGTGTGTCAGTGGCTCCTGTAAAAATCCGTGTGCAACATCTTCGAATGTTTGTGGCATTAATGCTGAATGTCATGTGCAGTTCCATCGGCCCATATGTGCTTGTAAATCTGGTTTCATTGGAAACGCTCTGGTCCAGTGTCAGGAAGGTATGTAAAATATTTTAGTTTGTTCTTGCTGTACTATTATAATCCAAGAGAGCTAGCTTCAAAAATCCTTTTTTTTAAGTGCATCCTGTAGGCTTGAAGTTGGGTATCATTTCAGTAATGACACTATTATTAACTCGGGTAAATCATGTTGTACATGGTCTCAGAATGAAAAATGCACTTAGTTAGATTTGCTTTCAGAGAGTTAAAATGTCTTTCATGAGATTGCATTTCCACTTTCAATTATGCTTTCCGAGTTGATTCCCTTGTCATTGATAATATCAAATATTTATTGAAAAATGTTCTATTTTCAGTCAGTATAATCGTCATGTTTTCTATCCACAGCTGGTTGCCAGGATAATTCAGGGTGCTCGACGATGGAGGCATGCATCAACGGAGAATGCGTAAACCCCTGCACCTTTTCGCAATGTGGTGTGAATGCTGAGTGCCATCCCGACAATAACCATCGAGCACGATGCTCTTGTCCAGCATCGTTTACTGGAGACCCTCTCGTTAAGTGTGAACGTCCACAATGTTCGTCCAATGATGATTGTCCACAGAATTTGGCCTGTCAGAACAAGCGGTGTGTCAACCCCTGCATCTGTGCAAATAATGCTCTTTGCATTGTTATTTCGCATAATCCCACCTGTCAATGTCCGCCCGGTTTTGTCGGAAATCCATATCGTTCTTGCGTCATCGGTAAGTTTCACTCCTTGTCTTTGACAACCTATAAACCCCCTTTTTTCCCCCTCAAGCCCCAATGAAACAAGTCATTCTTAGATCCAGTATTACTTTGAAGTATTATTATTGACTGAACGTTCATAAAAGCCACTAAAATTCAGTAGGTAACCATGAAGAAAGAGTTATCTACACTGAAGGTGATCTACGAGCGGCAGCTATGTAAGTCATTATTGGGAAGATCTCTTCTTCTATGGCTTCAATTATGTGCAATTTTTTTCCTTGCCACCGTTAGAAGTTTGCTACTCTTTTAGAGATGCTAAAGTTGAACTGCCAAACAAAAGTTTTACTATATTATTACCATTTTGGCTTACTTTTAGTCTATATGGCAGAAAAGCTCTTTCGAAAAAAATAAGAACTTCCATTTTTAATAGGTAACAAGAAGAGTATCTTGTTTAGTTATTATCAAGATTTATGGAAAGTCAAATAGTAGTCCTCAGTTCCTCTTAATCTCTAGTTTCTGAGTTTCTTTTACAAATCAAGGAATTGTAAATTTGGTGTATGTAATTATTCCATAGAAATATTAGAATTTTCTTGAAAAGTTGTCATTTTTTCCCTCAATTTTCATAGTAGTTTGAAAAATTTCCACTGAAAATTTCAATTATCTAGAAGTTCATCTAAAAAAAAAAGGAGGCAACATGTAATTGCTCATTTGTGCTTAGAAATTACAATAATGGCCCTTTTGCTTAAAATTAAGTCACCTTTTCTTTTGATTTCTTCAGCACCGATTGAGGTCTCACCTGGTTGCAAGCAAGACTCAGATTGCCCAAGCCGTCATGTTTGTATGTCTGGGGACTGTCGTGATCCTTGCATAGGAATCCAACCATGTGGACAAAATGCTGAATGTAAAGTTCTAAATACTTTACCTTTGCGCACCTTGTCCTGTCAATGCCTTCCAGGTTATGTCGGTGATGCAAGTGTTCAGTGTGAAAGAGGTATTCATTGTTCAATCATTAGTCTTAAATCATTTAATTTCTTGACTTATATTCAACTAACTAAAAAATGTTTTTATCAGAAATTTGTAACTGCTTCAGGAATAATTTTGAGGAAAGCAAGGCAGTACATATTAAACAAGTAATAGAAGAAAGCAAATTCCACCACCTACGTTAGACGCTTTTTGTCATTAGGGTTTTTTTTTATGGAAGCGTTACAATCTTGATAGTTTTAATCGCAGACAGATAAATATTTCATATTTTTCAAAAAATTATCATTCAAGTCTGGAAATGATTTTGGTTTCCTTGGTACTCAGTCCAAATCTGCAACTTCCAGCTTCATCAACAGTGATCATTAATTTAGCGACATTTCAATTCTTCGACTTTTTTTTTTAATCGTACTCATTGTTTGGTTTCAGGACAAGTTTTACTGCATAACAGCTTATCCCACTCCTTCCGATTATCCTTTCCTATTTTTTCCCAAGCAGCAACACCTCCTTGATTGTACTTTAAAATATTTTTGTTTGTTTTTGTTTTTTTTAGTTATAATATGTATATAATTTTAACTGAAATTATTAATTCTTTTTTCCGATTTTTTTCTCAACTAAAAGTTATTTTGAATCATGAAACTGAGATAGTACTAGGTGACACTAGTCTTCTAGTGGTAGACTCATCTATCATCCCTACTCCAAGAGATCAGTCCTAAAATTACAGACTTAACTCATTTCGCAGTCTTATTTGTATGTACCAAAATTTTTGTCAATGTTATACTGGACTAAATTTTGCAATTAGGAACCTTAAAATGAACCTTTAGTTCATCCATAAAAGCATTTAGCTGAGTAAGGAAACTAAAGACACATACGTTGTTTCTGAAATTAGTCAGAGTTAGTAGTTTTCTACCATGAAATGTGGTGACCTCGTCTTTTACCTTTGTTTTAAAGGTAGAGATGATATAGTAGACAATAAGATAGCTCACGTAGACCCCATTTGGCCAGATACTTTAGTTTATGTACAAGATCTTTAGAACACTCCTCATCATAAATTATCAATAGCATTGCATCATGGTAAATTTCCGTATTTTTATCCTAATTTGAATTTTTTCCTTTTTTCGCTCTAGCTGCAGCTCAAGTGGAGCATGGTTGCAAAGGAGATGCAGAATGTTTAGAATCTGAAGTCTGCATTAATCTTCTTTGTGTAAATCCTTGTGCCGTGTCAACTCCTTGCGCTCCATCTGCCGAATGCCAAGCAGATAATCATCGAGCAATGTGTAAATGCCCACCTGGTCTTGTGGGAGATCCTTTCGTCAATTGCTACAAAGGTGTGTTGCTTTTCTCCAGTTGTTTTCTTATTGTTTTTTTCCGCTGATTTTCCTCCTTTCTTTTCTTTTTGCCTTCATTTCTATAGCTCATAAAAGATAAATTTCCCTGCACACTTATTTTTATGTTCACAAGCTTTTAACATCGCCTAATTTCTTTGTTTCCTTTAGCGTCTGTAAAATCACCTGAATGCTCAGTTGATTCAGACTGTGCAACAGATGTTGCCTGTATTAACCAACGTTGCCAAGATCCGTGCATTTTAAGTAATCTTTGCGGCGCTGGAGCTCAGTGTTCAGTCTCAATGCACAGGCCAGTTTGCGATTGCCCAGCTGATTGGGCAGGAGATCCTCAAGTTCAGTGTTACAAGCGTGAGTATTTTTCTGACTTTTTTGTATCCTTACTCAGACACATATACGGAGAAAATCTCAAAAAATTCTAAAACATTCTCAGGAGATAAGCTGCTCAAATATATTTTATTTGTTATGCATCTAATTTCTTAAATGTAACTAAGCCAAAATCATGAGTCAAATAAAGAGTAATTCAGCAGTCAGCACAGTAACTAACCTGCTACCATCTATAGTGCAAAATACCTTATCATCGACGACAGATTATTAGAGCTGGAGATTTTTCCTGAAATCGATGTAGCTAAAAACAACTAGCCTATTTCTCAAATAAATACAGTGATAAGTATGAGAAAAAACTAAGTAACAAGAAATTCACAGGCTTCCTTTTTTGTAACTTCAAAAATATATTCTCCTCTGCTCGGTTCCAGAATCATACTTGCACAATATTAAGTTTTCCTCTTGATCCTACAAATTTGCCTGAATAGTAACAGGATTAGACTGAGAAAACAATTATTAGAGACTCTAACTACAAAAAGTCCATAAGTCAGTCTTCTGTTGAATAAAAATTGAGACTCTATCATAAACTGATTTCTTTTCTGCAGCGGAATGCCAAAGCAATGCAGACTGCGTTTATGACAAAGCCTGCGTTGAGAACAGCTGTTTGGATCCATGCCAGGAAACAACTTGCGGAAGAGGTGCTGAGTGCAAAGTCCAAAATCACCATGCATCTTGCACTTGTCCATTGGGGACTCAGGGCGATCCACTCATCTCTTGCATCGGAGTCATTTGTCAATTCAATGATGACTGTGCGGATCATGAATCGTGTGATAGAGTGAACCACAAATGCAGACCTGTTTGTCAAGAAAAGACGTGTGCAACTAACGCCGCATGCAGTGCAGCAAATCACCAGGCAACATGTACCTGTATGCCAGGCACTCAGGGCAACCCGTACACAGATTGTTCGAGTGAGTTACTCAAACCACTTTTTCTTCCGTAAAACAAGTTTGTAATTAGTTAGACTCTTTAGTTGCATATCTCTATCAACGTAATGTTTTTACCACTAATAATCCCCCTTTGATGATTAGCTTTTCTCATTATTGGGGAGAGAATCAATCCATTTTGGGAGTTACAAAAAATGAATTTACCCTATCTAAGGGTACTAGTGCGAGAGAGGGTTAACTACCAAGTTTGGTCTCGCTAGTTAGGTTTACTTCACAGCTCAACTTTGACACATTTCCAGTATTTAATTCCAATTCCGTAGATTAAACTCTCCAAAAAACTTAGTATTTGATTGCCACCATAATATAATTCTATGGTCTTTTTTCTGAAGATTCTCAACTCTTTATTGCTTTTTTTGTTGTTGTATAGCTGCTAGACTTCCTGCCCCTGTATGCAGTCAAGACGCTGATTGCCCCTCCAAACTAGCTTGCATCAATCAACGGTGTGAAAATCCTTGCCTTGCATCTCACATTTGCACCAAAGAACAAGATTGCAGAGTTTTAGATACATTACCTCTTCGCTCGGTTGTTTGCGAATGTCCCTCTGACACCATTGCAACACCTGAAGGCAGCTGTAAACCCATTGGTATGTATCTTTATCAAATTTACTAGCCTGATAATATGAAAACCTTGTGAATTATCTAAGTTTCCTTTTTGAGTCTCTAGTAAGCTTGATGTTCCTGACTTATTAACCTCCATAATATCTTTACAAGAATACCGAGGCAAAATGTAGCATTATTAGGAGCGATAGAATTTTGATATTGCTACCAGCTATAATTCGTAAATAAAGGAATTGGTATGAATTTGTATGGCACACCGTCAACTACCAAAATGCTCCTATTTTTTTTGTTAGAGTGCAGTTTTAAAAGAAGGAGAAAAATATATGTTTTTGAAGGCTAAAAGCTATGGTATTCATATGAAATTAAAATCAAGGAATGGTAATAGAATTTTTTCCAATCTAAAATTTTTTAATAAAAAAAAATCTTTTCTTTGCAGCGGGAACAACGAAAGATCCTAAGTGTCGATCCTCAGAAGAATGCAAGAACAATGAGAAGTGTTTCAAAGGTGTTTGCACAGACGCTTGTAGAGTTGAACCTTGCGGTGTTAATGCACAGTGTATCGGGAAAAAACACCAAGCTGTATGCTCCTGTCCACCTGGCTACATAGGCAGCCCATATTTCGAGTGCAGCAGTTGTAAGTTCCATTTTTCCCCTTCTTCACCATTTTGGATCTGTTTTTTTTTCTCTCTTTTTAACTTATGCATAATTTTACCTAGAGTGATCCTTCACTAAAATTTTTATCTTTAAACTTACCTATAAAAATGACCTAGTATGCTCTTTATAAGTCTAGAAGTATCAAATATACCATACATACCCAGTTTATGTACATTTACAGTGAAAACTCCATTAATTGACACTATGGTATTAGCTGACTTATTTTTAATCAACGCTATATTTTGTCAAGTCTCATGGCTTGCAAAACCACACCTCTCTCTAATAATCAGTTCTGTTACATCACCTAATTTTTTGCTAAATCTTGACTATTTTGTTTGTATTTTTAGTGCCCAAGTTACCTCTACCAGTCCTACCAGAGTGCACCAGAGACAATGATTGTTCTTACGGTCTTGGTTGCAATAGGCAACGCTGTGTGAACCCTTGTACTACAAAAGTCTGCTCGCGGAATGCATTCTGTCATGTTGAAGGCCACAAACCAATATGTCGCTGTCCACCAGGTTTCAGTGGGGACCCCATGGTGGAGTGTAAACCATGTAAGTTCTTGAAAATCATGCGTATTCAATACATTGTTAAATTGAAAAATGTCATTGAGCTCTGATTGCCAAGACTTTGTTCATGACATGCAAAATTCTTCTGTTTAGATTTTCAGTGTTTGACTTCAAAGTGATAAGACAGTTCAAGAAAAAATTGTGAATGTGAAAAAGGAAAACAAAAGGAATTAAAAGGAAACAAAAATTAATTCACTTTTATTTATAGCTTTTGTTTTTGCAATCTGATAAAATTACAACTAAGGCCCATAGTATGCGAATAACTGTCCAAACATTGTAAAATTATTTGATTGGTTTCTTTCAAAAGAATATCTGTTCCTTCTCTTGTTTCAAGACTGCCTGCGACACTTCATCAGTCATTTGTGAACCAAGAACCAGAACTTGAATGTGTCAGAAAATTTCTATGACTTTTACAAGTAGCATACCAAAAAATCTTTTGAATATTTGCACAGAATTGACTCTTGTTTAACACACATCAGAAAGAAGTGTTTCAGATTAATTTGAATAAAAGCAGGAGACTCATGTCTTTCTGCAAGTAGGTGACTAATTCATTCATCATGTCCATTTTTGTTTTCATTATATTCTGCCACAGCAGCTCTATTTAGGCTTGGATAATGACTGTCTGAACTTCACGACTACTCAGATTGTTTGATTATTCAACGCAGGGTCTATGATAAAAACAAGAGGCTGTCTAAGATCTTTATAAAAAAATTGCTCCTACCAACTTACCTTTTTTTACAAATTGAATAATCATGCTGTTGTTTGTTACTTTTCCTATTACTAAATTTCCGAATTTTTCCCTAGCAACGGAAGCTGCAACTATTGGTTGTTCATCAAACGCAGAATGTCCTCTGCAAGAATCGTGTGTGAATAGACTTTGTATCAGCCCCTGCAACTGTGGTCCAAATGCGGACTGTAAAGTTCTCGATCACTATCCAATTTGCTCTTGCTCCCCTGGTTTCTCTGGCAATCCACAATTTGGCTGTGTGAAAGGTAAGTTCAGCCATAATCTCTTGCATTGCCTTCAGCTTTTACATTTTTGTCAAGAACATACTCATTAATGAATTAGCCTCCTCACAAAATATTATTTTCCATGAAGTTTGCAGCAAAGAAATATTATGCACTTGCTGAAAACTGTCAAAAATTTCAATCCACTTTGTATGAGCTCGATCATAGATCCAATGAGTTTTTTTGCCCTCTCAGGACAACTTAGATGTGTAATTGAAATTGATTAATTTTTCAGAAAAGGAAATATGGTGCCTAGGAGATTCCTCCACGCCCCCTAAAACTTGGAGTGTTATTTCAGCTGTTAACAGTTTTTCCAATAAAAATCTAATCTGAAACTATGTTTAAGCTGCCTATAATTGGGATTCAACAAAGGCACCAGCTAAAATTTTTGACGCTCATTTTTGTTTGATTTCAGTTGATTGTGAATCAGACTCACATTGCTTGTCGTCACAGACTTGCTACAATGGAAAATGTGTAAATCCGTGCATCCTGGAAGATGCATGCGCTCCTAATGCAGAATGTTACGGTGACAACCACCAGACCGCTTGTCGGTGCGCACCTGGCTATGAGGGCAACCCCCTTGTCAGATGTGAACACGTTGAGTGCCATTCAGATTCAGAATGCAGATCTGATCAGAAATGTTTCAATTTGCATTGCGTCAATCCGTGCCAAAATTCACCTTGTGCACCGAATGCTGTCTGTTACGTCAACAACCACAATGCTGCGTGCCGCTGTCCCGAGAGCCTACCCCTTGGAAATCCTGCAGTAAACTGTGAACGCCAACCCTCCTTCGGTAAAGAGCCGGAATGCAAGTACGACACAGACTGTGTCAGCGGTTTGGCCTGCCTTACCAACAAATGTGTCGACCCCTGTTACGAACTTGTCCCTTGCTCCAATTCAGCACGGTGCAATGTTTTGGACAGTGTCCCAGTGAAGACTTTGACTTGCACTTGTTCAGAGGGATGGGTGCCCAATGCAGAAGGCGAATGTAGACCAGGTAAACTTCTATTCTTCTCTTTTAAAATTTCCCTTATAGCTCGATGGTAATTATTTTTTTTTTTATCATTATTAAAACTCTCAATTGCCACAATTTATATTTTTTAAAGGCTATTTGGACAATATAAAAGCAGTAAACTTCCAACATTTTCAATTTTTATGGTTTCCACCCAATATCAATTCAAAGTCACCATAGAATAGTGAGTCTAGCTTGAAAATTTTGAATGGCACGGTGGCGATATGATATTATTTGTCTTGTACTTTTTCTCAAGCCTTGGTAGAAATCAAAATCAAAATGAAAGATGCCCATTAGGCATCAGGAAATTAATCGGAGTTAAGTCTCACCTACATTTGCCGCCTTGTTTGATGTAGAGTACCCCTAATCTTGCTTTAAAAAAATTTCAACTAAAATGAAAATTCCTTAATTGTGGAACATACTTAAATTAGTATTTTGCTCGATTTGACTTGTGTAGGATTTTTTTTTTTTTTTTTTTTTTTTTTTTTTTTTTGAGAACTGAGTTTAAATCGGTGTACCCAAAAGACACTATTTTCTCATGTATGAGTTGTGGTAGGAAAGTTTTAATACGTCAAGTATTCCACGGAAAATTTTGGTATAGAAATATATTGTGGGGCAAGGTTTTGTACTCTGCCTAGTGATTCATCATAGGAAATAGCCTCTGTTTTAAATTTTTCTTTTAATATCAATCCACTTTTATTTGTTCACAGTTGTTGTGCCGAGTCCTCCTGGTTGTGCAACAAACCAAGATTGTCCTAGTAATGAAACTTGTATCAGCCGTATTTGTCGTAACCCTTGTAACTGTGGTGCCAATGCTAATTGTATCGTCCAAGATCACTATCCCATTTGCTCCTGTCAAGAAGGTTTTGAAGGCAATCCTCACATTGCTTGTCGCTCCAGTGAGTATTTGTTAATTTATAAAAGTTAATTCCTTAAATTTTGACTGAGAATTGCAATCCATTAATTCTACCGAAAGAATCTTGATCTCTGTTATCTGAGAAAATAAGGTTTAAGTTAGCACAAGATCTAATTCTTTTGCAAATAAATATTTGCTCGTACCTTGATGAAAATATTTATCGATGTAGTGACAGGAGAATGCATTCTCTTTTTTGACTGCTCCCACCTCATGATTATCACTGCATATATTGATACCAATATTTACTTTCTATGAAGTAGTGAAGTTTTCTAGGAAAATTTGCTGTAAACATATTTCCTAATGACATTCATAATGTTTCACAACATTTAATTTTTACAAAATGAATTTTCGTTATGACATTTGTTATTTGTATAGATAAAAATAAAAAAAAGGTCTAAAACTTCAGGTGTATCTCATTTCCTCAATAATGAATTCTAATATTTTTCTCCTCTTTTTCCCCTTTTTAGTTGGCTGTCGCACAGACGGAGAATGTGAAAGTGGAAAAGCTTGCTTGAATAGTCATTGTATCGATCCATGCTTAGTCAGCAACCCATGCGGTTTTGACGCTGAATGCTACACAATCGGAAACCGTGCAGAATGTCGCTGTGTGAGTGGTTATCGAGGAGATCCATACGACAGATGTACGGTGATTGGTTGTCGAACGAATAACGATTGCCCAGATGACCGAGCCTGCATAAATTCTCAGTGTATAAATCCATGTGCTTACGAACACCCTTGCGCAGCAAACTCCGAGTGCAAAGTCAACAACCATCTGGCTTTGTGCAGGTGTCCACCAGGGGAACTTGGCAACCCCTATGTCGGCTGTCGACCGGAGCCAAAACCAGAGTGTAAAGTAGATGCTGACTGCCCTGCAAAACTGGCATGCTTCAACGATGTGTGTCAGAATCCATGCACTGCTCTTCAGCCCTGCACCTCGCCAGCTGAGTGTAGCGTTGTTTCGAGCCTTCCTGTCAGGACAATGCTCTGCGTCTGTCCCAACGGCTATGCTAGTAGTGGAAGTGGCACCTGCAAAGCAGCACCTCCAATAATACCGATCGGTTGCATAGCAGATTCCGATTGTCCTCTTCACAAAGCCTGTGTTAATGCTCTTTGCATGAGCCCGTGCAACTGCCCATCTTATGCAGAGTGTCAAGTCAGCGATCACAAACCAACTTGCTCTTGTCCACCTGGTTTTGAAGGAGACCCGAATATAGAATGTGTAAAAAGTAAGTTGTCTAACACCACTTTTCTATAATTTGAGCTTGGGGATCCTGGATGTCCTACTGAAATCTGTCGTATCATGAGCTGTTCTGATTAGTGAGTTTTAAACCTGATTGATGGGGGAAGCAAAATCCATTGACAAATAATGAGAGTTTGCAGTGATAATCCTACGCTCTTAGAATAAAAAGAAACATATTAATGTGTAAAACAGCTCAATTTTCAATGTTTCTTTTATCAAAACTATTAAATTATTTTTTTTTGACAGATTTTTGAAACTGGTTCGAATTCTATACCAATTTTATCAAAATATTAAAATCATTATCCTGAATAAGTTATAGAAATAAAAATAATGGCTCCCCTCACAGGTTTTTTTAATTGTATTATCTAGCTTTTTCTGCAGAGAAAAATTTGAAAATACTATCCATTAGAATTAGAATGAGGAATATTCTTTGTATTTTTATCATATTGTTTCTTATTACAGTTGATTGTCCAGCAAACAAAGGGTTCATCCGTGCTGAAAATGGTGAATGTGTTTGTCCCCTCGGGTACGCACTAAATGCCAATGATGAATGTCAGCCATGCTATATAAATCAAGGATACAAAATTGATGAGAATGATCGCTGTACCTGTGCTCTAGACAGAGGATTCATCGTTAATGAATTTGGCGAATGTGTGTGTCCTACAGAGTTTGGCTATCAGAGAGACACGAATGGAAACTGTGTATTAGGTAAGTTACGTAAATCAAACATGCAACTTGTTTAAGAAAGTACAAACATAATTACATGTCTTAATTATTTGCTTAGAAGAGCAGCCATTGTAAGTCAGAAGTGGTGGAATTTTTAAACTAAAATTTGCAACTAAACAACATGAAATATATGCAATCCTGGCTACCAAAATTTCAAGTAAAATATTTTTAAATTTTTAATGCAAGAAAAGAAGAAAAAATGTAACCAAAAATTTACTAGTAGCGAAGATGACTTTCACTCAAATGGCCGTATCACCTGTGAAAGTGGGTTTTTTCAAGAATTGCAAACAATCGCCTCAAAACAGAATTCATTATAGTTTTCTTTTTAATTTCTAGACATTTTTGACTTAAAAAATTGTTAGGATGTCTAGAATTTTTTTTTTTTAAAGTAAGAATCAAGTGTCTCAGCTGCAAGAAAAAAAGACCCCAACAAATTAATGCACACTTTATTTTCTGTGCTTTATTCAGTAATTTTTATTTTTTTCTATTCAAAGTCAACTCCATGAATATAAAAAAAAGGAGCATTGGGGCAGTATTCATTTATAAGGAATGAATGCCACAGTAAATCTCTACTCAAACTTGAAATAGTTTTGATAAAAACTCCTCTCCCCCCCCCTCTCAGATGTTCTTAACAATGGGTAGTTTATCGTTGTTATCTGTTCTTCTTTCAGTCGGCGAATGTGAAAAAGATGACAACTGTCCGAACAAGAAATTCTGCAATTTGAATACGCAAATCTGTGAAGACGCCTGCCAAAACACTCGCTGCGGAGTGAATGCCTTCTGCAATGCCACCAATCATAAGGCAGTTTGTCTATGTATTGCTGGCTACAACGGAGATCCCTACTCAGTCTGTAACCATACACACACAGTTTTTCGTACTGACTTCCCCCGTCCAGACATGGTTGTCAGTTGTCTATCGGATGGTGTTCAAGTTGAAATTCATATCACAGAGACAGGATTCAATGGTGTTTTATATGTGAAAGGTCATAGCAAAGATGAAAGCTGCCGCCGCATAGTTTCCGTTCCGCAAGAATACGCGAACCAGAGGACAGAAATATTTAAAGTCCACTTTGGCAGTTGTGGCCTCCTCTACAAAAACGGTCTTGCAGATTTTGTCTTAGTAATACAAAAACATCCAAAATTGGTAACTTACAAAGCTCAAGCTTATCACATCAAGTGCGTTTATTCAACAGGAGAGCAGAATGTAACACTAGGGTTCAATGTTTCAATGCTTACGACAGCTGGCACCATCGCCAATACAGGACCCCCTCCAACTTGTACCATGAAAATTGTCACACACACAGGACAAGAAATCAACTCTGCTGAAATAGGAGACAACTTGATGCTTCAAGTAGATGTACAACCATCAAGCATTTACGGAGGATTTGCGCGGAGTTGTATCGCTAAGACAATGGAAGATTCAGTTGAGAACGAGTATATTGTCACTGATGAAAATGGTTGCGCAACTGACCCATCAATATTCGGAGATTGGGACTACAATCCAGACACGCAGTCACTTCTTGCAACTTTCAATGCATTTAAGTTCCCCAGCAGTGACAATATTCGGTTTCAGTGTAATATCCGCGTTTGTTTCGGAAAATGTCAGCCATCTGATTGTCGCGGTTACAATGCGTATGGGAAACGTAGGAGAAGGGATCTCAGGTATGTGAGTAAGAACTCATCAACGGATGTCTCAGAAGCGCTCTTGGCTGGCCAATTAAGAGAAGAAATAACAATCCAGTCTAATGCCATCTTAACTCTCGAACGCTCGGAAGAAAGAGTAGCAGGCCCTCCTGATGCTCCTGAGCCGCAGCGTGCAGAAGACATCTGTATTTCTGTCATAGGTTTTATTATAGCTTTAATTGTGACTGCACTGCTAGCTTTAGTTGCAGTTGCTGTCGCTGTTTCCTGTTGGCTGCTAGCGTATCGTCGTCGGCCAACATTAGCGGGACCCCTACCTCATCCTCCAGAATTCCCTAACCCACTATTCACTACGCCAGAACCTGTTGCAGAACCGTCTCCTGACTATCATTCCTGAATTTTCTTAATATAGTTAATTTTCATATTAGAGTAAGTTTTTGAACTAGACTGACTTGCTATTTATTTTAGTTTATTATTTACTGTCAACTGTTCAGTCATTTTTTTCTAACTCCAATGCTCTATTTGTGGGGACAATAAAAACTCAACACTGTCTCCAAATTATCTGTGATAAATAATATTGACATTCAATTTTTAATCTTGTAAAAATCATTATTCAATTACATATCTATGTTGTTTACTAAATTTATCTAATTTATTGTCTTTTTTTTAAATTTTACTTTGTAGCTCAGTATTTTTAGAAAAACAACTTTAAAAAGTTGCACCTAAAAATGAGCAGATTCTTGATGTTATTTGAAGAACTATGTTTTAAGGTCAGTAGCAACCTAAGTCTAGAGCTGAATTTTTGGAAGGATACTTTTTTTTCTCTCTGCTTTATATGTAGCCAAATTTATAGTTCAAGTATCTTGCTCTAATCATTTGAAATAAATTATGGCCAAAGAACATGGTTCTTAAGTGCATTTCTGTAATTCTTTTTAGTGTTGAAAGTACCTATTTGTACAAACTGTTGAGTGCACAGTAAAGAATTTCGCTCAAATCAAAGAGTGCTTTGAACTTACAAAATGTTTGTTTATCCAAAGTTTAGTTGAATTATCTTTAAAAAAGGTACAAATAATTCATCGTAAAATAATTGTGTAAACATGTACATACTTTTAAGTTGTATATTTTGATATGAAAATGTAAGTATGCGATAGCAGTAGGCATAATAAAGAATACTGCCGGAATACAAGTTGGAATAAGTCTTAGAATGTGATTCTTCCATCTCAAAGTCATCATATTTAGTCATTATTTGTATTTTTGTAAATCTAAGTTTTTTATTTTTGTTTAATATTCTGTCTATGAAATATCATACTTCAGGTGACCGTGCTGTAACGATCAAAATTATCACAAACTTGTTGCCTGAAAAGGTTGACCTCAAAACCTTGTTGGAAGAAAGTTTTTGCGTTCTCAGCTCTTCATGCAGCATTAGCTAAAATTATGATTTATTGTTTCAAATCAGTTAATAAATTAAACGTATTCCAATGTTATTGCCAAAAAAAATTTCAGCCCCATATAGTGGGATACAAAGGTATGCAAATTATGTGAAGGGAATTGAGGTTGCTTCTTTAATTTAAATTTGTGAGGATATGTATGGTATGAATACCTCAATAATTAATTACTTAACATGTTTTGTTTTTTTTTCTCAAATAATCAAAAGGAAAAATGGTTCAAGGTCTTTGATTCGCGGCTCCCTTTATAAATATTGATGTTAATTATCTCATGAATCCATATATTTAACCATAAGTAAACAAGTGCATTGTTTCAAAATTATCTCTGCTGACTGTTTTGATTAGCATTGTTAGCAACATAGTACGGTTTTCTTGGCATAATTTAACGTGCTCGCCTCTTAATTTTACCCAGGGTATGGAAGAAAAAATTATAGTTTTTATCTTTGTCTCAAAGTATAGCATAGATACAGTATCATGAGAACTACTTTCTTTGTCTAAAAAAAAACATACATTTCTTCCTGATAAAACTATTCAATAAGCTCAATGAATTCTCCCGAAAGTTTTTCTGAAAACATCAAAGATCAAAGATCAAAGAAGCAAGGTAAAATATTTAAAGGCAGTTTGAAACAAGACGTAACAGAGTTTCACATTGTCAGTCTTTTTTGAAGTATTAATGCAAGCTGTCTTTTATCCTCCACACTGCCTTTCTACTAAGATTATCATTCAAGTGCATCGGTGTGCTCCTGATCCTAGGCCTAATTCGTGTTATTCATTAATCATTTTTCCTTTTTATTATATTTTATTTGATGTAAGTTACAATCGTGGAAGAGAACAAATAAATCAATTACTTCATTGCTCAACTGATCTAATATCCTGTAAGTGATTAGCACTGAAACACATTGCACTGAAAGTCGTTTTTAAATGTGCGCAATAGTCATTGGTGCAATTCACCAGTTAATATGTAAATATGTTGATATTTCTTTTCAGTGTACTGTATTAGTATTTTAGTTATGTTTTTCGGTTTTGACACATTTATTTATTCTCAATTTGAAGTTTTGTTTGAGCTATTGTTATAAAGAAATTTAGTGATGGCCAGTTGAAGATAAGAAAATGCAACTCTCCAACGTTTCCATTTTAAATCTTTTCACTCTACCTTCATTAATGATTGATGACTCATTACTTTGAAACAATTGCAGACGAATACCTCCATTTTCAATCTTGGATTGTGTTGTTCTCTTTTGCTGAGGTCATTGTAACTGATTTCGATTTTTTGATAGTCTTTCGTATGAAAATTTTGTGTGCAATAGGCACATGATGCTAATTGAAAGAATGCCACAGATGATAACTTCTGGAAAAGCTGGAAAACCTTCCCCTTCTTCGTAATATGAGAGAATTGTATGATTAAATCTAAAATTGTTTCCATCAAAGAGTCAGCCAATTCTGTATGGTTCTACTCCAATGGTCTTTACGTTCTTGAGACGCGTGTTTTGAGTTATCATTCCCAAAAAACTCCAGAGTCCTTTCCGTAACCATGAATTGTCAGAGAATTTTGAAAACTTAAAGTAAACTTGCCGTGCAGTAATTTTGCAATAAAATGTCCTGTCTAAAAATATGGTGAAAGTCTATCTAAAGCTGACCATCACTTTTATTTCTCTCTGTAGAGTGTCTCATTCGAAAACTTTAAGTTAGGTGAAATATTTCTAGAGGTAATTTTCCTAGAAATTCAACAATTTTTTAAGTAGAAAACTTTTCTGGACAGCAATTATAACCAAATGACTACCTCTGGGTGTTTAAATCTTAAATTCTACATCAGGAAGTTTCTATTTCGAAAGGCAGATGAAATCAATTTTTGTGACTTTATATTATCCTTGGTTCATTCAATGTATACTAAAGCCCTAAAAGTGTGCTAGTTGTAGAGCTCAACTTGATGCAGCAAGCCAAAAAAATAGGTTAATAAAATTTGTATTATAATTTTATAAAATCAGGTTCCAAAGGCGCGCTTAGACACGTCAAGCTGCTGGCTGAGCCACATTACAAACATGTAATTGTTTTCCCATATTGCCGCTGATTGCACCGATTTTATGAAGCTCGTAAAGCGGCTTGGCAGGTCTTGTGAATGCGCCTTAATCCTGTATCCTAATTTCATAGGTTAAAAATAGCTCATAGAGTTAAAATGTTTTAGTTTATTAGCATCTCTGTACGTGAGTTTTTCGAAGGCCGATGATTTTTTGTGTTCTTCATTCTTATGCAGAGGCTCTAAATGTTTCCCTACTTAAAAATATTTCATATTTGCCGTAGCTATATTTTCTCGTCGACTGAAGCCATTTCTCTGTTTTCACATTGAGGAAACACTTCTCTACTATTGAAGTGCAAAACCCTAAAAGTTTTTCCTTAGGCTCCTCACATTTATCCAAGTGAAGGGCTACAGGGATGTTTTGCAAGTTTCTTCCTCTAAATCAATTTTTTCATATAATTTAGGGATTTGAGTTCTGCTATTTTTATTTTTACCTGCAAAATCTTGTCAGTTCTTTTTTTTTTTATCATACCTAGTATTTTCCTATGTTCAGATGTAGAAAATTCTCCTCAGTTTTGCAGTGCTGAGCTCACCTGCTATAGCAGTTTACATGAACTTCTTCATGACCTCCTGAGCACAATGAGCTCTTAAAATTGAACTTTTTTTGTGCAAATTTTGAGATAAGTAGAGCTGAAAAGTGAATTTTTTAGCATCTTTACACACATAATCCTAGAGACGTTGGTGATTGATAAGAGGTCCTTTCTCCGCATCGCATGTAGACCTAGAAGATGAAGAAAATTTTGCCTAAACTGCTTCAGAGAAGGAAGGTCTATCTGCATATTCAATAAAATGGCAGTGCCTATCCCCATGAAATAACTTGTGGAAATATGCCGATATATTCTCTTTTAAGTCCTACTTTTCTCAAAATTGGCTCACCGAGAGATCGATTTTAATAGCTCATCGATCTCAGGGGGTCGTAAAGAATATCATATGACAGTGACCCAATTCGATCGCTTTCTTTATTTTCTGTGCAGGGGCCTTCAAGTGATAGTTGAAGTACTCTAACAGCAAAGAGTCTACTGCTGATGGATGAGGAATGTTTAATGTAATAAAATAAAATCCTTGGCCTTTGGAAAAATTACCTGTAAATTATTCATGGACAAAGTGTAGATATTTTGTTTTTTTATTTATTTATCTGTTGCCTCATTTGTATCATAGTAATTTATTGTTAATAAAATCTGTTCTTACAGTGTCAAGCAAAACAAATCAATTTCCTGTTTTCCCCTTCCTAATTTTCTAGGGCCTCGTCCACTTGATTGCAGTAAGCGGGACTTTTGGGCAAACTTGTTCTAGGAACTTATTATAACTTAGCTATAACTTATCCCATGGAGCCTCAATTCCTTGAGCTAATTCGTCCAAAAATTCTATAAACTGCGCCCGTAAGGATAAGGCCTTCTGAAATCTCATTTTTACAGAAATCTCTAGTCCTCTTTTGATTATACAGAGCCTTATACAAAGTGAGTCCCAATCTCCTTCTATTTTCCCTTCATTTTTCAATAATTCATGTACCATTATTGCGGGTCAGGTCTTATCATTTTAGTGGGGTTGTCACAGAATTTAGAAAATAAAAACCTTATAAACCAAAATTTACTTCAGTGAAGGCTTTTACTAATACTTTTATTGAAATATTCAGAGACACTATGAAACAAGAATGAATACGAAAAATAAATAGTACAAATACAGAGAAACATTAATGTATGCTTAAATTAAATGAGATTATAATCGACAGTTTTTGCCTTTTGAATCAAAAATAATTGTACTTTTGCAGCTGAGCTACATGCTGCAGAATTATATTGGAAAAGCTTAAAACATCACAAACCACAGTTATTTTTGCCTCATAGTTGAATGAAACAAGACATTTTACACTTTTCAGTCTTAACATTGCTCACATACTATTAGATTTTATCAAATTTCTCAAGATATTTAACATAAATAAGACTTAATGTTTTAAAGAAGTGAAAAGAGGGCACAATGACCCTAGATAAGATCCAATTGAGTTGGTGCAGTAAAGTGAAAAATGCATTTTATCAACAATAGAAATCCTGTAACGGATGGAAAAAAAAACATGATTACCTTTGATTTGGCAAGTTGCAAATAAGAATGGAACGGAGACAATACAAAAATATTTAGTCATCATCAAGATCAATTAAATCCACCGGTTCCTGCTTTGAATTCTGTGAGGGGGTATTGCCTAGACTAACCACTGTACCACAGCTACTCAGGGGATTGAAAAAGAATAAATTATTGTGAGGAGCGCCTTTCTGAGAGACAACTTTGATGATTTCTTGAGCTAAGACTCCGCCTACTACAGCACAGGAGGGGCTCACTTCAGCAAAAACCGTTCTGTAAACAGAAATTTAGGAAGTGAAATGACAATAAGCTACAATGTAGAGATAGAACATCAAAAACATTGCAGTCTGTAGCCAGATGACTGAATAGATTGAGCCGGAAAGCTACTTAGTCCAAGGCTCCAAACGTGCTCAGTTGAATTTAGCCAAGACTAGATTTAACACCAATTTGATTTGACACTGGCCAACAGAACATATAGAGTTAGTGAAGTGCGTTTTGTACATAGAGAAAAAAAAGGAGGTGTTTGCATCTTGAGTTTTGTTAACCCTGTGACGTAGGTCGGTACAACCTGGCCAGCGAAATCCGGAATTCAAAATATGAAAAACGGACCATAATGTTCGATTTTTTTACTTAAATCAACTCATCACATAATTTCAAGCACTTTTTATAGAATGACTTTTTTTCCATAAATGACACTATTTCCAAGATTTTCGATGATACACGTCGCTGTACCGACCTACGACATCAAAAAAATTCCAAGATGCCCGAAATGCAAACGCCTCCTTTTTTTTCTCTATGTGTTTTGTATCCACTTGAGTTTGACGTACGATAAATGTGGCTATGAAGACTAGTCAAAATCAAATCATGCGCGGTGACTCTCAACTCTAACTTGATACAGGATGGGCTTGTTATTGCGCTCTGGATTGTAAAGAAAATTGAAAAAAACTGGCGTTCACTTAATTTCAGTAGGATTTACTGAAAGCCAATTTGTACCCCTCAAAAAACCCTCGCTTAGATGATGAAATTATTTTCTCTCTCACTGCTCATAACAAAGAACTTGAAAACGGCTTCGACAAGACTAAACTGTGTAAGTCTGATGAGCACTGGACACCCCCAGGAGATTAAATTTGATTCAATCATGGCTTAATGTGTCTCCATCAAGTCCAGTGTGATCAAGTCTCCATTAAGTCCAGTGTGATCAAGTCTCCATTAAAGGAACTGACCATAAACATAGCCCACTATATGAAGGTTAATTTTGGCTTTGGCTGTTTTGACCCAGTGATTTCTTGAGCTTAGATTGTTTGAATAAGTCACTTAAATTGTCCTTCAACAAAATTAGAATTCCATACTGTAACACTAAATCAAGCACCAAAGATTTACTTTTAACTGATTAACATAGAAGTGCAATATACAAGTTGTAATAACCACAAGTTACTTGCTGACTTGACGACCAAGACATTCTCCACTTGAGCAAATACTGAGGGCTTTCATTTGAATAACAAGCACCGCAGGACACAGTCCAAACGTCATGAAAGGAGTAAAAAATTAAACAAGGTAAAAATATAGGTAAACAAGATAGTATGATCATGATCAATTGCGTTAGAAAAAAATTGGTTAGGCTCATACCTAAAACATTCATCAGGAACTTTTTCTAGAGGTACCGACTTGTCTGTCAAGAATTCATCACGGATGGACTGCAAAAGCTTAATATCTTCTTCACGAGTTGCAGGGCTAGGATCTCTCTTCTGCTTTGACCGGAATGAGAGTAAAACTGAGAAAAGAAAATAAATTAATGTAAAATTGAGGTCCACAATGATCAGTGTTAACTGTTAACTGTAATATGATAACAAATGGTCAGATTTTTTCCTTCTCATCCTGATGAAGTTCTTTCTTAATATGTCAATGAAAAGAATCATTGGACATGATGAAATACCATTGAGGAAAATCTAACCTCGTAAAAATATTTAATCATCAATATGCTACTTCCTACGTCCACATCCAGCTAATATTGTTGGACACGAAGTTGATCCTGTGGCGGTGCATTGAGGTGATGAGGCTGACTGATAACATACACTCAGCCGTCGACATACAGCCAACTAACAACAAACTGATAGTAAATGAATGCTTGCTTTTGTAAAGAAAAAAAAGAAAAAGAAAAAAAATACAGCTTCGATGATAAAGATATAAATTTGGAACTTCCGCATTGTTTCTTTGAATACAAGGGATTTTGAACATCAAGGATAAGTTTAGTCCATTTCTGGACCATACTTAGGTATTACAGGTGTCCCTAAGTCAACAAAAAGGCAACACTTTGACTTAAACACTTAAGATCTTAGAAGGGACTTAAGCTCATTTGACCAATTTTAGCAAGGAAAAAGAATAACTTTCAGCAAATCGAGTGAGAATAGGAGAATTTAGAAAGAACTTACTCATTGAGAGAAAGAAGGATGAGTCCATCTCATTCAACTTTTTCTTATTTTCTTCATTTTTCCAATCCATGTCTACAACGGCTTGAAGAGGTACAAAATTATCAGTTTTTTTCACAGTGACTTTGACGGCCTCTTTCTCCATTTTAGCTCGCTTGTTAGGAGTATGAGATGACATGACAGGTTTAGCAATCTGTTTTGTCTCTTCCCTAAAAAGTTAAAATTCATACATTTAAAAAAGAGCAATGAGGTGGAGAGGAATATTAACTGAGAAAAAGAATTGATGAGAAAAAGTTTATTGCAATACAAATTCTTTAAATTCAAGTTTCTGCTACCGAAAAGTTTTTCACCAAGTGCTTAAAGATAAAATTACAATTTTTATACAATGACCTACCCACTGCAATGCTTAATGAAGTTGCAGTAGACTCGATTCTAATTACCATGATTCTGTTATGTTAAACTTGACACCCCTTCTCCCCTCCAAAATTCAAAATTGCTTTAAAAAGTACATTAAAATTCATCGATCATCATGACATTACTATTGAGTGCATATTGAAAAAAAGATAAATTGTTGAGTTTTCAGCAATATAGAATGGAAGAGCAATAATCAAAACTTACTCTGCATATTCGTGGTTCTGCAAATCTGAGAAATGGTAACCAAAAGTTCCGAAAACATCAGCACAAAAGAATTTTACATTAGCATTTCTGCAGATTGTGTTGATTTTCAAATAGGTGGGTAAGTCAAGCCGTGTTGCACAGACTATATCAAACTTTGTAAAAAAATCAGGCTCATCTGCAAATTTTTCTGGGTAATGTGGCACTGCTTTGACTTCAACCATTGGATTCAATTGTTGAGCACGTTCTACGGAGGCTTCAGCTCTCTGCAAAAATATAATGATCCATCAGTTTTAGAGGAATTATAAAACCAATTCTACTCTTGGTTTAGATTTTTTCTCTGCATGCAATGAAGCTCATTTCATGATGGTTTAATACTTTCTAGTCATTCTATGAGTCAAAAACTGGGAAAAATAAGTTTCTTTGCAATTATGCACCATGTGTTTTCAACATTGACAGTACGAAAATATAGTGCACTGCTTCAGTCATGGTATTACTTCCATTTCAATACTTTTCAGAACTTTTGAAGCGGAACCAAGACATTTATAAAGACTGCATTTTCTGTATTCCCCCAGAGTAAAATTTATTTGGGGGAGCAAGAATATGTTTCACATTATGTTGATTGATGCGTAATGCTTTCAATATCTGTGATGCTTATAAAAACCTATTTCGACAAACTTACTTTGTAAAATGCTCAACTAATTAAGAAACAATTTAACAGTCATTGTATGGCTACAAGAACGCTGGACAAATCGCTAATCAATTTTAATCTGAATCTGAGTATTGTCTCCTGTAATTTTTGCCTAACCTGATTTCATTACTGGGAGAAGAAAAATATTAAATTGGCAGGGTTCATTTTTATTAGGTTTTGTGTAATTTGAAGATGAATGCTCTTCCCCCTTTCAAAATTTACTTTTTGTCAACAGTTTCTGGGTCATTTGATAATAGAGCGGAGATATGTGTTGAGACAAATGTCAATCTCTGATTACATGCAGTCAGATGGCGCCACTGATGAGTGGTGACCTGAACAATACTTGAATTATGTCTCAACGTATGATGTCCCTGCTCCAGCTATGAGAAGTTAAGGTTTGAACTGGACTTTTAATACAAAATTCTGTTCAGTTCATACATCAAACCATAATTTCCTGAAAACAAATTGATAGAAGACCAGTTTCTGAGAAAAAAACGAGTCCCACACTGAAAAATTGAAATCGACTGTTGAAAGCGATCAGTGTAAATATACAAACGCACATTTTTTCCAAGTTCAGAATGAGGAATAAAAAACTGGCTGCAAAGATCTTCTTTCGTTGCTACACTTCCGTCCATCATTGTTAGAGATTTCACTCCAGCTAATACAATATTTTTTGTTACTTCAGCACCTAATCCTGACATGCCTATGACAAGTACTTTGGCAGCACGCAACCTGCAATTTGGAAATGCCATTAATCATGTGGAAAAATAATAAAGTAGTATGATTCTCAATAATAATCCCTGGAGTTTCTTAGATTATTACAGGAAGGGTAAAAATTATTGAGGGTTTTAAATAAATCTTTTAGTTGCTCCTTTACATTTTGGAACATATTATTCAAATGATTCAATAGGTTCTTGCATGAGGATTTTTGTCATTCCGTGGGCTTATACACGAAGTATACTCAAATTGTTTACCTAATCACTGTAGAATGTAAAGCTAGTTCATCGTCCGCCACCCTTGCGTGAATACTTCCTTGTGATTGCCTTGTCACCACATGGTTGCAAGATTTGGACTGTCACCAAGTTCTCACCAGGTCAGTTTGTGGAACTCAATGACCAGGAGTAAAATCACCTGACAACACTGTAGACCCAAATCCAGGCACAGCAGCAGAAAAAAAGAGCCATGTCTTTGGGAAGTCCGCCAAAATTGTCATGCGTTTTTACTCCCAGTCAATGAGTTTCATGAACAGACCCAGGGAGGGTTCAGGAGGGGTGGCGAGAGCAAAACCTTGCCACTAGGTGATGGCAAGCTAACCACGCGGAAAAATTCATACTAGGGTACAACAGAAGTCAGGACTTGTTTAAATCTACTTATATCAATGATGCCATCCATAAGCATGTAATGCTCTGATGAATGGCCATGATTTGAGTTGATCAGAGATTAACTTCCGAGGTGGATAAAGAATGGTGGTTGCATTTCGTAACCTCTTGACGTCACATGGCATCAGGTACGTTCCGTGTACATCCTGATTACATGGCAAAGCATGCGCCCTCTGCGCATCACAGCATTTATAAGCTCAACTCGAAATGCGACCACCTATCTAGAACCGCCTTGATTGACGTCCGTCTCTGTGCACGATAAGCGAACTAGATTGCAAGCGGATCCAGAAAAAAATCACACTAACTTCATCTCGTTGCATGTGCGATGAAGTTTTAATATTAATTGCAAAGTTCAGTAAAAAAATTGACAGCTGAATGAGAAGATAACAAACCTTTTTTGAGATTCTAATCCCCAGAGACGGATTTGCCGGTCATAAAGTTCAGCCTCATCCTCAGTTAGCTCAATCCGATTTCCTTCAACCATGTTGTTAATAGAGGTAAAAAACAAGCTTAAAAGTTAACAGATAAAGAGAAAATAAGAATTTTTAGAGATGCAGATAACTAGATTGCGAACAGTTTACGATCGTGAGAGTTCACCGGCACAAGCACATTAACACATCACACAGAGAGGTTAGAAAAGCTTTCAAGCAACGGACAAAACAAAACAAACCGAACTTTCGAACTTTCGGTGGGCTAACCTCAAATAATTTCCGTGTTTCTGCTTGTCGTTGTTGTGTATTCAACGTGCTGTTATCACCTGCAGTCAAATTTGATTCGGTATCGGTTTAATTAATTCGTAAAGCTTCCCTACTTTCTGAATATTTGTTATCAAAACTGAAATCCCTCACTTAACATGGCAGATCCCGAATTGGAAGAAATTAGAGCCAGGAGAATGGCCCAACTGCAGTCTCAAATGAAAGTGAGTATTCAGGGGTCGAACGACTCGATGAATTTTCTTCGAGCTATAACTGTTAAACTTTTCTCATAACAATATTTCTGCTATAGGCGTAGTGTTTGGAGAGTTTGGCTGGATGATCTTGTGTCTAAGTCTGAAAATCCCCCAGTCAAGATGCATGAGTTTGGCTGTTTTACATTAGTCATTGACCATACTCAAGCAAGTTGTCGAGGCAAACTTATCTGATAGCAGGTCCGATGAAAGTCTCAACAAGATGCAATTTTCAAGAAATTTTCACAATCCTGCAACATAAATGACTAAAGCTTAAACATTCAGGCGCCATCTTTAACTTGTGAGCTGTTTAAAGGTGGCATCATTAAAAACTTAGCAAGACGGAGACATTCAGTAACTCAGCAGCCTTTGAAGCCATGTGGATTGCTGGACAACTATAAGTCACGCTCAGCAGTTAGCAGGTTGTAGAGCGATACTTTAAAGACAGTCCACTGGGCAACTTGATGGACAGTTCAATGAGAGTAACATCGCATCTACCAGGCATCATCTGGAAGCCTCAAGAATCATTCAACTTGTGACACGAGTATCAGAATAATGATGTGGATCAATAAAAGTAGACTCATGAAGGCTACCACCTTCTCTCTCCTTGTATTGGTCTGCCGTCATTCTCAAAAGCGGTCCAATTTATGTGTGAATTATCAAAGTTGTCTCTTTTTCTTGATGCTGAGTCCGCAAAAAGTAGACGATGCTACCGTGAATCTTCCCACCCAAGTACTTAGTGTTAGATTTGGATTTGAAATTTGCATTTATCAAATTAATGTTACAGACTGAGTTTGTGCAACTTAATTTTATGCCAGGCTCAAATTTTTTTATCGACTCGCCTATAAGTAGTAGAGCTTATGATTCGCATTTCATTTTGTATCTCATTTTTGAGTGCCTCTACATGGTTGTTGACAGCTTTTTACCTTCACAAATATTGCAATATTTGTACTAATATTATTTGTTTAATCTTCCAGGTTGGTGGTGGCGGTGGTGGTGGTGGTCAAGACCAAGAAGCAGCGGAAGAACGGAAAGCACAAGCTGAAGAAATGAAGAATGCCATTTTATCACGGGTTTTAAATCAGAGTGCCAGAGCTAGATGTAAGATCATGGTGGCAAAATTTCATGAAAAATAAAACCTTGAAATTTCCTGTGGAATATTTCATGAAATTTCAGAAATTTATGAAAGAAATTGAAAAATACTGTTTCCTTTTCATGTTTCGCGAAATGTAAAAATTGTGACTTTCTTCTGTTTTTGTGTGTTTGAGTGCCAGTTGCATTCTCTAGTCCCTGAAAAATATGAAATGTTTCACACCCTCGTGAAATTTCATGAAGTATTTCACTGAAACTTCAAATCTTTCATTTCTCTCTAATGTCTCATGCCACCTTGTGTAAGATACTCGCTTCAAAGCTGTCTGTCAGGGCAAGAAAATTAATTTGACCGTAAACTTGATGCTGTTAGCAGGTTTCGATGAAAATTTTGTCATTGATTAAGACTAGAGGTGTGAATAAGCATCAAGCTAAGGAAGGAAACATTAGAAAGGATCAAGAAGTGAAAATAGGTGTCTACTACTTGTTATGGAGAATATTCTTTTTTTCCTTTTNATAGTTAAAGCAACCAAACTGTGTCAGAAATGTTCCCAAATTACTAGGTAAGGCTTTTATCAGCTCATCATCTGATCCAATAATTTTAATTGTGGCATTTCATTCGGCATGTCGCCGCACGACTTCTATGATACTCAAAGTCTCACATATATAATTTGAAAGGGGGGGTCTGGGGGGGCGGCGCCCCCTCAGCAGGTAGCTTTTGCTACTTGTTTTTACCAAGTTTCAAATAGCCTATTGGCTTATCCCACGTTTATTACCCTGGAAAGCCCTCAGGAAAAGAACTTTTTGAGATGGCTCAACAAGTATTTATCAAGGGACACTAATTCTATAAATCTGCCCCCAAAAGAGCCAACTGCTTAACATGGTCAGTACTGAGTTTTTCCAAAGAACTAATATTTAATTTTCATCATTAAGGAGAAAAAGAAGAGAAAAACCACCAAATTCTTCAAGAGACTTCGTTTAAAGTAAATTGATCATGCCATGAAATGACAAATAGGACAGGTTTACATCATTAACCTGAATGGTCAGAATTCTAAGAGTGGCTAGTAATATGCTAATTTGATCTTGTTTCCCTTTACGATGCTGAAAGTTGTCTAGGATTCTGGTTTATTGATGAAGATCTAAATCATTTTCCCAAGAAAAATTCTCAGCTGCATTTATTTAGCACTTTCATTTGTCATTGCTTTTCAACTACCCCTCTGACAGTCCCCAAAATAGTAAGGATCAACATCTGATGCAACTTTCGTTAATGCTTAAACTTGGAGCAATGTAAGTTGTTTTCAAGAAATAAGTCCTCAGGTACATAAGTTGTTAAGGGTACTATCTATTAAATTTTGTTTATTTTTCAGTAAATACTTTAATGCTTGGAAAGCCGGAGCGTGGAAAGATGGTTGAAAATATGATCTTACAAATGGCACAGACCGGTCAAATTGGACAACAGCTTGAAGAGAGTGATTTAATTAGAATTCTGGAACAAATTTCAAATAATGACAGATTTTCTAAAGCCACCACTGTCAAGGTAAAAATTCTAAGCTTAAAGTATTACTTCAGCAACAACAGTCACTCAATAACTGGACTTTCATGATGAGGTATTTAAATATTGAAGATCAAAATCAAAGTGATCCGGCCCTACTTCTCAGCATGCAATATATTGCATCAATTAAGTAAAAAATCTCAGTAAATTTTGACTTTTTAGTCGAGAAATTAACAATAGCCTTTGCGCATGAGCCTGAAGAATCATTCCTAACCAAAAATTGCAAAATTCAGAGAAATGAACAGAGGATTCTTTTTGGAAAAAACGTTGCTTCTATACAACCTCTGGATCGAATGTGACCCTCTTTTGAGAAGAATCCTGCCTTCATTTTTTCTTCAGTGAACTCTTTTCTCTGAATTGAAAATCCAGAATGAGTTGATTACATCGCATGAAGAAAAATGGAAGCAAAATTGAAAACAAATAAATACTCTTATAAATCAATAAATGAATATTTTTCACCTTGAAGTGCAAAGAATATTTTAAGAGCCATCCATTTCTGATAACGGCCAAGAAACGAATCAGTTTAACAGATTTTTCTCAAATCAGCATGAGTGAGATCAGAATTTTTTTTTATAATTTCAGTTGAGATGTTAATGGACACTTTTCACCAAAATTGAGAAAGACCAGAAGGGATTTTTTGAAGATTTGTATCCACCCTCCGTCACAAATTTGCATTTGATTTTCTCTTTTTCATTTTCAGTTCGATCGCAGAAGAGCTGCTCTTGATGATTCGGATGACGATTTTTCATAGCATCGAAAGTTCTGCGTTTCAAGTCACTCCCCCTGTCCTGATGAAAAATTATGACTGACAGCTTGTGTGTGTCCCTCAACATCAAGCAAGTTTTGTAAGTTCAACAGTTGATTTTGAAAATGGTCTTACCTACGTACTAATTGGAAAAGAGGCACTATCGAATACTTTAAGTATCCTAAAGAATATCTTAAATTTAATAAGAACTGAGGATTGAGAAGGTCCGATAAATCGAAACACTATGCTCTAAGCCTATAGACTAATTTCATTTCCATCAATCAAAATTAAAAATTTAAGCATGTAAATGGAAACAGTGAAACAATGCCAGTTGTCGTAGGGAATTCATGATTTATAAAGTGTTTGTATTCCTTTTCCCCTTGATTTTTACTTTTAATCTTAAAAAGCGTATTCTTTTAATTGCCTGTAATGCTTTGTTTTTGTGTTTAGATAATCATTCTTAACTATTGCAAAATTGTATCCCCCTGAAGCTAATCATTGATTTTTTTCGAGCCCCGAGTTCTAAAGCACCCACAACAATCAATCCTCAAAGTACTGAATTGATTACTAAAGTCTATTTTCTGCCACCTCAAATAAAACTGTTCATTTTCAGTCTTTGCGTCATGATTGAGAAGAAAAGAACATCTTTTTTTTATTAAAGAAAATATGATGTTATCTACCTGATGTATAACAAGAGATAGAATGTCAGGTTTAAAAATACTTCTGTAAACAATTTTTTGTGAATTAAAATACTTTTGTACATAAAATCACAATATAACTAATTTATTAACTAAGATATTCTAGTGTTTAATTTTTTTTTTTTTCAACGCCCCTCCTCGCTTTTTCCCCCTCCGCCCGAAAAGATAAAGAAAACGCTTTGTTTCATCAGAAACAACCCCACCTTCATCTAAAGAAGTATGGTAGTATTTACTTCAAAGGTTTAGGCTTTCATGGAAAAAAATAGACCAGTTTATAAATAAGAAATTTTAGTAAAAATAAATAAATTAAAGTTTACAGAGCAACAATTTAAAAATAGGTAACATAAGGACAATAATTATAGAGATGAGATGCATTGTAAACTAAAAAAAAATGGACATAGAACAAATTGAATATGCAAACAGAAGCTAAAGCCCCTGCGGATTCTCAGGGTGCACCTCACTCATGATCTTCTTAGGGGCAGGGCCAGATTTACCAATAGGCTAAAGCCTACGGCGCAAAATTTTTGAGACTTTATTAAAAAACGTCTATGTTGTAGTTTACGAGTCTATTTCCTTCGCGTGTCATAAGCACATGGGCACATGGCGCAAGCGCTATGAAAAGAATGGACTGATAAAACTCGTGCGCTTCTGCTGGCGATGGCAAGTTCCGGCCCGCCGCGTCACACTGCATTTCTCTGGCCAGGCACCCTAGCCTGACGCAGCTGATCTGGCGCGGCAGCTCACAACCGGAGATGGATCCCTTCCGTCTCCGTCATAAACTGCCAACTTATAAGTTATCTCGGCTCCGGTTCTCCACTCTGCAATATTTTAAGTCAGCGATGAGCTGACTTTGATAAAATTCTTTTTACATGACTAAATGGAGCTTATGTTTCTCTCGTTAAAGATTGGACTGGAGTAATTAAGTCTCTTGACGAAATTGCCAGTGATGAGCATCAACCAGGCGATACCAGGCATGAGGCACTTTGCCTAAGAGATAAATTGGACTCCCTAGAAACAGCTTTGATGGTCACCATATGGGGAAGTATTTTAGAAACATTCAAGTGAGCAAAAAACTTCAAAGCCAAGCCATAGATCTCGGAGAGGTCAAATGTCAGTACAAAGCTCTTTCCGACTACGAGTCAAATTTGCGTGAAGATTTCGACCGTTTAGAAACTTTGGCGAAGGAAAAATCAAGCGTGACCACGTATAAGTACGACAAAATAAGACACCCAAAGCAAAAACTTGCGTTTGGCGAGTCTTGAGAGGGTGAAGTGTCTTTCATTGGTCGTGAAGATTTCAGAGTTAATACATTCACCGTGATATTGGACACTTTGAGCATAGAGTTACGTAAACTGGCTGATAAGTACAATGATCTCCACTCCACTTTCCGCTTTTTTGAGGATATCGACCTACAGCAGGATTCCGTTATTATTTCAAACAAAGCTGCTGAGCTTGTAGCCTTGTATCCTAATGATTTTGAACCAACATTAGTTGACGAATCATCGCACCTTAAAGTCTTCCTGATCCAGTGTGGCTCGTCCTTGTGGGAGAAGGAAGGCGATAAATTGATAAAGAAAACAACAAGCCTACGGGGACTTTATAAATTTCTTTATGACAGTGATGTTTTGGAAATTTACCCAAACGTCGACATAGCCCTCCGCATGATTCTGGCTACACCCATAACCAACAGTTCTGGAGAGCGCTCCTTCTCTACCTTGCGTCGCATCAAGAATTACCTCCGGTCAATGATGAGAATGGCTAGACTAACGGGACTTGGTCCATTTACCATTGAGCAGCGCATCACAAGCCAGATTGATAAAGAAGACGTAATCGATGATTTTGCAAACAAAAAAGCAAGAAAGAAACCACTTTGAAATAGTGCGATAAAATAATTTTTTTTTTTTTTTTTAATTTAACGAGTTTCCTGTTACTTCTTATTTTCCAAAACCACCTTTCAAACGTAAACGTACCTCAAAACTATTTAAAATGGTGTTTTTTCGAAAGTGAATTTGAACATTTTCCTGACACCTAACATCCTCCTTCTGATCTGGAGGGGAGGAGTGTCTGGGGGAACCCCCACCCCCCCCCACAAGAGCACTTGTTAGGGGTGCCATCCTAAGTTCAGCCTGGGGCGCTAAAAATGTAAATCCGGCCCTGCTTAGGGGACACTGCTCTAATTGGTGGGTTATGGAATATGCTGTCAGTTTGATGCACAGCAGGCCAGGAGTGCCAAGTTATGAAGTAATGCCAACATGCCTATTTGGCAACAGTGCATGGTCTCAATGAATACAAAGATGGCCAGCTGAGTTGCAGGGTTTTTAATGTTGGTTTTCACGGTAGAACATCAATCAGCTGTCCTGAAACCTAGATTCAATCCCGAAACAGGTAGCAAAATTACTGTAGCTAATAGATTTAGCATATTGGATGAGCAACCAAATAAAGAAGAAAAATCGTATAGTAGGCCACCGGCCATATTCCTCCGAGAGGAACCCAATAACGTCAAGAACTTGTTTGATAACTTACATGCCAAGGTAGCGGAAGAAAACCAATTCACACTAAAAGAGGAAGGACTTATGTACAGAATAAACCCAGAAGAACCAAAAATCTACTCCAAAATCCTAAAATACTTGGATGAAAATAACTAAAAAACATTCACTCAACCCCTCAAAGAAACCTCTTAAAGCCGTAATCGGAAGAATGGACAATGTCTATTATTTTATGGACGGCTTTCCCCTCTGAGTTGAGGTGCTCCAAAGTATATTGATGTTAATATGCAGAGAGGATTTGATTACAAAGGATACTTAAATTAGCAATAGCAGCGCACAGTCCACTACAGTGCTTCAATAGATGAGCATTTTCTTAAAAATAATTTTCTTTGTGGTTATATCCTTCTGCTTCAAAATAAGACTTGTTCTTGACAATTTATTCCAAAAAGTTCCTATGGTCGGGGATGCGGCCCGCCAAACTTACAGGAATTTCATGATTTTCTCTCAATTTTGACAATTATTTGGATCAAAACTCATGCAAAATGTTTACCCACCCCCTCCCCATCTATCGTAGAATTCATCCATGGCCTTGAATAGACAAAAATCTCAAGTTAGAGTGGAATTTAAAGGAGTCTTGGATTTTACAGGGTAAAAAACTCCATTTCAAGGCAAATGAAGGTGTTATCTTCAGAGCACAATTTCATTAGGTACAAATTCATTATAAAAGACAATCACTTGCATTTTTCACCTCCAGAGCTCATAATTAGTTTTCAAGAAATGAAGGCCAATATACCCTTTGATTTTGTACCCTTAAGGATTCATTCAAGTTCCACCCAACATTAGAGAGGTAGCCTAAAGTTTAGGTCCAAAACTATCGGAAAAATTCAGATACAGGATGACTTTCCTAAAAAATGGGGCGTGACCACAACTGAATGTACTTTCAGAAACATTTTTTTAGAAAAAACTTCATTTTTACCCATAGAACGTGTTCCTACAGTTTCACTCTGGGACACTCTGTTAGGTGTATACATTTTATTATTTATGCATGGTCTTACTTTCTTTCCTACTGCCCTTGCTCAACGCTCACACACAGGATAATCGCATGGTTAAATACTATGAATAACTTCAAACTGTTTTTCAATGGCTAATTTTATTTGCTTACTTCTCCCACTTCCGAGATCTTTACAGATTCTGTAACATTTTTTGTCACGATTTATGGAACTTGCTCTCGGAAAACAGATACTTTTTAAACAAATCATTATTAAGCTTACACTTAAAAATCCTGAGGAAATGTCATAAGATAAAAAAAAACCCCAATGGTTTTTGTAAACTCATCTCTTACTTCCTTATTCCTCCCTAAAATTTAAGATGAAATAGCCTTCACTTTTTGAGCGGTACATTTATGTTGTGACAATGTTTGTCTATTGTCGCTCAAGGTCAACCTCTCAGCAGCTTTGCTTGAATTCCGCAAGCAAAAACAACAGGCCTCCCTTGTTATTTTGGAGGGCTTCCCAGACATCATTAAAAAACGGGAAAATATGGGTTCCTCTGAGTTATCTCAGGCATCTTCCGGCGAAATTTCAACTTAACTTTTTGCTGTTAAAAATTGTGATACAAATGGACAAAAAGTCACCTTTCACTAAAGTCGAGTACAGAAGAACATTTCATTTTGAAAATACCTACTACTTAAAGACAAATTAGGAGATAATTCTTCGATTAGAACTCATACTTTTTTGCAATTTTTCTTCTTCAGCTTTTTAAAGATCTGGAAGAGTTTTTGCTTTGAAAATTTGGTGCTTCAAACTTTCTGATACCCTTTCAGACACTGAATTTTGCTGAGCACCCGTCATTTTACAAAATAGTGTATCCTGCAGAAATCTAGCGCTTCCGAGGCTTAGAGAGTGGGTTTAATGTGAGGAATATTCAAAATGACAATGGCTCAACCCGTGAAGAATATTCAAAATGACAATGGCTTAACCCGCAAAAAATATTTAGAGCCGAAGGGGTGGGGAAAAGGCTCAAGCGATTAAATATCTTTGAAACCTTTCTACGATTGTGCAGTAATACCTTGATTATCAGATGAATTGGGGTGGAAGCCGAAGATGGATGGCCAAAAACGCCAAGTGATTGTTGATACATAAAACCACACGAAAATGTGTGAAATTTACATGAAATGTGTATCCACAAATGCACGATAACGCACCAAAAACGTGATTACTTTCCTGAGGTTCTTGTCTATCACCATCTGCTTACTAGCCTTGTAGTGGCTGCCAAATTTCTCTTTAAGAGACAAATATTGGCAGGTAGGCTGTGCCTTGTTGTGGCATTGGATAAGGGAGTGAATAACCAAGGTATTACTGAACTTGTTTTTTAATTTACCCTGTAGAACATTCTGGAAGCTAACAAGACTTAGTAAAAAAAAAAAAAAATCTTAACAAATATCAATGATGAAACTGGGAAAAAAGAATTAGATTTCAATTTCAAGACCTAGACTTGAACTTCTCTGCTTGATTTTACCTCTGATACAAGCCCACGGAGAGGGAAACGCTCAGACATCAATGACTGAGAGTTGCGTATCAAAAACAGAAAAAGGCATGAAAAGATGGACACTCAACAGTGATGAACATTACGCAGCAGCAATTTTCCTTGTATAATGATGCAACTTCAAGAAATTAGGCCATCAATTACGTCTTCTTTGGATCCTCTTTTGATTCGTCTACTTTTTCTCCGTGATGGGAGGACTCTCCGGTAGCTTTTTCCAGGCTGGATGCGATAAGTCTAAGAGTTTCTACGTTGTTTAGCAATTGCCTGGAAGAAAAAAGTTGACAGAGAATGATATGATATGACTTCATAAGCAAAAAAAGGTTGTTTTTTTGAAAAAGCCTTTTTGTAATGGGACAATCCCAGTCAAAAGAAAATCTTCTGAGCAATCAAGCTTTTCTTGACGTAAAAATACTTTGGGTGGACCTTAAACAATATTCGTGCTAGGAAATTTCACTCTCTCAGCTTTTATCTGAGCTCATTTATAATAGAATAGTTCAAAACAAACAACCCTGGGCAGGGAAATTCTTCCACACAGATATCATACTTCTGGGAACAGGGTATAGACAGTACTGACAATGAGAGGAAAGTTGTGCACTTGAAAAGTATTTCGTTCTGAGGCAACACTTGCGCCGGTTTCTGACAAAAAGTAGTTTAATTTTAATTTGGGAAGTTTAATTCAAAGAGAGTAAGTACCGGATGGATGTTTCTGCAGAATCTGTGATGTTTTGAATTTCAAGTCCAAGCCTTTGCCTGCTATCATGCTGTGGAGTTTGGACATTTCTGTTTCCATCACCAACATTACTACAGTTAGAACTATTTTCTTCCGCCCGCTGCAGTTTATGTACCTGAAAAATAAAAAAAAACATGATGAAAAGGCGTCATTCTCTTTGCTTTTTTAAATTAGTGATTACTCGATAATGAAGCGAATTAGAGGAGTTCACTCGACACAAGCACCTGTTCTGAGGCCTTGAAAAATGCCAAAAATTACAAAGCTGATTCATTTTCATCGATACCAGTGAAAGTAATAGCAAAGGTGACATCAAAGAAAATACATTGGATTGTGAATATGAATCGGACATGCAAAGTGATGATGGTGAAACAGAAACGAATGAGCTCATAAAAAATGGTCAAGTCACACTAATAGGAACATAGCATCTCTCGGAATTGCGGCAATTTTTCAGAAATAGAAGAAACAGGTTCCTACTTACCTTCTATGAAAATTTAAAGGGGAAAAAAAAGGGTTTTCAAAAGGGGGAAGCCAAGTCAAAAAATGGGAACGCTAAGCAATTCTGCATCCCTGACTCTGAGAATCTACTTTGGCTGCTTTCAACATGCTTACTCAATGGGGGTACTTTATTTGAAACTGGCGATATTACTAAGAGATCATGATTGACACTGGTTCCAGGCAAGGCTGCACATTTTTAACAGGTAAATTTTAAGTGCCTCACCTTTGAGGATTTCACCTCCTGTTGTAATTGACAAACTGTTGCCTCAGCAGCAATTGCTCTTTCCTGGAGGAAAATAAAGAGATTCAGTCTTAATTAAGAGATATATACCAAAGAAAAAAAAAGAAAATGTTTGACACGCTATTATTAGAGAATTTTTTCGGTTTAAAACTAATCAGGATGAAAAGAGGAGGCTCTTCCTCTTTGTCAGGGCATAAGGAGCAATATTCACACTTGATGTAAGTGCCTTAAAAGTGACCACCAAACAATCTTAACTGATCTTAGGTTGTCGAGGCTACAGGCTGCAAAATTGATGCTAAAGACTTGGTCTCCATGGCAAAAACCGCAGCAAATTTGAATTTGGGAGTTAAAAACAATAACCAAGAACAATCCTGACTTTGGGAAAAAGATTATCATCCCATAGGAACTTTGGGTCTGTTAGTAGTATCCTGAGAAGAAAGCATAGTCTACAGAATGGATTGCTCTTGGGACACTGAGTCCCCCGAACAGCACTAAGGAGTCGAAACAAAATGCTTTATTCTGGTTTTCTGTTTCTTTTATCTTCTGACCGAAAAGGAAAGCACCATAATTCATGCTCTAGAGATAAAACTCTGACAAAAAATATGCCAAATAAAGTATGTTGGACTTTCCGTGTCAAAAATTTGACAAATGTAATTGAGGACTTTTTTCGTAATACTGTATCCGACTAGGAAGTTGTTCATTGGTGCAGGTGGTCCCCATTTTTCATTTCAATTTTTCAACTTTAATTCTTTGCTTGTTGCATATTCAGTGATCAATCAAGTTTACTGATTCAGAGAATAAGGTATTTTGAAAAAATCTTTATAATTTCAAAAGTAAAAGTAAAGGAATACTGCTCGCGGATTATCAAAAGGAGCTAGAGCTGTAATCATCATTTGAGCTGAATGACTTGACAGTTAAATGAGATGTTGCACGTAAAGAGGGCATTTCCGCGATTGAGATTACAATTAAAAAGTTCTTTTTTTTTTGCACCTCAATTGTGTTTCAACCTTTTTTGACGAGGAGTGTGACACTGTTAACCCTGTAAGAAAATTAAGACACATTCAATTTAATTACCATTGTCCTCCTTAAATTCTCTCGGGTGGAATCTAATTCTTTTTCTAGATTATTAGTAGTTACTTGATGCCTTCTTTCTCTCCTTTCTAACCTGCAAACATCAAACAAAATATGGTAAATTCTCAGGCAACAAAAAAAAACTGGTTAATGGGAAAAATTCTGGTCTAACCATGGGTAAAAATCAAACTTTAGAAAAGATAATGCTTTGGAGCATAAACTTCTGGATAAATGTACTAGGATCATTTTTTTAGGTGCCATTGACAGAAAATTTATCAATATGACATGCAATAAAATTCAAAGGGTTTGAAGAAACTACTTGATTGATGCAAAATGATACTTAAACTTCTGGTTTATCTTGAAAATGCATTTATTTAGAGGTGTCCTCAGATAAGTTGACATTTGTTTACTTTCGATTTGCAGGCAGCAAATTAACACCTCTGCACAAAGCGTCGTTTGCTACTATCTACCTTAAAATCACTGAGGAATTCTCTTTTTCAAAGCTCAGAAAATAGATCAGTCTAGGGGTAGGATAAAGATAAGGAAACAGATAAATAAAAGAAAATGAACAAAAAAATATGGCTCTTTCTTACCTATCATTTGATTCTTTGATTACTGAAGAAAGCCATTCCACTTCTCTCCGAAGCCGCAAATTTTCTGTTTGCAACTGCAAAAAAATTAACATAAAATCAGAGAATTCATACTACTATGAGATTTAAAATAACTTGCTGCTTGGATTGTGAGGAAGTAATGCATGCATAAGCTCGGATTTTAGTCTATCAGAGATGCAATGAATGAAACTGCAGGGGTCCCTAATTTTGATAATTATCCTGCCTTGCCCAGAGGAGTACAGTATCAATGAAGAATACACTTATAGAAAAAACTGATTATAGCGTTGGTTTCACTAAGTAAGCAGCATCTTAGGGTTTCATGCTTACCTTTGTATCTTAAAAGCTAATATTCCAATTATTGTTGTTATTTTTGCTTAATTGTGTTCCCTCAATGGAGCGACATTAGATTTTAAAATAAAATGAAATTTGGTAAGTCCCTATTTTTTCCTTATGGATTGTTCTACTTCTTAGCAGGATGGTATTGGGGTATAAAAATGACAAACGAATGGTGGTGAGTATGTTAGGTATTGAACAAGGATTTCCAATGATTGTTTTGAAGTTGTATACTTCCATGGAGTCATAGTAGTTCCTGTGCTAGTGAATGTTAAGATTGAAAATGGTGCCAAAGCAGTTTCAGCCACTTTTTATGACAATTCACTCCTACATGATGAAAGATTTCATTGCAGCTGAAAACTAAACCAATTCATCCAACCAAAACATCGAATTCACAATGAAATTATTAGCATAGGATAATAACAGAAGATGATTAACGGTTCTTACCACTTGGATTTCAACGGATGATTCGCGTGGTGAGTAGGGTAAAGTTGATCGATCGCTGTCCGCTGAATCATCAGTTCTCCTTTGGTGAATGGGGCCGTCTGACAGAAAATCTGGCAGGCTCTTTGAGGCTCCAACTTCAGAGGAGTTTGCACTGCCTGGGCCAGCCATGCTGGATGAAGGCAAATCTAAAGGTGGGTCTCGCGGTCTACCAGGTCTTGAATTTGATGCATGATAGGTTGGCAAGTCTAAAGGCGTAGGTATTGGAGATTCTTCTTGTTTTTCACTAGGCATTGTGCTTGTCAAATCAAACGGAATGTCATTAGCATTAGCTGACCTAAGTGTATTTGGTGATTCTTCACAAGAGGAATTTAAAATGGCATTCTCTATGTGATATATGTGACTATTTTCTAAGTTGAAGGATGGGTTTGACGCATTATTAGAGCTCGACTCCAAAAAGCATTGCTCCATTATAAGATGATCCTGGACAAAATCTGGAAGTCCTGAGGCAAGATCTGGATTGTTTAAGATTAAGTTTCGATTTGTTCTTGAGCAAGATGAGGCGATGGAGGGATCCATGGTGTTATTCTCGTCAGACTCGTTACTGCGACTGACAGTGTGGTGTGGGTGGGAAGTTCCAACGTTTTGCTTGCCTCCGGTTAAGAAGTGTTTGAAGGAATAAGGGTTGTTTTCTTTGCGTTTACTAGATGCTCCTGAACTTGTACCTGAAAATACAAAATTTTTTATCAGCATTTGAAGGAATTCTTACCCTGTTATCAGACATGGTGACAAAAAGTCATCACAAACGGCACTAGGGTCATTCTACACTTACGTATTCATTGAGGTAAAAACAGTTTTTAATTTTTCTCTCAATTATAAAGCAATGAAGATATTTGATTTGATAAAATGAGTGTCTGATGGCATCAGAAAACAACATTGAAGACATTGTTTGGACGTATTTCTGCCAAACAGACCTATGTGCAAGTGAGAAATATGGGGTGTGCTCGTTAGTTCTCTGGCTAAGGCGAGTTAATGAGAATAATAAAGCGCCAGTGATGTCAGCGGCAATGATGGAGCCGTTGCGAGCCGGGGCGCAAGGGAGAGATGGTCGTCGGGGCGCTTTAACTTATGAGCCCTGTCCACACCGCTCTCTTGCCATGCCCGCGGCTCATGACTGCTACATTCAGTTGGCACAGAGGTCTGTTTGATAGAATGTAATATCCCACTTTTCCAATTCTTCAAATGGAATCACGCCCACTTTTACATTGCTTCTTATGCAGCTTCAAGGAGCACACCCCATATATCTCACCTCCACATAGGTCTGTTTGGTAGAAATACGTGCATTTGTTCCTATATTTCAGAATGTTTCACACTTTGTTGGGAATCTTAAGGACAGACATAGGCTGCTGAAGGGATAAAAATTTCCTTTGGACTAGATTCTTCATTGAGACTTCATGGAGTGAAACGGAAGAATCAGCAAGCATAAACAGAAGAAGGACGAGGCGCTTGCATGTTGGTTGAGATTTCGTATGAAAGAATGAACAAAGATTTTAACAGCAGGCGGTATAGTGAGCATACTCGAGTTCCTAAAAACTATCAACGTTACTTAGGAAGCTCTCGCATCCCCTACCATGATATTATACGTTGCGGGTGTTCAACAATTACAATAGCGGTTGACTGGAAGAGCCTTTTCCTCACTTAAGTTCAGTTGAGTACAGAGGCCCGCAAAGGCGATAGTGAGGGGATTGATGGTAATGTAAAATATGGACAAGCAGTGTAAAAATCAAAAATGCTTTGTTTAGTGAATCAAGGGAAAAGTTCATTGATAATGCCTGGACCTAACCTGAGTTATGCGGTGATGAATTTGAATGTGATGAATTTCGCGCAGTGTGAGTTCCTGAAGCAGAGTTGTTCATTGCCGGATCCACATCTTCAGTATTTTCATAATTACTATTATTATTAGAATTAATTTCACTTCCGCCGCGCTCGTTATCACTACTTTTCGGACGGTCCGCCATGATTATTATTGTTGAAATTCGTCGTTCCGATGATTGATGAATAAACATCACCGATGCGGGGTCACTTCCTCCCGCGAAAATTGCGTGATTGTGTGATTGTATGAAAAGTAAGTACAATGTACATGCGAATTGCGGTGCGGAGTTTTCTTGAGCAACAATATCTTGTTCTGTGACAATATCAATCCGACCAACACATTTCATTGTCGTACAATCATCGTCCTGCCCATCCTGCCAGAATTGGACCAGAAACTCTCCTGAGGACCTGGGGTCTGTTTTGTCACTCTAGTTGTGTCCACTCTGCTTTGTCCTAGAATACCTGCGATCATGGTCGAACCAGCGACCAAACTGAACTTAGGTAATGCTGCTTCATTCAATTCTGTATAATTTTTCACATGAAGTGTAGTCTTACATATTTGCACACTTCATGCGTATTATTGTAGCACTGGGAAAATTGTTTCACCCCTTGGTCCCGTACGCCGCAAGCAGACCATTAAAAACCAGAGCACATTTCAGCAGGCTAATCGTCGGGATCATGTATTAGACTATGATGGAATTAGACTGATGCCATGTGACGGACTAGCTATATTGATTGTATGACAAGCAACTGCTTTGTGAGCTTAAAGTCAATTTAGCGACTGGTTGTCCGCCTCCACCAGCGAGGAGGTACCTTCATTCAGGTAATCATTTGGATTGAGAAAAGGTTTCAGATGCGGTTGCTGGTCGTGCAATCATTCCAGCTTTGTCTTGTCTTGTCTGGCAAAGATATGTCCATTATCGATATTTGGTCTACAGGTGAGTTTGCTCTTTACTTGCACCAGTCCATTATCTTATTCAATGCTCCAAAAGGAACTCTATCGTGAAATGCAGGCTCTAGTGACCTGCTCTTATCGCTGCCTACTTCATGGAGAGTCCTCTCAATTTCTGGCTGGTGTCATGTCACTGCCCTTGGTGTGACTAAGGTAACCTAGAATTAAAGTAGCTACTTGCATTCCTGTCGAGAAAATCGATCAACTAAGTAATCCATGAAAGACTATCCACAAAATATGTTCTGAGATTGCTGCTCAAAGCACTGTTTGGGCTTGATAGTTCGTTCCTTGATGAGACCAAATGATCTGAAGAAAGTGAAAATATGTTTGCAAGCATTGGAGACATTTTTTAGGTAAATTTCTTAAAAACCTGCCAAATGTACTAGTTCTGAAACTTTCAAAATCTGAAGATCAGAGAACCTAAATGCTACCTAATAAAATCAATAGAACCTTAGAAATAAATATTTTAAAGAAAATCAAAATGACAACAATCGCATCATCCATTCAAATATCACGATTTTGAACAAACAAGTTGAGCTGACAGTCCATTTTTGGCCGTGTGAGTACCTTAATGTTTGTTAAGTGTGACTTCCAGATGTTTTGGAGGCCATGCAGAGCTCAAATGCCTTGAAAAGACGTGAAAATGAGAAAGTGTTCAAATTTTGATGGATTTTGAAGTCCTTAAATTTAGGATTTAAGTCATATTCAAAGTCAGTTCATTTCAGATCAAAGTGATCTGGCGTTTTTGTTGAAGACCTCCTAGAAGATCGGTAGATTTTCCGTTGCGATGGAGGCTTCTGCCATGTTGAATTGTGTGGTCTGTACTAGCTACCTACATTCTCCCCTTCATCAAGGCAACATATGACAAAAGTATGAGTTGAGGATATTTTCATTTTTAAAGACGTCATGTTGCCATTAGTTACCTTCCAGTACATGATTATTCATCCTTTGTCTTGACCTTTGTTTCAGATCCAAAGCAGCAACAGCGGTTCATCGCATTTTTTAAAAGTTTGCCACAGGTAATTTGTTATCTTCTTAACATTGTCTCTGGCGTTGGTTTAGATTTGATCCAAATCAAAATTTTAAAACAGCACTTGAAGATTTGGGGAAATAAGAGCGCAGAAAGCTTTCTAGCGTATGCTTTTACCGGCAAAATACAAAGCTTCCCTTGCACTATGGCAGAAAGCTAGTTTGCAGTTCTTTACTTTTTTAAGCTGGAAACACATATATCAATACCGAGTTTTGCCTAAAATTTAAAAAACATCATTTAGAATTTTTGTCAGGTAATTTGGCAGTTGTTTATTTTTCCTTTTCAAAGGGCTATGCTGCCCCTATCCAATAGCCCAAGATTTTATACAGTCCAGTCTTGAGAAAATAAACATCCCTACCGTTTATTCTGAAGAATTGTTGAATGACGAATTTTAACTGGATCCGTGAAAAGGGGCCTTATTTTCTAGGAGAAATTTTTTGTTAAATTTTTGCAAAAACTTAAACCACATTTTGCTACTATCAAAAAATGTTGTCTTAAAACTTCAGGACTCATATTTCCTTCTATGTTTGAGCTTTCAGGATCAAACTTGAGCTGAAACTTTCACATTTTCCTCCTGAAAAGTTAAGGAAAGTTTTTGCCCGGATGATAGGGTCCTTTCCAAAGATCTAGTCATAAGCAGTTTACTCTTTTGAAAAATGAATCTCCTGAACTTTCAGCAAGTCAGTGAAGAGAGCTGCACCTAAATTGAGGTATTATTTTAAAATGTATGTATCATTTCATTTTGCAGAAACCTGCTACTACCATCAGATTTTTTAATCGAACTGATTTTTACACTCTTCATGGATCAGATGCTGTTTTTGCTGCCAAGGAGGTCTACAAAACAACATCTTTTCTGAAGATGATCGGTTCAGGTATGACCATCAGTTGCCACTTTAAAAATTTTGTGGAGTAAAGAACAATTTAATCATGGCGTCTAGGATCTGGAAAAACCAAAAATTTCCAGTGTTCATCAGGAAACAAAACATGCCCAGAAATGTCAAAGAATTTGCTAGGAAACAAATACATAAACCGGACATATCCTCTTTCTCCCCTCTGGAATTAAATTATTCTTAATATTTGTGATTTGTGTTGAATATACTTCAAAGAACCAAACAAAAAATGAATTAGTTCATGTTTTTTCACAGACTTTGGAAATCCCCCCCTCCTAGAAAATCTAAAGAAAAACTAGTGGAAATTCTGAGTTATTATCAGGGAATTTTCCCGAAAAATCTGGGGATTGTCCGGGAATGGAGGAAAAAAAATTTAGGTACTGTGAACTTAATTAGCCTTAAAACATAGTAAAACAATCAATTAATCTGGGCAAAGGATGCCGCAGCATATGCAAGATCAGATACCTAAAAAAACCCAGAATGTTTCAAAATAATTGCAACTTCATTTTCAACTAAAAAAAAGGAAAGCCGAATTGTGTTGTCGATTTGCTTTAATTACGAGACAAAGACTGATTACAAGTAAAAATTGTAAGTTGTAAGGGTGGGAACTAGCCAATGTCAAAAAAAAAAAACAGCTAGCTAAGCCATTAGAAGCACGCTAAACAGGGAAGGTTTCAAGTTCTGTTTGAACAAGAGCTGCTCTCAATCTGTGAAGAGAGGCGAAAATAGGTCTCCTAGTTTCTATATTTTTCATGATTCCTAGAGTGATTTTTACATGCATCTCCTGTTATTTACCATCAGAAAATGACAAACTGGAATCAATCATTTTGAATAAGAACAACTTCGAGTCTTTTTTGAGGGATCTGCTCTTGGTGAAATCCTACCGGGTTGAAGTCTACTGCAATAAACCTACAGCCAAAGGATCAGCCAGTTGGGTTCTAGAATTCAAGGTAAGCTCTAAAACAATTTCAGTCTGCTCCAAACTTTCATGTAACACAACCTCTATTCCAGAGGCATATTTTTTGTTTGATGATTTTGAGTTACCAACTAATTATTGTAATTAACGGAAGTCTGAAAGTTACCTACGTTTATATTTTTACTTGTTGTGATTAATCAAACTGCATTTTTGCCATAGGGAACTACCATCATTTCTGATAAGAAAAGACAGAGAACCCTAAAATTCTTGGTCTTCTACATAAGCTGTATCATCTAATCTTATTTTGCTTTCCAATACCTTTGTAAATTCACTTCATGTAAAGACATACAGTTCTTGTAACAGTTATTGTATGTTTTAAAAAAAAAGAAAAAAGACTACTCTCTTTGTCCAATTTCAGAGCAATATGTGTACCATCAATTTCTTTATGCAGGTACATGTTTTATGGATTAGTTAGAAAGTTCCTCTTTGTTGTTTCTAACATGCGGGATTCGGGAGTTTGATGAATTTTACAGATTACATTCCAACCTCGTCTGAGATCAAATGGATGCAGTTAGGTTTTTTTAGCTTCACATAAGATGAAAATGGAATGTTTCTATCCACGCAAAGAGGCATCCGGAAAAACATTTTTGCATCTCTCTGCTCCAAATTCTGATTAATGAAGTTGTTTCTAAAGAAAATACATTTTTGACCAATTTAAAGCTCTCTCAAGAGCTACGGACCATGAAAACTTACTCAAGGAGCTGTTAGAAGGATTTATTGCTCTCAATTACATTTCTCTTGTTTTTTTTGGGGGCTGTGTTGTTTGCCACATTCTGTAAAATAGTGAATGGAAAAGTCCGCATGCATTGAAATATAGTTGACTTAAACTATCAGCTAAACTCTATTATTTTTTTAGGGTTCGCCAGGGAATTTGTCGCAGTTTGAAGACCTCTTATTTGACAGTGTGGATCAAGTTGAATGGAACTGCGTGGCAGCTATCAAAATTGGAACTAAAAATAAAGACAAGGTAAGCTGATATATTGACTTTTTGTTTTGTTTTTTTGTTTGCATCATTGATTTTCATGCTCAAGATAGTTGCTTTCATGAAGTCTCTGATTATTCTTAGAAAATTCCTGAAAATTGTCTGTATATGTTTAAGACACCAAGATTCTCAAATGGGATTGTTCTCTCACAGTTCATTTCTTATTTCACTTAATCGACCAATCGACGTTTCATGCAGGAAAATGTGCCTCAGTTGCAGCATTTTACAATTTCCGCTCCTTTTCTACTTTTTGGCAGGAAACAAACCGTACTTTTTCCTAAACATTTCTATCAAATATTTTTTTCACCGAGAAAATAAACGAAAATTTCAAATTATTACACTGATGCTTTATTCATATTAAAACATGTAGTAAGAGGGAATATCTTCAAAGCAAATTTCTTTAGTATACAATAAATTAATGATGCCAATATCTTCCTTAATACCTTTTCCTGTAATTTTGTATCCATGGATAAAGTTCACATACCCACGTATTTTACAACATCGACTATTTAATTATAATACTTCATGAATCCCCAAAATTTCACCATAGTGTAACTATTTACTTTTTTAAATCCTTATTTAATTTATTATAATTGCTTTGTTTTTTGTGCCCTGCAGGTCGTTGGCGTGGCAATGGTAGACGCTGTTGACCACAAGTTTAATGTCTGTGAATTTGTCGATGATGAGTATTTCACAAATCTGGGAGCTTTTATTACTCAGCATGGTCCGAAAGAATGCTTAGTGCCAGATGGATGCTGTGAGAATGCCAAAAAGGTAATACCCTTTGACCAGTAGAGATAGTTTGATACATTTGTCGTTTGAAATTGATGAATAGTTTGTTATACCCAGATGCTCTGATTTCAACTTGCATACGCAAAATTATCTTACTCTACCATTTTTGAATTAGTTACACTATTACTTGAAAAGAAGAATTCCCAAATGCATTTCTCGTTTTCATTTGGTATTGTCTTCACTTTCTGGGAGGATAATTTCAACATAGCCAGTTTTCAGCTCAAAAAAATATTTTACTTTATGTTGTTGTTCACATAACCCCTTTACCCTTATTCTCCCTGTAAAATTTGGTATGAGCAACAGAGAAAAACGCCTTGTTTACCCTCTTGGATTAGCAGATTGCACTTAAAGTAATCGCTGATGAGTTGTAAGTATCTCTTAATCTTTTGAGAAGATTTTCAATACTAACTCTAAGTCCAACGATTTTTCTTATACACTAGTGATTCCTCTTCTCAAATTATTCTGTTTTATTCTAAATTATCTTTTTTTTTACTCTGTTATTAGGTAGTTTCACGAGGAGGAATTTTAGTCAGCAGCCGGAAAAATGCCGAATTCTCTGATGATGGCCTGGTACAAGAGTTAAATAAACTTCTCCTGTTTCAAGACGGTCAGTTAGAAAAAGCTGCTGCCTTGCCAGAGATGAACCTCAAAATAGCCGCTGGTGCTTTACACGCAATCATCAAGTATTTAGAGGTATTTTTAATTTGTTCGTATGTCTGTATTTTTGTCTTAATTTCTTAATAAGGCATTCTTCCACAGTTATGGTTTATCAACAAGGCTCTTAAAGGTGTTTTAAAAAGTATCTTTACTTGAAATTTCTCATTTATCCCAGCCCACTCATATCTGTAAATTCTGGGAAATTGTCATACTGTACTGGCATGTAAATCCTCAAAGTAAATGGAATCTAGTCATTTTTTATTTTTTTATGACCCACTAGGAGGAGATCGGTTTTCTTTTCTTAACATTTATGGTTTTTGATGAAATTATCTTTCTCCCGATCACTTTTATCGGGTTTTCAGACGATAGCTATTTCGATGTTAATCATCATCATCAGGTCACTTCGACTTCGATTCAGAGATATGCGCACGCACCAACAACAAACGGGCAACTCGATGACGCAACGGCCGGAACACTGGTGATAAGAACGCGTTCGCGACAGGTGCACCCACGAGTTTTTTAAAAGTGTTTTATAGTAAATTTTAGTAAATTTTAACAATATAAGATGTGACTGTTAGTGTTTACCGAATCGAAGTTGAAGTGACCTGATGATGATGATTAACATCGAAATAGCTATCGTCTAAAAACCAGATAAAAGTGATCGGGAGAAAGGTAATTTCATCAACATAATGCAGCCCGATAAAAATAAGTTCAACTTTAAATTTATGGTTTTGTAAATAGGTACCATTGGTTTTGACATCCTTTGCAACTTCATCGAATGTCTTTGATTTATTTATTTACTTTCTCTTCTTCATCTTCTTCTTTCATAAGAAGTATTTAAACTAATCCTTGAATCTACAAGCCTTTGAAAAGTTTTACAGTTCAAAATGTCCTAAAATTGTTGTCATGAAATCATGTTAAGCTTTGCTGTATGTCTTATACCTGATGAATGAATACCTCGATGTTTGTTCTAGCTGTTGTCCAACCAAGAAAATTATGCGCAGTACTCGATATCAACCTTCGAACTTTCCAAATTTGTACATTTAGACGCATCAGCAGTTCAAGCTCTCAATATTACTCCTCAATCTCAATCTACGATTTTTAACAAACATCATTCCATTATAGGGCTATTAGACAAATGCAGAACTTCTCATGGGCACAGGTAAACTTTTACAGTGTTACAACTCTTGGAATACAAAAGCTTGCTAATTTTTCTCTGTTCTCTTTTTTTTTTTTTTTTTTTTTTTTTTTTTTTTAATTCTTTAGACAGTAAGTATGATTGCCAGTGTTCACGCCCTTTGCATACTTTATTTTAGTCTCTCATCATTTATGTAAAGATGACCAAATTTCCAGAAAATAGGTTGTAACTTCTCGAAAATGTCTGTAAATTCCTCGCTTTACTTCATGTTTTCGGGGTTGTCACCGTCGGGAAATACCGTGAAATGTCAGGGACTCTAAAAAAAGTCAAGGATGACTGGTAAATGTCAGGAAAAATGACAAAAGTGTCAGGGAAAAATTGTCAAGTTGCCTTTATTTGCTTCCGAGAATGAGTTAAACGTTTTGAATAACAAATTTTGCGGGTAAACTTCTTGAAATTATGTCTTTTCAACCATCTGGTTTATCTTCAATTGTCAGGGCATTAACCGAAATGTGTCTGGCAAATCAGGGAAATTCGTGTTCTAAACTCTGTAGCAACTCTGCGTTTTCTGTGATATGTACATTGCGAAATGAGCATTTTCTCTACATCTGGGGTTATTCCCTATTTATTTAGATAACTGATAAATCATCCCACAGTAAAATAATATTATTGCATCTTTGTGTGCCTCTTTTTACAAAATGCAGAAATGGTACCAGCTCTTTTTTCCTCTGTAATTTTGAAAAATTTAAAAATATTAAGTTTTCTCCCCTGTTCATCCTGCACTGTGTCCAGTCTGAAATGCATTTACTATTTTATAGGCTCCTGGCCCAGTGGATTAAACAACCATTGTGTGACATCAATGCGATTCAAGAAAGACATGATATTGTTGAAGCTCTTGCAACGGATATTACCTTAAGAGCAAGTTTACACGATGATCATTTACGTCGTATTCCTGACCTGCAAGCTCTCTCAAAGAAAGTACATCGCAAAAAAGCTAATTTGCAAGATTGTTACCGGTAAATGACACTTTTAATTGACTTTATTATGTATCTTACTCAAAAACATTGAATCTTGTAGATTCTAGTTGATGAATCTAGTAGCGGCTCCAGTGAATTTTTGTCGGATTGTAAGGCTTTTTTTCTTGGTTAGTAATTAGTTCACAAAAATGAAATATTGCTATTCCGTTGTAAAATTTTATGTTCTAGAACTTTTTCTCTTAAGAATTTTGTCTGAAAATGTACTCTAAACGAGATATTCGTGAAGAACTGAATGCCCGAATGCATTCTCCATTGCTTCTCTGCAGTCTTTTTGAGTGCTTGGGACACATGCTCTCTCTCCTTCCCCACCCGCCCATCATGGGGCTCCTAGAAACTTGTCATGCTCCGCTTGTACTAAACCGAGACGGACATATGGTCTACCTGATTCAATGTCTTTGATCTTTTCCTAGTGTTTGTTAATCTTTAATCTTCAACATTTTTAACATCATCTATACTATAAGCTCCAAGACCTCCTAATTTTGGGAAACTGGTGACGCTTAGTTCCAGCGTTCTACCGGGCCGATTTTCATGNAAACGCATTTACTATTTTATAGGCTCCTGGCCCAGTGGATTAAACAACCATTGTGTGACATCAATGCGATTCAAGAAAGACATGATATTGTTGAAGCTCTTGCAACGGATATTACCTTAAGAGCAAGTTTACACGATGATCATTTACGTCGTATTCCTGACCTGCAAGCTCTCTCAAAGAAAGTACATCGCAAAAAAGCTAATTTGCAAGATTGTTACCGGTAAATGACACTTTTAATTGACTTTATTATGCATCGTACTCAAAAACATTGAATCTTGTAGATTCTAGTAGATGAATCTAGTAGCGGCTCCAGTGAATTTTTGTCGGATTGTGAGGCTTTTTTTCTTGGTTAATAATTAGTTCGCAAAAATGAAATATTGCTATTCCGTTGTAAAATTTTATGTTCTAGAACTTTTTCTCTTAAGAATTTTGTCTGAAAATGTACTCTAAACGAGATATTCGTGAAGAACTGAATGTGCGAATGAATTCTCCATTGCTTCTCTGCAGTCTTTTTGAGTGCTTGGGACACATGCTCTCTTTTCTTCCCTACCCGCCCATCATGGGGCTCTGAGAAACTTGTCACGTTCCGCTTGTACTAAACCGAGACGGACGTATGGTCTACCAGATTCAATGTCTTTGATCTTATACTAGTGTTTGTTAATCTTTAATCTTTAACATTTTTAACATCATATCCTTATGTTTTGAAACCCTGCATACCTATGTATTTTATATTTTTCACATTACTTTTGCTGGGTTTTTTTACAGAATTTATCAGGCTGTCTCCAAATTGCCAGATCTATTAAACAGTCTGGAGACAAGTTATAGTGATAATCCTCAGCCGACGCTTTCATCTTGTTTTATCACTCCTCTCAAGGAACAGATCACAGAGCTGGACAAATATCAAGAAATGGTTCAATCCACGATTGACTTGGATTCAGTCGATAAAGGAGAATATTTAATAAAGTCTGAATTTGATCAAGATTTACAAGGTAACTTTTCTTTTTCACTGCATTAAAATGAAATAACTAGTTTCTTTATGATTTATACCTGAAGAAGGAAGGTTTACGTGTCACTGTCATTTGCAGATTAATGCTAAAAATGTTTTATCTTTAGATCTCTGTGTGCATATGTTCGTTGTGAAAAGTCAGAGAATCTTCACTATATTGGTCAGGGAACATCGAAAATTCAAGGAATTTTGGCTCGTCAAGTCTGCAGGCATCTTGTTGAACAGTTAAATTCGAGGGTCTTTTTATGATAGGTAACAAAAGTTTTTACGGTGCAAGTCTGATAAGACTCACCCCGGTTAATTTCTGATAAGGACTTAAAGCAGCCTTTCACCTCCACAAATGCTCAGCGGATGCTTTTGCCTTATTGCCAATTCAACGTTCAAGCATGTTGATGTCATGAATACACTTACATTTTTTTCGCAAAATGTTGATCATCAAAGTTTTATAAAGTTTTAAAATTATTCAAGTCCAGTTTTCTTTACAATTGACTAAAAGCCTTTTCTCTAATAATACAGTAAAACCTTGTTACACTAAGTTTCAGTAGACTAGCAAAAAATGTTGTTTAATCGAGATCGTTTTTTCGTCAAACCATGCTTAAATATGCAACTGACATCATTTTAAGTCATTTTTCGTGACTTTTGTGGTATTCTAATGTCACAAAGTACCAAAGAATGTTGTTGGAACTACATCTGTGTGTGTGCAAAGAAAGTAAATCATGAATCTCATCATTTTGTTTTATATTCGTTTCCAGACTACAGAGAAAAAATGGAGAAACTTGAAGAACAAATGAAAAAACACTTAACATCTGTTGCATCTGATTTGGATTATCAAGCGCACAAACAAATCAAATTAGAATCAAATTCCATGCATGGATTTTTCTTTAGAGTTACACTCAAAGTAAGTATTTTATTAATTTGATTAAGGTCACAGGTTCAGAGACAGGGACAGAATTGCGGGGTAGAGTGTAAGTTTTAAGGCTCAAATAATGTGAAGTACTTGATTTTAATTTATCCAAATCGTAAACTAAAATTTATCTAATCTCTTCATTTAATGTTTGCTTAAACAAAAGTTTATTGGAATGATTTATTTAAAATTTATCGAAATAAACAGATTTTAAAGAAATTTGATCGCAAGCAAAATCATCATGGGAAGTAAAAAGTGTCGCAGAAAAAAAAGCCTTTTAGTCAATGAAGAAGCAAACCAATCTTTGTATTGCAGCAAACTGATGGCATAGACTATCTCCTGCCATTGAAATTACCCTGGAGTGCATATTTAGTCAATTATTAGGTACATATCATGATAGAGCTTCAGAAAAAATTTTGTAAGAGAAGAAAATCACTTTTAAAAGAGTCAAAACATAGGTATTCATTACAAGAATTAAACTCGAGTTAAATCATCCAGCTCTATAAATATATTGCTCCTCTGAAACTATCAGTCTTAATTTATGCTATTTTGCTACTTGATGGAGACGGCAACCTTAAAAACAAGTTTGGCTAAATCGATGAAGAAAAGAGTGCAATGAACGATGCCGAAATCCGTTTGCGAATATCTTCATTCGTTGAGCTGCTATTGCGAAAAAACAGCTGAGCGCATCATGTCATGAGCTCTGTCTGGCATTTCGCAGTTTACACTCTGCATCTCGTCTGGGGTGTCAAGTGGCCGATGCATGATCGCGACAAGTTAGTAGTTCGCCCCGATCTCGCTCATTCCTAGCCGGCTCTTTTTTGTTTGCTTAGATGTGACTATTACCACTTCTTGTGTTTTTTTAACTTAATGAATAATTTACCATCTCAGTGTGAACCGCAGTCGCACCGGGAGCGCATGTCGTCACCAGTCAGACTTTCAGTCTTTCATATCTCTGCTGATTTTGCGAATTTTCCATTCGGGACAGAACCATTTTGCTTCTTATACCTTCTCGCTTCAATTTTTAATGCTATCTCATTTTCGATTATAGGGTTGCCGTCCCCATTAAGAAAACTTAGTAAATTACTTTTATCTTAATTTTTTGCGGTGGCAAGTACCGGAAATTGTTTTGTGTCATGCTCCCGCATCATCAAATCCCCCCGTTAATAACATTGCTCAATTTTGTGTTCTTTTTCAGGATGCCAAGGCAATCACTCGGAACAAGTCTTATGAAGTGTTGGATACAAATAAAGGAGGTGCACGATTTAGGACAAAAAAATTGGATTCTTTAAATGAAGAATATTTACAAATAAGAGAAAACTATACAAAACATCAAGAATCGATAGTAAATGAAGTGGTGTCCATTGCAGGTTGGTCTATTTGTCTATTAATCAATCTTTTCCACTCCTTGGATGAAAATCAGTAACAATGGTCATAGTGATTGCTTTTAGCTCTACCGTAGAACTGGTTGAGAAGTATTCAATCTGAGTTTGGTGAAAGAGAGTCATTGGTTATCTTGGCTCACTTGTCTGTATGTATTCCTGTCTTTTCTGCCATGCTAAGGATGAACGCTGTATGAGCCTTCATACGCTGTCAAATTTTCTTTGATATAATACGGATTTCCAGGTAAATCTGTGATTGTTTTACCCCCAAATTTTTTTAGAAAATAAAGTCGCAATTAGATTTAAATTATCTGAAACTTATAGAGAAAATATTCATATCTCTTCCTATAAATAAATATTCTATTGGAGGAAATTTGGCAACTCTGGAATGTTCATACAGTATTCTTTCTCAGCTCGGCAGTTTTCCTGAAGCAAATAAGCAAAATACTCCATTAGTAACCTTGATGAAACGCATCCCCCCCCCCTTTTTTTTTCAGAGCGAAGATTGAAGTGTGTGTACTTTTTGTTAATCTACTAAGAGCAAGTCCCAGAATGCTCCTCATATTTTTTACTTATATTTTAATGCTTCAATCATTCTTCCTCCTCATCAGTATCCCGTGTAGTGAACTGCAACCAACTTTTGTCTTTATTTCTGTTTCAGCGGGATACACCAACACATTACAATTTCTAAGTTTTACTTTGGCCCAACTAGACGTTCTCTGCAGTTTTGCTATGGTTGCCGAATCAGCACCTAAACCTTTCGTTCGTCCGAAAATGCATCCAAAAGGAACTGGAATTTTATCTCTTAAACAATGCAGACATCCATGTTTAGAATTAGAGGATGGGATTTCCTATGTTCCCAATGATGTTCATTTTGAACAAGGTAATTAAATTCAATGAAACAAACTGTAAAGGAAGATATAGGTAGTAAGGAAAACGGAAGATTTTGGAAATTCACTTTTTCTCTGTTGAAATTATAATTCAGTATGTAGAAAGAATTCTACATTCGCACAAATCTTTAAACTAGCACTTTTGTACGCTCTGAGACTCCTATTTTCCCAGAAATATGTGTTAGTCAGAGTGCTCCAACTTACATTTTATATCATACGCATCATCCCAAATATTGTCTTGAAGTGTCCAGTGCTGGTGTCATTAATGCTGCCTCAGCAGTCCAGATCTTTCTCCTTTAGATGTTGCAAACATAGAAAATCGATTACTAAGGTGTTTGTCCTGAACACCCCGTTTATCAGTCCTTTTCCATAGGTTTAAATGGCAAATCAATGGATATATCGCAAAGCACGCCAAGCCGCTGTCATGGACCGAGGCAATCAGTTTCTCCGCAACCTGTTTCATGCGCCAGTGTGGGAACCACCATGTTCCACAAGTTGTGTTATTAATGAAATATCAGTCAGGACTAGGGCATTGTTGTCAAGTTGCGAGTAGAATATACAATTGATCTAATGGCTCAATTGAATTTTATTTGTCATTTGTGCCGAGCCATGCAACTAAAGCACGGAAAATGTCTCCAACAAAATAGGATTCTTGTAACAAAATTAACTTATCTTGATTTTACTGCCTTTTCATCCGAATTTGCGCAAGTGCACTATCAGCTAAGTGCTGTTAACATTGCAGTATACGGAAGTTTTAGCAGTGTAAATAAAATTTCTTCATAAGCTAAACTTTAGTAAGCCATGTTTGGAAATTCCAAAATTTACTTTTATCAGTAATTATTTTCACCGCTTGTTTCAGGAAAGTCAACCTTCATTATCATCACGGGTCCAAACATGGGTGGTAAGAGTACATACATCAGGAGCATTGGAGTTACTGCTCTCTTGGCCCACATAGGTTGTTTTGTACCGTGTGATTCCGCTGAAATCAGTATTCTTGACGCAATCTTAGCCAGGATGGGAGCTCATGACTCTCAGCTGAAAGGCATGTCAACGTTCATGGTCGAAATGGTCGAGACTTCCTCTATCATACGGGTCAGTAAATTTTTATCTTGAGCTAAATCATGATTATTTAAATTATATTATTATTATTATTAGAATTTTGAAACAGTAAAACTTCGATGTAACGAATTCTTCAAATTAACGACTTTTTTCGCGGTCCCGAAAAAATCCCCATCTTCTTAATGTAAAATAAATTCCGTATAATGAATTTTGGTATAACGAATATTCGCTTTTACGAAGGAAATCTTAGGTCCGAGTACGAACTTTACCTTGCAAATCGAACTTGATTTAACGAATGCATGGGAATTTCCGCGGGCCCGGCAACATCTTTGGGGAGAAAGCATGCTTGTCTTCACCCGCGTATTGTACGTCGGTGTCAGTGCAAAGGTCATTTTCCGATATGGAGGGATTGGGGATTTCCGAGGCGCACATGTTTCCTCGAGTAAACGGGGTGATTAAGGAGCTACATGAACAGTGTCATCAGTACGATTTCAACCCCTGCCGGGTGCTCATCACTAACACTGCGCAGTTTTATTGATCAAATGCTAACCGGATGTTTCCCGCCGATTTTCCATAAAATATCGCCAAAGTTTTTAGAGGAGGGGGGGGGGTGTACACGAAACTGAAAAAAAATCGAACATTTCAAAATAATTTGTGGCCTAAAATCGGGTTTTCCGCGGTTTTTGATTTAACGAATTTTCAATTTTTCGCCACTCCCCAGAAATTCGCTATATCAAATTTTTACTATGATTCCTTCTTATTTTTTTATCTGAGGGAGTGAGTTTTTTTCCTTGAAAGTATCCCCTCTTTCATCTTGATAATAATCGAGGCGTTGGATGCAGAAAAGGCATTTCTTGGTTGCAGTGTTTCAGAATTTCCAGTACTAATTTTTATTTTAGAGAGGAAACCACTAGTTAAATTTTCTGAAATTTTAAGTTTTCAGCACTTTAAATCACAAATAATATCCAGTAAAAGTCACAGAAAATCACATACATTTGCTTCCATTATAATGAATGAAATTTTAGCAGAGCTTTTGATACGCTGCGACTGACAAATATTCTCTCTGCACCCAGCGCTTCAGTTTTTATCACATTAATGAAATGTCAAATTTCTCTTAAAAATTGTAAAATTTATTCAATTCTATGTTTCATGTTTTGAATAGAAAGCCACTGCCGATTCTCTTGTGATAATTGATGAACTAGGCCGCGGGACTTCAACCTATGAGGGCTGCGGAATAGCATGGGCCATTGTCGAGTAAGTTTTTTTTTCATCGGTCATTTTGTTTCTTTGTGGCTTTTTTGAGAAAGAACCCCGCACAGAGCATGGGGTCAGCGGCTCTCTATGAAAGTAGATGAAACTTTAATAGATTGATATAAAGTTCATAATTAAGGGAAAGCCAAAAAATTAGCTCACTTTTGCAAGTAGAAGCGGAGATATTTGCAATTGAATCCGGACTATTTTCTATCATGGCAGACGAATTCCGAGTCCCCTCTCCTCTCGTTGTTTGGCGTTCTCGATCAGACCTCACGTCACTCACGTGAAAATAGGTGCTTATGCGCTCGGCCGGTGTGAATGTCGTACTTCCTCCCTTTCCCCACATCTGTCAATTCTGTTTCAGCAACTACATTTCAGATTAAACCAGCTAGCGGCGCCGGCACGGGAGAGGTGCGAGAAGCAGGGAACTCCATATCGCACAGCCTGCATGGAGCGTCCTAATGAAAGGAGTGAGTGTAAACAATGCGACATCGTAGTTACCTGGTGGGGAGAGGGGTTTGCTGGCCGAAGTGCTCAAACAAGGTAAGGCGACATGGAGAATTTACCTTTGCCGCACAGAAAATAGTCCGGGTTCAATCGCGAATATCTCGGCTTCTACTCGCAAAAGTGAGCTAATTTTTTAGCTTTCCCCTAATTATGAACTTTATATCAATCTATTAAAGCTTCATCAACTTTCATAGAGAGACGCTGACCCCATGCTCTGTGCGGAGTTCTTTTGGTGTTGGGCAAATTTGCATCACAGAAATAATGGTGTGCTGTTGGTAAGTTTCAAGGTAATTTTCTTCCTTCTTGCTTAATGCTCTGTTGAGCATGTTAATTAAAGAATTTCCCCTCAGAAGCACATATTTTTAAATTAGTGTTCATTTCAGAAAACAGTCATACAGAAGTTATGTATCATAGGAAACACATCCTCCAGTAAAGGGCGGTGAATCGATTTATCTATAATTTAAACGTATGGAAATGGTTGGATTATTATTGTGTTCGCACTTTGTAGCAATCACTTCGATAGTTGATTGTACCTTAGCTTCAAATGGGAATATATTGATAGTCGATAAATTATGCTTTGCTCCAGAGGTCCTCAAGTTTTTATGATTTTTTTTCTTTTTTTTTAAATATTCCTATACAAAGTAAAGGCTAAAATACACACTGTCAATTTTTCAAAATTTCAAATGTGTTTTGTTCAAATTAATTCAAAATATCATTCAAAAGGCAACCTTGACTGAATGGACCCGTTAAATTGCGGAATCCGTTAAATGGTGATACGATTAAGGTCTTACTGTAATCTATTTATGTCGGACACTTGTATTTAAAAACAAGAGCTTTCCATATTTTGTTTACAGCTGTCATTTCCAGTGGCAGATCTTTCAGGAGAATACCTTCGCTCATTTTCATTTAATATTATATGCTCGTATGTCCTGTATTAATCCAGTTCTATTCGCATTTTCTCAGGCATCTAGCAAAAGAAATCAAATGTCCATCATTATTTGCAACTCATTTCCACGAACTGACCCGTTTGGCAGATGAAATAGAGACAATTCACAATTTCCATGTCACAGCTCTCACTTTGGAAGACAAACTGTTATTATTGTATCAAGTCAAACCAGGCGTCTGTAATCGAAGTTTTGGGATTCACATAGCGAAAATGGCCAAATTTCCAGATCGTGTCGTAGAGGTAAATGTTCTAAAATTAATCATCCAACTCATATAAAATACTCCATTCATGCGTACTACCTGTTTGTCCTTCGGTAGCTCCAGAAACCATATTTGTTCACATGAAATGAAATTTATAAATAACTGATCGCTAAACCAGAGTTAACTTCTTTAATGTTCTAGGTGAAATATGCTTTAAATATTGCCAAACAAAAATGTAGAACAAGAAGGAACTAAATTTGGCGTTTCTCTCAGCATTTTATTTTACCCATAAACTCTCTGTCCATGATTATCGACGTTTATTTTCCTAACCGTTTGTATTGATTTGTGATTGATGGTTTTGAATTATACATAATGGCACTGCAGTCTAAGAATTGGTGAGTATGCTGCAATAAAGTAACATTTAATGGTGAGCATTTAAAGCGTTCTGCTTTTAATACCTTATTCCATCAACTGTTGCCGTAAGAAAACTTAGGTGAATTAAGTTCATGAAGAAAATCATTCTACCCAACTTCCAACCTTGTTCTCACGCAATTAGAATCAGCCAGGTATTTCATTTAATTTTGTTCATATTGTTTTGTTATTATTATTATTATTCTGAAACTCAGCTCCTTTTTTTGTACTTGCCAAACCTTTGCGTAGCATGCTGATAACGTTCTTCACTTATTTATGTTTCATCTCTTCTCTCTTTTCTCCTTCTATATGTATGTTCATGGTATAGCATCAGCTAGCAATCAGTTTAGTCAGCATTATTGTGCGCCCAATCAAATAAATAAAATCCCCTTTTCTAAATCGCAATTTTTGAAAATGTTAATCTCTACTAATTTCTAATTTATGTAGAATTGGATACATTATATATTGCTTCCTTTTACAGGAATCTGAGCAAGAATTACAGGAATTGGAGGATTTTCAAGCTGCAGCTGCTTCTTTGCCTGAAAATGACCGAAAAAGACACATACAGGTGAATAATTTAATTTATTATAGACTCCATAACTGGCTTTAAAAACACATCTATCTACATTGTTCTTGAAAGTAGAAAATTTATATTCTATCACAAGAAGTACAGTCAAAGCTTGTTATGTCGGAGTGCATTTGAATCCTGAGTTCATTTCAACTTGGCAGGGTTTCTGAGTGTCTTCCTGTTATTCCATTTCAATTTCAAATTCCTACCCAAATGGCATCAGAATAATTACTCTATGTTGTAACGGTGCATCCGTTCCTCATGACCACTGCCAACACCAAAGAATGAAAAACGCTACGCATTAAAAAAAGGTCATACAAAGGATGTACGATCTTGACAACCTATCAAATCAAGGTCATAAATCAGCCTGGACCATTTCAAATTTAGATATCATAAACTCGAAGGTTTGCATAACAATGCATTTCTGCTGCACAGCCTGTTTTTTCCCATTCAAATCAATCTTATTTTCCCTGAAGAAAACGAAAAAAAAGAGAAAAAAACTGTGCCAGTTAGGAACCGTACAGGGTCGTTTCAGGAGCTTTTTACTTCAAATATGTACGTAAAGAGGCTAAGAGCCTGCTATTTTGCTGTACCCCAAGCATTTTTAGTGGGATTTTATCAACTATTTGTTCTTATTGTTTTATGCATCATTTCATCACCTTCTCAGCAAGTAAAGGACTGAAGGTTTAAACAGGTAAAACATTAAGGGTAGAAGTTTCAAAGGCTTGAAAATTATTGCCGAGATTATTTTAAAGTCCATTCTGTATACTTTGAGCTATTCTAATGTATTTTATATTATTTCAGGAAGGAGAACAACTAATGGAAGATTTTTACAGTAAGGTGATGAGGCTGAAAACGTCTGAATCATCAGAAGAGGATATTGAGAAAAAGTTTGAAGAACTGAAACAGGATCTGTTGTCGAAGAAAAACCCCTACATTGAAGCATTAATCAAATAAAAACTTTTCTCTGTTATTTGCATCCAAGTACAAATTGTTTACATGTCTAATTTTTATCTTTTAAATAATTATTCAATATTAATGGTTTTGGAGGATCAATTTTAAAATATTAATAATTTGATATGTGTACCTCCATTTGATTCATATTTGCAGTCACATTTCTCATCTTAATGATCTCAGGCCTCAGAAAACTACTAAATTTTTTCATTTTGTTAGGAATAACCTTGTTCCCCTTATCTATTTGTTTCTGTAGCATTTCCAACCAGTATTATTTTTCAAAACTTTACCATTTCTCTCCTTCTGAATTGTGATAGCATGAGTTTCATCTCTTGCAATTTTTTTTTTCAAAATATCTCTTGCTAGTAACCTAGCCACCAATGCAGGATGTTAGATTAGTTGTATTTTAAGACCTTGTAAGTTCTGTTTGAACATTCCATTAGTCAGGGAATGGTATCCTTGTTCTAAATTCTTTTACTAAGTAGAAGTACAAACCAAGGAATAAGACATGCATCTATTTATCTTGCCTACCGCTTATTCATAGTTATTTCAGTGAAATTTTTTTAATTTGTTACCAGTTATGTCTTTACAATGGATAAAAATCCTATCTGCGTCTTATCTGTTACCTCTGTTACGTTCATAACCTATTAGCAACCAGATAAACCATGTCTCTTAATTTAATGATGACGCAGGCGTTTTCAAATGTCAATAAAGTGTTTTAATACTCTTCTGTACTCACTGAGTTTTCCTATTTTAAATCTTACGATAAATGCAAGAAGGTGTCCAAGCAACACAAGTTTAGGTACTTTCCTTTGTTCAATCACCACTTCCTCAAAGCTGTGGAAAAGAACAGCCGAGTGAAAGAGGCAAAAATTTCCTGTCAAAAAACCTCAGAGACTTCCCAATCACATGTTCAGCCACATAAAATCCTTACCATGGTTACTCTCAATAATTTCACCATTTTCAATGAATCCTTTCCTATAGTGTAATTCCATGCTGCCTAAATCCTTAGAGTTCAGCCAAATTAACAGAAGTCTCCACCTTTTTCTGTTGTTGATTTTGGAGCACCACTTAAATTGATAGAGAGAGTTGTGAATTTTTTGTATCTTTCTAAATTATCCACCCCTAGGTTCGTTGGTTCCTGCATTTTATTTTTAGCTATTTTTTATTTTCTATTTGTTTCCTTCTTTTTTATCTACCAAACAACTCTCTTCTTTTAATGCAAATGTATAATGGTTACAACTGATCATATCGTTTGTATTCTTATGTGGTCTCATATTGTGGTTTAATAAACAGTAATTCAAGATAAAGTAATCAGTCCGTATTCGCTCGGGGATGCACATGAGAAATATTTTTTATCTGTGGAGATAAATTTAGGTTATATTTGTGAATCTAAAGATTAAATAGATTATTTTAATCTTTTAAAAATTTGCTGAAGTGTCTCTTAAGAGTTTTGAGGTAAGATGATTTATAAAATATTCATGAAGTAATATGTAGTATAGTATCAGTAAGTATAGTAAAGCAGGTAAATATTTATAAAGGATGTTGCAAATCCTTGTATCTTTTAACACACAGTTACGATCATCTTTGCTCAATCTAATCAGGCCTAACACTGACTCAAAAATTGGCTGAGTTCAATATCAGACTGGGTCAGACATTTTTCTAGAACTTCGTTCATTTTGTAGGGTTTTGTCTGACAGTGGACTGCAAAGGATAGAACACTTTTTCACAGACCCCCCTATGCTGACAGTATTCTTCAATTTTACCTAGTGTGCTATGGTTATTTTCTTGACTCCCTTCTGTATTTTGACTTTACTATAGTGCCGAGATACTCCAGGATGCAAATACACAAGTAACAAAAAAAAAAAAAAAAAAAAAAAAACTTAAGAAATGTGGCCCAAACTTCACGTAACAAGGTATTTTGAGCTGGGTCCACACAATTTTGCGAGGGAATAAAGCCATATTGTTTATAAATTTAAATTAGACTAAAAGAAAAAAGTTGTTTCTGATATACCTAAATTAAAATTTTTGGATTTGTTTTCCCTGCAAATTAGTACGGACCGAGCACCTTTTTACCACCTTGTTATACACAAGTGACCAAGTATCTACCTAAGACCCATCAGTAAATATGTATAATGCTATACTTCGGATTGTTCAACTCCCCTTCCCCTCTGAACCCTTGAGACATAGGTCCCTATCCTTCAACATGCAAAAACAAAATTGCTCAGTGCTCTCTAACCCCCCTCCCCTTAGAGTGTTACGCATTTTATGAATGGTCCTTCATGTAGCTCAGACGCAACCATTCGCACCTCTTACTAAAGTTTTATTCTATTACTACCCACCTACCTAATGAGGTGAGTAATTTCACCATTAATTTTTTACTTACCATAGTTAGCCATTTTTCGCATTCAGATTAGTAAAGAAAGTTAGGAAGGAGCATATTGAGGAAAACTCAAAGTGTCTTAGTACACTTTCTTGTCATAAAGCTCTTTTTTGTACCAGGTAATGCAATTCTGCAGCAGACCATGCAACAAAATTCTGTAAAACTTGTCGTTTATTTGAAATTTTGTTACCGATAAAGGAGACTAAGAGCTTGTTACATCAAACTTCACAGAATCAGTAATTCCCTCACTTCAATTTACTCGTGCTACATGTATCTGATAGGTATTGGTCGACGGTGAAAGTTCGCAATCACGTATCTTGTTTGCAGCGTTTCAAAATCTTCGCTCCCGTTTGATTTTTTTATAGGAGAGCAAATCAACATCTTTCAGTGAAATTTTCGCAGAATTTTCTTCATTCAGAGAAGAAAAATCACAACAGTTTTTATGAATTGCTGTTGAGAAGTTTTCAATTTGAAAAAGGAAGTAAGACAGGAAATCTGCAACGTCGCAAACCGAGATACGTGGTTACGGACTTTCAGCTAGCGCACTTAAGTAATGTCCATTTCATTACGATACGCCTTTTTGACCGTTTCCGCGCTCGCGCGAAATAATTTTCCCTCCTTTTCGGTTTGCCCGCGCTTCTGAGACATGAGTCGCCAACCTTCGAGGGCCAGCGTAGCTGAATGTGGGTTTTTGATTAGTGACTTTTGCAACTCTTTGCCTGCACTTTGAAGTTGGCCATGGTTTCCTTTTAAAACCTTTGCAGTTAATTTGACGATTTGTTTGCGAAATATCACAGAAATCATCAGATCATTATTATTTTCCATTAACCTATTTTACCGCGCAAACTGAAGTTTTCAGTTGGTAAACTTGAGAAAGAGCTCTCCAGCGAGCCCACATTAGTCATCTTTTGTTTGGAAATACGGAAACGAGTCTGGGAATTTTGTGTTGTCTGCGCGAGGTGTGAGGAAGGGGAGTAGAGTGAAGTAGTCAACAACTGCGGACAATGATATAAGAAAGTATTCATTCTTAGTTTTATTTTCCGTGTGTCTAAAAACCAGGCATTAGTAAAATGGTGCGATCTCATTTCCCTGGCAAACCAAGATCTGGACATCGCAAGCTGATAAGCGCGTCATCATGTGCTGGTGGATCAAATGAAGCATCCCTTGTGGCCGAAAATATTTACCATGGTCTGTCAGCTTTCAACGCTACCTTCGGTCATGAAAATGAACAAGTAAGGACCTTACACATTCTTTAGGTTTACGCAGCCTCCGTCACCTATGTCGACACATTAATGTCTCAAATCAACAGTTTATTAACACTATCATTCTCCTTGACATCTGCTGTGGATTTCATTCATAACCTCCAAGTTTTGGTTCTCATGAATCTTATCAGTTGGGACTGTTGCTTTTTCAGGCAGAGAATGTCTGTCGTCCTATATTTTCGTCTCCTAAGTGGTGCAAAGTTTCATCGATCCATATCTGCAAATCAATTGGACGATGGATTGAGAGGAGAGTAATTTACCTTTGTTGTGAATCGCTTCCCTTCCAAGACACAGTCAACTGAGGCGTCCGTTTCTCTGTCAAATGTAAAGCCCTAGCAGCTCAGATGGAAATAAATGAATTGTATTTTGTCATATTGCTTGAGATTGAAAATAACACTCAGGCACTCCCCGTATGTTTGCGGCATAGAATTTATCATCCCGAGAATTGCCTGTGCAAGGTGGTGGAATGTTCTCAAGTGCTGACTTGTTTACCTAATGCTTCAAGATTAAGGCAGAGAATTCTTTCTCATTCATGTGCAATTTTTATCATTATCCTAAGTATGAAGTCGATAGACCCAGGTCAGTTTGTTGGGAAAATTGAGAATGATGATCTTTGGAAAACGGCAGTGAGGGCTGTCTGCGTTGCCTGAAGATACCCCTGATTCCCTGTCCCACTTTGCTGTTTCCACGATCCGATTAGACTGGTCTTATGCAGATCAGGGAGATAAGGAAACTATGCAAATTGAGGAAACTGTCGGAAAGTAGTGAAATAGCTATTCGGGGGAATCCACTGCCAGATCATAAAATTCTCAAGAACATTTCCCTATCGGACAGACGGGGGTCAATCGACCTTGCCTATGTATTGACTAACTGTAAGCTGGGTTATTGTACCCTTCCACTCCCCTATCACTAAGAGCATGACTTGATAGCATTGCTTTCTCCTTCATCCTTGCCGCATCACCTCACAGTGAGGAGAAGGGCTTGGAGGACAAGGTGCATAAGTGGAGTTTTCGAAATAATTGACATATCATTGATCTCAAGTAAAAGTAGTCCTCATGCATAATTAGTGTAAAATTTTCTCCCAAATTCTAATTTTCAAGCGCTGAAAAGTCGGTGTGAACTTTCTTTCCGCCATAAGGATCCATGTAACTTCGAAACTTAAAATGCGTATTTCTCGGAGTAGCAAGAACTGCACTCATGCACCTTGCCCTCAAAGCCTCTCAATTATTCTGTAGTACCACGTTCTGACTCAACCTCAATTGTATTGTTCTTCTTTGCAGCTTTAAAGTTTTTGTATTTTCATCAATCCTTTTTGTTCTTGCAGTTATCAACGTTCCATGGATTCAGTCCACACCAAGTGTCAGATGCCAAAAAAGCCGCAGAAGCAAGCTATAAACATGTAGAGAAAGAGTGCGAAGCTCGAGGTGTGATATTCAACCCTTTTTTACCAAGCAACAAGTTTTTGAAACGTTACCAAACTGCAACAGGATGTGGGGCAGAAATTAATTGTAATATGTGTCCTCTAGAGGATAAGGAAAATACTGAGAAATTGAATTGTGATACTGATTGTAGTGATATAATGTCTAATGGTCCTATGACAAGTAACCGTATGTCCAACAGTAGATCGAACAAAAAAATTCTAAGGGAAAATTTGGAAAGTCCCGATATCTCCATGGACAGCTTTTCCAGTGATTCAGATATGTGTTCGTCCAAGGGGAAATTGAATAATGCAAATTCAAGAAAGTTTGTCTTGCCATGCCGTAGTATTCATTCATCCCGTGTCATCAAACCGAACAAGAGATTTATGGATTCAGCAATTGATGATTCCGAAACAGCATCTGTTTCCTCTGAAACCGGTGAAAACCAACCTTTGCAGTCAAGTAATTTTGTACCATTGAAAAAACCCAAACTAATTTTTGATGAAAACAAAGGTAGAGATGTTTGTTGGAAAATAGATGCATCAGATGCCACAAATAGCTCATTAACATCCACTCCAAGCACCTCAAGGTCACCTCTGAGCAAAGGAATACTTCGAGAGGCCATTTTGAATATTGAGCTGTCACCAATTAAAACGGAGGGATTAAAGTCTTCGAATAGAGGTATGTCCAATTTGTCATTTCAAGCCTCATTATATGTTTTCTCTTCCATTACTCTTTTAGAATTTCAAGATTTTGGGACTTTCAAACTCTTGTTCCAACTTTAATGGAATGGGACTTTTTGATGAAACTTTAAAAGGTCATCATCAAGTTCATCATCAGGCAGAAGCCTAAAATTAAGTGATTTGGTAGGGGAAGAGCTCAAATATTCACCATTGAACTAGCGTATCAAAGAGAGAGAAGGGATGCTGAATCATAAAAAGATAGCAAGGTAGAGAAGCATCAAGATTAAAATACTGCACAATACAAAGTCTTTCAGTTTGAGTTAGGGAAGTAAACGAGCTCTTCGCTGTGCTGATCATCAAATGTGAAACAGAATCAACAGATGCAGGAGGAAAAAAAGGGTACGCATAGTATGTATATCAGCGGAGCTCATAAGCACCTTAAGGGCGAGGTCTCATTGGAAACGCAAATCAGGTAGCACATTCAATTGGGAAGATCTCCACTCATACTTGACAGAATCACTTTCCTTTTTTGCTTCGGTCTAATGATAAACTTTATGGTAACCTACTAAAGGGTCATCGATAGTAAGTCTTTTACTGGTGTGCAGTGCACTTTCAAAACTTTAACCAATTGTCATTTTAGAAGTAAACAGAGTCTGCCATTTTCCAAGACACAAGATGGGAGTTGCTCTTGGAAATTTTATGATTACTTTCTCCTGAAACTCAAAAGTCAGGAAAAGAAAGCCATAACTGGTCAAAAGCTTCTCTTGCCTGTTCAGGTACCAAAAACAAAATTAATGAAAACAATTTTGGATCAACAAAATTCATTTCGCTATTTCATAATTTTCATTTTTCCATTTTTTTTTTTTTTTTTTTTTTTTTTTTTTTTAATTAAGATCAGCTTTGTAATTGCCGTTCAGCACCATATTTTGTAAGTGTAATGTTAAAGATCCTACCCAAAAAGCTTGCGGATTCATATTGTTATTTCATTGGATTGATCCATTTAATATTATATTGAACTGAAGTTACAAGTCTATGATCGGTTTGAAGGTACATATATCAAAAAATTGTTTGATATCCTGTGCTTGTTGTTTTTTCAGCAAAAGCAAACACTATTGTTTGTGGAGTTTGTGGAGCTGTGCGGTTTTACAAATTCAAGAAACAAACTCGCAAATTTGGTGTCATCAGTTGTGAATCTTGCCGCAAATTCATTAGCAAAATGGTCAACTTGCTCCCTACTAAAAACGCTGCCTCTTACAACGGTGGTGTTCTGGAGTGTCACAATCAAAAAGGTCAGACGCTAGCTTTGCTATCAATTTTTTTCAGGCTTAATAACTGAGATTCAATCAGTTGTCATTACACTTATCGACGGTGCAAGTCGGCAATCACATAACTCGTTTGCGGTGTCTGAAAATCTCCGCAACTATGTTATTTTTTTAAAGGAGAACAAATGGACATTATTCCTTGAAGATTTTTGGCAGAATTTTCCTCGCACATACTTAGAAGAAAAATCACAGAAGTTCTAAAGAATTACTGTTGAGTGGTTTTCCGTTTAAAAAATAAAGTATGACAGGAAGTCTGCGACATCGCAAACCGAGTTATGTGATTGCCGACTTTCACCGTCGTTATGTATTCACTGGAAAAATTTGTGCAGAAAAAGGCAAACCCTATCTAGAAAGTATTTGGGGAGATCAACAAAACATGCTGAATTTTTGGCTATGAATTTGGCTATGATGACATGGAAGTGCAAGATTTTCTAGTTTTAGGTACTATTAATATGTAACTAGATGGCGCACTTTTGTGTCTTGTTCAGTCTTTGAAGCATTTCAGTGTTTCAACTTCCATCTCTCTCTCTTTTTTTTTAAAACTGCAAAAATTATACCTGAAAATGTGAAAAATAGTATTTGAATTAACTTGGATATTCGTTCCTCAGGCCTATGTAATACAAGGAGATGAACTTCAATAACGAACTACCAGTCAAAAATTGGTTAATTTTGCTCTGTACTGCTTGTTATTACTTTATTAAAACTTTATTTTGAGTTAAGTTCACTGAATCACTGGATTTTAAATAATGTTATTGGTTTTCAGGTCGTATTGGATGCTGTGATAACCCATCTATTCTAAGGAACAAGGAATGGAACTTCAAAAATGTTAAGTTGGTAAATAATCAAAGATGTCCGGCTTGCTGGCTCAACACTTGCATTCGAAAGTATAACATCCCAATAGATAAAAGGATAGGTTTGTCAAAAATGGTTCCTCAAGAAATGAGAATCCCCGAATTTTGTGAAGAAGCGACACTTTCATCTCATGAAATCGACTATTCCCAGCAACAAAGTGATTCTGGTGTGACCAGATGGCGCAGGACACATGATAAACTTAGTAAGCTTCGAAGTAAGTGTATTATACTTTCATCTTTCCTTATCTTTATTGATCATCTCTTGCACATCTAGGTATCAGGAATTTTTGAGGTCGTTTTGAAGTTTTCTCATTATATTTGAAATCAAATGAATGAGTCAAATAGAAATGGATGTTTACTTCAATAGAGCTCTTGCATACCTTAGGGGCAATTCTAGCAGTCAATCCTCTGTAAAATTTCACATGGAACATGACTGTGCCTCTGGTTCTCTTTGGCAAAAATTCCCAGGCTCAATGAAAGCTCTCAAAGTTGGATTAAGAGGATCCCTTTTTATATGAGAATGCTGTCCTCTACGTCCAGTCAAGCTCTTCTTGCACAGATAGGGAGCAATTGCATTAGCAGGGTTGCCACTTTGTGTGAGAACTCAAAAGCTGCAGCCACTGCAACCTAGCTAATGTATTTGCTTTCTATCCTGGCAAAGGAAGCTTGACTAGATATGGAGGTGGGCTTTCTCCAAAGGTAGAGGACCTTCTCCATTATAGCGTAAACTTGAAGAGCTTTTTTCAAACCTGATAGATCGTTTCAGAGAAAACCAGTGGCACCATTATGCTTCTTGGGAGACTTTACTGAGGATCATGTTCCTCAATGGGCCTGTTGCTAACTTTTGCTAGAGCAAAACTAAGATTTTTTTTTATAGATAATGCCTCAAAAATCACGATGAGCGCATTGGCAAAGTCTGAAATGCAGTCATTACTTCACAATCTGCTTAAGAAATTTGCGGGCTTTTTAGCTTCCTGTTTCAAAAACAATACTAAGGCACAGGTGGACGTAATGCTAGAGGAGTCGTTCCATCGTCGGCAATATTCATCTTGGCAGACGGCAATTCGCCATAACACGTGTGATGGGACGAGATAATACCTGACCAGGATAAGACCAAATAGCGATCGGCATGTTCACGTTCATATTTTCCTCGCCTGCCTTGATTGACCTGGAGCTCTCTTCGAATTACAGGCGGAACTGCGGAAGGGTCGGACATAATGAATATTGCCAACGATGGAGAGACGCCTCTATCAAAATGTTCACCTGTGCTGTAGTATCGTTTTTGAAGTGGGAAGCTCAAAAAAAGCAAATTTCTTTCGCAGATTGTGAAGTAATGAGTGCATATGAGACTTTGCCAATGCGTTCATCGTAATTTTTGAGACATTATCAGTAGGAAACAAGTCTTAATTTGCTCTAGCAAAAGTTTGCAACAGGCCCATTTCAAAAGTCCCTGCAAGAACTCCAATCTGGTGTGACTCCATCGTTTTATTGTTCAGTTTAAGCAAATATCCATGAATCCTCTATTCATAATATTTAAAAACTTGTATCATCTCCAATAACGGTGGAATCTTCAATTTCCATTCTACTTCCTTGGCAATTCTCCAAGGAAAATTCATTAACTGAATTATTCAATAGCTCATTCACAGCCATCGAAGGCTGCACAGCTCTCACAGTTGTCAAAAAAAATTTTACAATGGCAATCTGGAAGGTGTATAAAGTCAAGTTGACTTTATTTGATCCATTGAAAATAACTTTAAGGAGTAATATGCTGTTTATTTGAATGATTACTGAACATAATCTCGAAAAATGTCAGCTGTGCAAATTTTTTATGAACTGTTCTATTATGCTTTATGCAGTACGACACTAAACCGGGGAAAGAGAGTTGATTAGTCAATCAAATACCTAATTTTCTTTGTGGACTTTCATTCTTTTTCAGAAAAAAGGCATAAAAATGCGATCAACTCCATTTCTAACATGGCTAGATTTATATCAGCAGTTAAAAACCGTGATCAAAGTAATGAAACTCGACAAAAGAAAATGGAGATAGAAAGCCGAATGAGGGTAGCCAAAAATCTAAGGAAAAGAACGTCAACTTCTCTTCGATCAAAATGTACCGATACAACTGTGCAGAAATTAAAAAGTAAGTCAGTGCAACTACATTTACTCATTATCTTTAGCTTTTTTACACTCGTGTGTTTTGGAGCTGTTCCTGTGCAGTTATCATAAGATGTGGTGTTCGTCGTAGATTTTGAGTCTAGTGAAATTAAAAAGTAAGTAACCTATTTTCTCTGGGAAGCCACAGTAAATCTTAACTTGATTACTATTCAATTACTTTTTACATGTTCGGTTTAAAATTGGCTAATTCCATGCCTCAGAATCATTTTAGTCCATGTCTTTGGTTCAGCTCTCCTATTCGAAGAAAGGTTTTCTTCCCTTCTCCCGTCTGCTTAACTCTCATGATACCCGTAAAAATTGTTGTATCTTTCATGTATTGTGTTGTTTTCTTTACTGTAATTTGGGAAGAAAATAGGAACTCAAAATGTCTTCAACAGGTATGAGGGTCATCCAGACAATGAGATTTCTAAAATAGGAAGAGATCTATCTGTCATAATAATTAAAATACCTAGATTGAAAAAAGGGGGGATGTGGGGGGGGGGGGGGGTATAGATTTACATAAATTGTGAATCGATCTTGAAGGAGATTGTAATGATTTGCTGCAGTAAAACATTGGAACAAACTTTAAGGCCGCTACATATTTTCTGTGAATTTTTTTTAAATGATACTATTTTTTCTTGACTGTTGTTAAGTTTCACTGTTGCAAAACACTTAAATTCTCTTTAAGGGTCTATTTGTGAAATGAACTGAAACAAAATACAATGTCTTATGTAATGTACACTGAACATGACCCTTGAGTATTGAATTTTTAAAAAAGGTATTTTTCAATCGTAATTATTTTAATTGTATTTCTCAGACCTATTCTTCAGCAAGCATCTGTTTACTCTTTGATGTATTTGTGTCAAGTTTTTATCTGTAGAGTTGATACTCTTCTGGTACAATTTTATTTTTATATTAGAACGGTAACTGCAAGCAGGGAGGGAACCTAGTGCAGTTCTCCTCTTGAGAATTCTGAAAAAAAACCTGATAACTCATTTGTGTCCATGGTCAAAAAGTGTGTCAGAGATGGTTATAATTTTTTGTAGTAATTATTTGTTAGTATTCATTTTTTTTTAGTTATTTATTTTACTAGGAGAGGCAGCGGTGAAACCATCTTTGATTTTCATAAATGCAAGATTAAATGAAAGCTTAGAAATATGCAACAGTTAATATAAATAATCGCAGAATTTGCAACAGGTTGCGTCTCATTTTTCTAGGCACCACATTTGACTAGTAATCTAAGTTTTAAGGCTGCGAAACCTCATTTTGAGGCCCATTTTGCGTATAACACCCGATGAAGTTGGATTATTGCATGCAATATTCAAAGAATTCTGGTAAACTAAGTCTTAAATGGGGAAGCTCCTTCATTACTGCATTTCTGCATAGGTGTAATTTATCTTTCATTTTTTTCTTGTTCAATTATTAATTAAAGTAAATTTTAATCAAATCTTTGTTTCTATTCACAGAAAATACCAAAGATTTAAGTAAGAAAAATAAAATAAAAAAGTTGAAAAAATTAATTAGAAGGAATATTGAAAAAAGAGTGGACAATAGAGGAGTGAATAAGGCTTCAATAGAAGAGAGAAGAGATAAATATTTTATGAAAGGACCTCGTGTCAAGCACGTTTGCCGAAGTGCGTCAATTGTGCTCGGCCAACCTATGGCAACGTTCCCTATCTCAAGTACAACAGTGTCAAGTAATTATCACATTGATTTTATTGCTACAGTTTCCGCGCTTGCTTTGTGCATGCTACTTTTTCCTGCTTATTGTCATCTTTGATTCTCAAATCTAATCAATATTATTGTTTCATCATTAACAGTTAACATTGAAATTTTCAGCATGCGTTACCCTTCTGATGATATTTTTCCTTATCTTAGAGTCATAGTGAATTGCGTTGCATCATCTCTCTTTGAGAAACAGTAGTTAAAGTTAAGTTTTTTGTTCTATGTACCTGACAAATAGGATAAGGAGCCTGTCGAACAAGAATCAATTTTTCAGGATAGTGACTTATGTCAAGCTGGGTTGAAAACTTAAAATCTAAGTTAAAGGATTAACCCTGTAGAATTCCAAAGAAATAATTACGAGTTGTCATGTATACATATCACACACTTTTACTCTTCACATAAAAATTTGTTAATAAGATACATTTTATGCGAAAAGCCACTTACCCTCTTGTAGAATTTTATTCTTAAGTAGATCACATTATTTATTATGTTTCTCATTTGAAGTCCTTTCAGAATTCAAGCTCTTCCAAATATTTGAAGGTAATAAATTTCACCCATCCAATGATGTAAATACAAACTTTTCTAGTTTATAAACTCTCAGAAGTTAATGTATTGATCATTGTTGTTTAACTATCGTAGTCATTGGTTTCATTCAAAAATATCTTTAAGAATAGTTAAAGTGATAATTTAAACATGAGATCCTTGTATCTTGTTTGCTTTTCATGTACCTTAAGTAGGTTTTATGTACGTATTTTAAACTTACAATAACATAATGCAATAATGTGACCTTTTGCACAGTAGTCCTTTTCGTGTGCACAATACAAGCTCCATTGCACTGCATAAAGTATCATTTTTCCTTTTCCTCTTGAATTGAAAACATAAATACCTCATTCATATCAGAAGCACAATAATATATCTGTAGACTGGGTGGGGGGTGGATAAAGGTCACATCAAGCTGTATGCATCAATCATCAGCTGGCCCATTGGTCAGCACATGAATCTCTATTGAATGATGCCACTTTCTTTGGTAACATTTGTCCATTCTTTCCTTTTCCCAGTTGCAGGCGTGTATGAAGGCATCAAAAATTATCTTTTGTTCTCACAAGTCCTTTCTTATTCTTTTGAAAGTCATCAATCTTCATTAAAACATTTCCGAGCTGATAATTTTGAGGGCCAGGAGGAAGTCAAAATTTTTAACTTCCTGGAATATATTTGGGAGTTTTTCCATTCATTGAGAAACAATTGCTTGCTTGAATACCAGACTGTTACCGATTTATTTAGTCCCATTCTCTCCTTCAGCTCTTTTATTTTCTCCAAACCAACTGTCCAAATGTTGAAAACTTTCCAGTACACACAAGTATACAACAGCGTCCAGTTACATACAGCGTATCAAATCACACTCTATTTGTAGCTCATCTACCCAGGTAGCTTCTAATTTAACTCATGTAATGCCTAAAGCTAGCTTTCATCCTGACCGTAGTTTCCATCAAAGCATTTTTATCAGTCTAAAAATTGTAATATTAAGATAACCTCTTGAAGAGAAATGCAATAAATTGCACAGAAATTATTCAACCATAAGGCAACGTTTTAATATTGATTTTCCAGTGTTGTGTTTGCGCGCTTTCGTTTAGTTCGTTTCGTTAAGTTGTTTTTTGTAAGTTATAGAATTAGCATCTAAGCATCGACTCTTTGTATCACACAGACAAACCAATAGACAAAATTTAGATCCAAGTATGTAGTCGCAAGTATCCTCAAAATTGTGTCAAAAATGGAATTTTTCATTAATCAAATTGTAACACGCGATTTATAATTTTTTTTCTTGTTTCAAGTTTTTTCTTTGTGAAATTTTGAAACAGAACACGCGAGGAATGCTTTGAATCAAACCATGAACCTGTCATTAGTTATGATCCCTAGCTTTTCATTGCGAATTTCCCAAGAATAACTGAAACAATCTTTTCCTGCTGTAGTTTGGTAGTTTCTCTTTGGATGTTGCAGTCTTGCTTGACAATGTTCATTGCGTAACATTCCATATTTTTTCATATCTTTCATGAATGTATCTCCTCTTGCTTTCCGCTTTACCAAATTTTTCTCAACTTTGAATGCCAGTGAATTGTAAGAACTAACAAAGGATCATCACTTTTCCTTCTTGTAATGAATGGTTTTGAACTACAAGTTTGATGTTATTGTCGAGTCAATGACACTGAAAAGTACCTGAAATTATGAAAAAATCTCAATAGCAATGCAGAATTATCTTGGATCCAAACTTTTTTTAAATTTGAGAGCAGTGCTGTCAGGTGAACCGATTTTGTTTCTTGTCTTTTCTTTTAGGAAAGACAATTTTTAACTCAAAATTTTAAAATTTTATAGTTTTGAGATGTTTAATTCATCCAATTCTTTACAGCTGATGAATTTGATGATCAAGTCTCTTGATTTTGGATCATTAACTCCTATGATACTTTTCCTCTTGCCTTTTTACATCAGAAATATATAATGTTAGAAATTAACCTCTATGCCAATTTTAAGAGCTTGCTAAACTTTCTGTCTCTTCTTTATCATTAGAGGCATGATTGTTGTTTTGTGTAACCAGCAGATATTTGTCAATATTTGACTGTCTTCACAAGATATTCATATGTGCTCCTTCATTTTAAACGACTAAAAGATAAATCATATTTTAGATGAGTACATTAAAGCTCTCTTTAAAAAATTTTGATTTCTTTTTGTGGCACATGCATTGATTACAATCTAAGATTTTTCTTGAAGAGAATTTATGCTTCTGGAGGGACTCAATATATTGAGTCTCTCATCCCGTTTTTAGTTAAAAACTTCTGTCAAGAATGACTTGATTTTTTCAAACAGACTTTCTGTATTCTTTGAAAAACGAGAAAAACAATCGAAAAAGGGTTTAATAAGGTCACAGTACCACGTGGTTTAGAATGTCCTAGTCTGCAGAGCAGACTGTTTCTGGACACTTTGATGGATTATAAAGTAAGCAACACATTGCTCTTAGTTTTAAAATCCTAGGAAGTTTCAACCGTTTGGTGTAATTTTACGTCACGTAAGTGTAAATTTCATTGAATTTTTCATATTTTTGTTGTTTTTGAAAATAAATTCATTATCTTTTTCCCTCATTTTTCAGATAACAACTCTCCTAAAAGTAAAGAGAAAGAGAATCCTCAGTCTTCAGAAACTCCACGTGCAGAAACTCCGGAACCAAGGTAAATTGTAAAACTAACATCTATTACTTAACTTTTATTGATACTGCTTTAAAACTATAATTGTTCAAGTACATATTTAAATACTAATTTTAGTGTCGAATTAAACCATAAATCAACGGGTCAATGTTGTTCAGTTTTAAACCTATTTTTTTCTGCTGTTCCGTTGAATTCTAGTCCTGATTTTTTATTTTTTGTTCCAGAATAAAAGAAAGTACCCCTGTATCAGCTATCAGTACTTCAGATCCTAATGACTCAGATGAAATTTTTGAAGCTCCAACCATCAAAATAAGGGATGTTTCGCAGAAGTCAACGGATTCTGCTGAAAGACCTTTTGAAGAGATACCTTTGGTGAGTTCATAAATAGTTCATGAGACTTTCACATATTTGTATCATGACATCTGCACCACAGCAATTGAGTCCATGAAAAGGACCTTTTTCAAACATTTTCTTTAGATTTTTAACGCGTTGCATGCCACTTTGTTTTGGACACAGGTACCCCTCAGTGCCCTTCAGGAGTGTCCCTCCCCTCCCCTCCAAAAAAAAATAAAAAAAATGAAAAATGCAGTGGTGCATTCTCCCATCGGGGCCACGCCAGCTGTGACGTCTGCTGCACAGCTTTAACGTCCTCTGACCTGAAGAGAGTGTTCAATGCAAGCAACTGCATCTGGATCAAAACAACAGGCTTAGTGTATACAGAACCCTTCAATGCCAGCCAATATGACCAGCGTCCACAGCTTAGTGTTTAGTGGAGACCACATGTACAGTTTAATCCATTCCTTGCTGTTTGATCTTGTTTCATTCAGTTCCATCACAAAATATGACAAAATCCTAGTCCCTCAATGGTCAAGAAGCATTGCTTTTTGATTTTTAAAAAACTTTCAAGTCTCTTCACTGAAAAATAGACTTTGTCTTTTTGTAAAGGAAAAAAAATTATTTGATAATATTTTTAAAAATTATGTACCTTTTCTGTTCAAGGCCAGAACATTGCAAGATTTAGGAAAGCAACAAGAAGAGGAGGCAGAAAACCAAACAATATCGGTTGATTTTTGGGAAAACTATGATCCAGAGGAAGTCTGCAAAACTGGTTTCGCACTGATCGCATCAGAGCCTATTCATGTCCCAGCCTTGTGTTTTCTGTGTGGAAGTGCTGGGGTCGATAGGGTAATAGATAGTTCCTTTGATTCAATAATAATTGTTTAACTGGATGAAGTTAATCTTTTCTTGCTTTTTTTTCAAGAAAGTAAATCTCAACTTGCCTCAAAAAAAGATATCTTTGCGTTCTAAAATAGAATTATCAAGCAAAAACTAGAATAAGAGTTAGTATACCCTTCCTTGGGTAAATTTATCAAGAACCATAATACTGAAGTACGGATTGGCATATTTAAAAATTATAGGTTCAAAACATTTTATCCTATTTTGCTTTTAGGCTTTTCCCCCACTAATCCATTAAAGCTACAACTATGCACTGAATTAATTCTTCTTGCTTTTAATCTTTTTCAGCTCGTTCATTGCGTCAGCTGTTGTGAAGCATACCATCAGTATTGTGTAGAAATGAATATGCACCCGTCTAAATTATCTCTCGATCGCAACTGGTGGCGTGTGGATTGGATTTGTCCCAAATGCACTTTTTGCACTGTTTGCAATGACCCTGCACCTCAACTCTGTTGTCAACGGTGTCTAAAGTCTTACCACTCTAATTGTCTCTCTCCAAATCGTCAAAGACCGCACCTAACAGATAAAACTTGGGTTTGTATTTATTTTCTTGTCTTCAAGTGATCAACTTATCATACCTCTTGTTACAGTCAAACTTCGCCAAGTCGGAACTCGCTAACTCAGTAATAATGGCTCGGTCCCGTGTTTTCGTTAAGCCAATACTAAATCCATTCACTCGCAAACCCTGCTTGGTCGGGATCAACTCTTGGTCCCCATGTATTCCGACTTAATGAGATTTGACTGCACTAACTTTAATGCATCTTAGAAATCGATATCAGTTTTTATTCTTTCTTGAATGTTGTTAGCCATATGGGAAACTGGATAGTCATGGAATGGGCAAGAATTTTATTTTGCAGGAAAGAGATTTTTTTTGCATGGTGAACAAATGTTGAATTTTTCATACTAAAGTTTTTCTGCCGTGAAGGTACAATTTCAAACAAATAACAATGCACAGTTCTTGTCCCACCTTGCATCTATTGCCTTACTCCCCCCCCCTCCCCCCCTCTGACTTCATAGTGTCCTGCAGTAACCTGTTGTCTTGGTGGAGAAGTTCATTTTAATTCATCATCAATGTAAATTGACCAATTTTAAAGGTCTTTAAGCTGTGGATCAAGTTTTATTTTCAAGCCTAATTTAAAAAGCCTGTGTGAGAAACGTCTATCACTGACTTTTGTTTTTTAGTATCTTTTCAGCCAAGTGAAAGCATCAGTGAAACGTTGAATTTCTTTGCTTAATCTATTGGCGTAACTTTACACTGACTAGCAAATATTATGGTTTGTATCCTTTTCAATGTGAGTAATTTTTTACCTTGTTTCCGCACTAGGTGTGTCCATCTTGTCTTCGTTGCAAGAGCTGCAATCAGACTAATGTCAGTAAATTCATCGGGAACCTTCCTCTCTGCTCACCTTGTTTCAAACTCCGACAAAAAGGAAATTTTTGTCCCTTGTGTCAAAGATGTTATGAGGACGACGATTACGACTCAAAGGTATATTAAATTTCATTATTCACAATTTCAGTACTCCTGAACACTGGCTGAAAATAAGGAGTATACTTCTTATGGCTGTACTGAGACAAAACTAAAATGAGGAGATATCTTGTCATTAGACCTGTCAACTTTTGACAGAGGGCGTTACTCATCTACACTTGTTTTAGAAGTATGACTAACTCAATATATATCTCCACTAGGAAGTTTTTCTCTTTTGCAAAATAATTTGGTTTCAATGTACTGCTAATTTACCTAACATTTGATGTTTTTTTCTTGATTTCGTCTCCTGTAATAAGCAAAATGGAAGCTTTTCTGACTTTGTATATTTTGTATGCAAATTTCCTAAATTTCAGCATATTTAAATGAGTTTTAGGAATATTTAGGAGTTTCCAAAGTTATTAATTTTAGCTAAATTAAATGCCAAAGCTAGGTGTAGGAGGTAGAAAAATAACCCTAAGGTAGTGATTTAATGACTAAGTCGTAACAAAAACTTTAATGTAACTGAGAAATTTTGTGGCTCTCAAACTTTCTATTCAAATAAAATTTATTTTCATCCCTTGTAGCAATCAAGGTTACAAAACGACCCTCTTTACAGTTTAGGTTGTGTAACAGCATAATTGAAGCATTGGTTGATTATTAAATTAAAGCATAGAAATCAGTAGTTAAACTTAAAGCGGTAAATTTTAAAGCAGGCATTTTGAAGGCTGAGTAACTAAGCAAAGAAATCTGCACAAACTGTTGAGACCAGCTTTCCATTTATCGGTTCACAGGTCTGAGTTTACTCCATCTTTACTTTTACTTCTTCAATTAAAACTGGTGCTTTTGAGTTTATTTTAGTTGGTACGATTGTAGTCATTGAACAGTTGCATTGTCTTCAATTTTTAGATGATGGAGTGCGGAAAATGTAAATCCTGGGTCCACGCCAAGTGTGAAGGCTTATCCAATGAAAAGTATCAAGTCCTTAGTTATTTGCCAGAATCGGTCGAGTACATTTGTCGGTACGTATAAATATAAATTTCCCATTCACCTACCTACCCTAAATTGGCATTTACCCCACAGATGATGCAAGATTGAAAAATTCATTTGAAGTAGATCCGTAGAGCATAATAGATACTGACAACTAAGTAGACTTCATAAACTTTTTTGTTCGGTAAAAATACACAGTGAGAAAAACAATCTGTGTGGTTTGTAACACACAGTTTCAGAGTTATTTCGTCCCGCCAGACTTGTCCTTATTGAGATGTAAGTAAACATAATCCCCAAAAAACAATCATCGAGGCAAACTGTAATCTATCTCTTTCAAGTAAAATTTCAGTCTTATTTGTGAATGATTGATAATACAGTCCATCGCCAACTGAGTCAAATCAAGTTTGAGTTCAACTTGAGCAGGAATCCAAGTCGAGCATCCGCTTCTTACATCAGATTTTCACAGAGAAAAATTTGCCCTGTGTGATGTCACAGAAATTTTTACTTCATGAACTTGTCTTTCTGACTAATGAAGCAGGGTGTCTACAAGTCCGGAATTTCCTGAAAGTCGAGAAAGAGTACTGATTTTTTCAGAGAAGTCCGGAAGTACTGAAAATGTGTGGAATTGCGCAAGAAGGTCCGGAATTTTCGTCGTTTTTATCGCAATTCGAGCAAGAAATTCAAATTTTTGAAATTTTTCGAATTCACTCAATTAAAGGTACTGATAAAGTACTGATTTTTTCTGGGGGGGGGGATACTGAATTTCTTGGGAATGTACCGAAAAAGTACTGTGAAAGTACTGATTTTTGGCTGGCCTGTTTTAGTAGACACCCTGTAAAGGCAATTTTTTTTCATAATTTCGCAAGTGCAGAGTAATTTTTCCATCGTGTTTTTTGTCTTGAAAAATGAGGAATTTTATTAAATGAGAACATCTTCTCTTTTCCAGAGTTTGCTGTGATATTCCTCCAGCTTCTTGGTGGCTTGCCGTAGAAGAAGAGTTGAAAACTGGTTACCTAAACGTCTTGAAATGCTTGAGTAAAAATAAGAAAGCTTGTGATATTTTGAAATGGAGTCCAAAAAAACGAACAGCAGATTGCGTTTGCCGGAGCAATGTGAGAGTCAAGCCTCTGCGATTTTCTGACTCTCAGCCTAGCGGATCGAAAACGATTCATGATAGTGATAATAAGTGCCTTAGTAAAGATAGCTTGTGTGATATAAAACAAAATGAATTGGCCTCCAATTTAAGTGATAGTGACATGAATGAAAGTGACATCAACCTCAATAAAACTAGCGGCAGCAGTACTTTGAATGCATCAAATCTTCTGCATGTGAGTGTTGAAAACAACGACTGTCAGGGAAATTTTTATGGCACCAACTCAGACAAAACAGAACAATTTTCTCCTCACGCTACCCAGAGTGACTCTGGAATAGGAAGCACTGATGATGAATTGAAAGCAACCTCCAGTATTGACGGTGAAAGCAACCTAGATGAACGCTCTTTTAGTAGTGGTCAGTGTTATTGCTCTGGATTAGAAACTTGGACTAAAGCAGCTCCGACTCTCCTTTCAATCAAAAAGAAGGTCAGTGGGAATGAGTATTCCTCCTTGCTTCAATTCCATGATGATGTCGAATCTGTCATCAACAGCATCGTTGAAAGCGAAGACTTGACACAAGTTTACCATCAAACTATGGCAGAAGTATTTCCCTGGTTCGATCCACAAGAGTCCAAAGTATTTGACGCAAGCTGTGCAACCTCAAGCTGTGATGTTAGCATGGATGATAATCTGGAATTAGAAACAAATGACATCGCCGATGACTTAAAAAATGAGATGGATGAAAACATCACATGTTTGCTTGGCTATGAAAAGGACTATTACTATCTTGGAAAGGAGGAAAAAGACGAGCGAATTTGCGCTCTCTGTAAAGGCGTTAGTGAGGGGCCAATGTTTGAGGAAGGTCGGCTTTTGTATTGTGGTCATAATGACTGGATCCATTCTAATTGTGCCTTGTGGTCCTCTGAAGTTTTTGAAGAGATTGATGGTTCCTTACAGAATGTTCACAGTGCCATATCTAGAGGGAAGATGATACGTTGTTCTAAGTGTGCCAAGAAAGGTGCAACGGTAGGCTGTTGCACTCGTAATTGCACAGAGACGTATCATTTTCCTTGCGCCCGTGAAGCAAGCTGCACATTCTTAGAGAGCAAAACGATACGATGTCAAACTCACGCAGCAGGAAACTTTGAAGACAAAATATTAACCCGTCAAGAGGAGTTCCACATCTCCAGGCCTGTTTATGTAGAGTTGGAGAGAAAGAAGAAAAGGTTTCTCGATTACCGAGCAGTGAAGTTGGTGGTTGGCTCATTGCACATTCATAGCCTGGGCAAGTTTGAACCTCAAGTTTCAGATACATCTTTTGCCATCATACCTATCGAATTCAGCTGCTCAAGGTTGTTTTGGTCATCCTCTGAGCCATGGAAAGTAATTCCGTATCACATCAAAACAATTTTGATCGATGCTAATTGTGAATACGATGCTGATTTAGACATGAACTACACTGTTGATCACTCGGTTGTCAATGAAAGTATTGAAGAAATTAATCTAGCTGTATGTGAGGTTGTCTCGTTTTTGTGCGATTCCGTTCAGTTCAAAGAAGAAGAGAGTGAAGGACAGTCTAATGTAAGCGACTTACTCTCAGAACAGGATACTATTTTTGAGGATTTGCCGAATGAATTTTTTGATGGAGTTTTCAAGGACATATCCATGAAAATGATGTCGATCGAAGATCTAGTCGCAGCAGGCGACAAAGATGACTCAAATCCATCTGATTCGGATGGCAACAACATGATGGAAATAGGTGAAGATGATAGCCAGAATTGTCCAGCTGATTTACCCTTGAAACGTAATTTTGATTTCTCCTTATCAAGTAGGTTTCCAAAAATCGATTCCATCACGCAAACTGAATCCGCAGAAAGTATCTGCTCCTCGAAGAATGTTTTTTGCAAAGGTCTATCTTTAGAAAAAGGGGAGGATGCTGTGCTCCATGTGAAAATTCAAGAAGAGTATAATGAAACTAATGACAACTCAGCTTATTATTTAAAAGAATCAAACTTGAATTCGTTACGATTACTACAAGTAGATGGCGTGGTTGATTGCTCTAGTTGCAGTGATACGAGTTCAAATAGTGATGAGTCAGAATCATTTTGGCCCGAAGAAGAAAATCAAATGACCAAGAAAAATTACATTGAGGAAGCAAGGCTACAAAATGAATCACCTACTTATGAAATTCCTCAGTTAGATGGAAGCATTGAAATATCAGATGAAACTGAAGAAAATCCAGTGAAATGTAGCCGCTGTCGTCGCACTTACAGGACAGATGTCAGTTACCAACGACATTTGTCCAGTTGTAATGCAGAATATATGTCCTCATCAGGGGAAAGTGATAATGAAGATGAAACCAAATGTAATTCAATTCACAATCGATCAACAGAAACGAGTAATTCTGACATTGGAGATTCCCTTCATGTCTCTGAAATAAATCTTGTCGATGATGTAACCGTAACAATGCAGAATTCGAGTAGTATCAACATGGTATCAGACAACAAAAATCTTGGGAACAATTTTGAATTTACCAGCTCGGGCAATAGCGCTATCTCCATTGATCAAACTGAAAGTTTGCCAAGTATTGATTCAAAGAAAGTGAATCCTACCAATACATTTTGTGCTTCCATTACTGTAAGCAAAGCTGCTTTTCTATCTGGTGTTACGTCCTCTGGAGGTCCACAGTATGTTAATTCCATTAATGGCAAAGGACGACCATTGAAGACTTCTTTCATGGTAGGAAAATCAGAACCTCTCCCTCCACCTGCACAGTTTGGTAATCCTATCATGTATCAACAAACTCCGACAATAATGGACCAACCACAATACACTGGAGCATCAGTCACAACCCCCACTTTCATACTGCAGCAAGTGCCACAACAAATGGCGTCAGCCAGCATCAATATTTCATCATTCGTGCAACCTGTAAATTCAACTCCGAATGTCCAATACATTGCTGCTGTTGAGTCTTCCAATCAGCCCCAATTTATCGCAACGCCAGACCCCATGAATCCTGGATCGTTCCGAATACAGCAATCATCCCTAATCTCACCGATCGTTCCACAAGTTGTAGGTGCAATAATTCAACCTCCAGTGGAGCAGATTGTGACCATGAACCCTCAAGCATCAAATATAGACTTTTTCGCAGCACCAAACCCAAGTAACAACATTTTCTTGAGCAGTCAACCTGTAATGAATGCTGTCGTGAACAATTCTATTTTGTGCAACTCTGTGATGAGCAACTCACTGTTGAACAACACTTTAGTCAACAATCCGGTGATGAGCAACGCTGTTCTGAACAATTCTTTGATTTCGAATCCTCTCGTTAGCAACGGTTATCATACGATGACCTCTCAGTTGGTTCAATCATCAAAGCCAGCAATTGAAGCAACCAGCTACGTTATCGTTACCACTAATCCAAGCGTAAAAGACTGTTTTTCTGCACCCCTATCAGTTCAGTCTGCTCAGTCGACAACATGGGCTCCTTCCAGCAATTGGTCTTTCAACAAGCATACGTGCAAAACCACCAAAGAAGTCACAACTTTATACCATGCAAAAGGCGAGTTAATACCCAACCAGTGCAAACCCAGTCAAGTAAATTGTGTTAAAGTAGTCAAGAAAGAAACGACAGAAGAGATGATGATCGAGACAGCCTCCGTAAATAATCCATTTTATGAAAAAATATCGGCTGAGCTGCCTACTGATGAAAATGTACCGGCAGATGAAGTGTCTCGCTTGACCAATTTTGTGAAAGACATTCCTGCAATTTTTAATGCCCATTCTCTCAAACCGCTGACCCCTCTGCCGAACTCTTCAAATTCATCTATTCTACATCAGCAGAATGAATCATCAAAGGATGTGGTGCTAGAACTTGGAACTAAAGTTCCTAGCATATCAATAAGCAAAACAACTTGCGCTCCAAGCCCATCTCATCTGTGTACACTGACTGCACCGCAGACTGAATTCAGAATTTCAACTTCTATTAGTAAACCTCAGGTGGCTGTATGCAAGAGTGTCGATGAAAATGTTGAAACCCTTGATCCCCCAAGCTCTCCTCCCTATTCTGTTACGGAAGTTTTCTCTAACCAAATTAAAAACTTCAGAACTTATTCTGGAAAGAAACTTGCCTCCAAATTACCAATCAACAATGTTCTGCAACGAACAGACGAAAAACAGAGAACAAACAATATCCTGCAAGCTGTCAGTAGCACAGTTACATCAACAAGTAGCTCACCTCAATATGTTAAAAACGACATCAGTTACTCCAACAGCATCATTCAAACTTCCCCTCTCAGCTCTGTCAATAATATTATCAACTCTGTTCTTAGTTCAAAAGCACCGTTGTCCTGCAAAATTTCATCCAAAGAGCAGGTTAATTCACCTCCCAAAACTTTCCACAGCGATTACCTAGCTGATAGCAGGATTTTAAAACCAGCCAACAAAATTGAAAACTTGGAATCCAAAATCAAGAATGGTCTTACCAAACATGAAAACGCCCTCACAAAACCAAAAACTAATTTGAAGAATGGTAAGAAGTGCAATAAACCTAAGGTTGTTTTTGAAATTAACTCCGAGGATGGTTTTTCCTACTCAACAACAAACTTAGCCGACGCATGGCAGAAAATCTTTGAAGCTGTTCAACAAGCGCGAGAAGCACGCAAACTTCCTCCACTCCCACAGAATCCATTCAAAAATGCTGAAGCGAGTTTACGCACTCTTGGTTTAGACAACAATGGGCTGAAGTATTTGTTAGAGCAACTCCCTGGAGTAGGACGCTGTGCAAAGTACAAACCAACTTATCACAAACCAAAACCAAACATTGCACGACAAGACAGTCTTAAAGAGAACAAGTCAGGTTGTGCTCGAAGCGAACCTCTCTCCACTCGCAAGGAGAAATATGACATGTTTAGTTGGCTTGCATCAAGACATAGGAGACCTCCAAAATTGTTAATCGCCTCGGAAGCTGACTTAATTAATGGAAACAGGTATGAGTAAAGTCCTCTCTATTGAATACTTACGCTTACTTTTATGCAAACTTTTTTCTTTTTTTTTACAAGCTTCAAATAGCCCCCATTGGCTAATCTCACGCTTACCACTAGCCCCTGGTGACCATTGTCTGAGACCATCAAACTCAGGTCACCTAGCCACCTGGTTTTTGAAAATAATATAAATAATAATAATTAGACCCTCTATGTGATAGAGATCACAAATATTTTTAATAAAGGTAGAAGCACAACCTGTTACTCTTGACGGTGTCAATTAAGTTTTTAGAACCCCAATTCATTCAGAGAGTAACGATAGCCTTGCTAGAAGAAGCTACTGTAAACCTATGTTTGGATTGATCCACTTCAACTGAGCCAGATAAACATGTGTATCAGCATTGGCTACGTTACTGCCCATGCAAACAAAAAGTTTTTCTGGTTTAGTTGTGCCCACTGCTAAGATTACAAAACTGCCTGTAAAAATATCATTAAAAGACTGAATGCACTTCAGCAGTTTATTTTTTGTGTGTGAAAAATATTAATACCCTAATTTCAAGTAAATATTTGGGGTGTAATTCGGCTCATCAATCTAATGGAAAAGCTAACTTCCTAATCATTAATTGAAAGCTTCCAAGCTCTTTTGATTCTAATTGTCGCATTTTTCTTTTTCAGGCGATCAACTAGCATAAATTTACCGATGGCTATGCGATTTAGGCACCTGAGAGAAACATCGAGGGAAGCCGTCGGAGTTTTTCGATCAGACATTCATGGCCGAGGGTTATTTTGTCTTAGAGATATAGATGCTGGCGAAATGGTGATTGAATATGCAGGAGAGGTAATGTGTCATTTCCCGACTTTTTATAATTACAAATTAATTGTTGGTAGTTTGTAAACAAACCTAAAAGGAGAATGCATAAGCCTATGCACTCCAAAAACAAGGATGTTGGGTAAAATATTCCTAAGGATCCTATGTATCCAATTCGTTCATATATTTTTGCATTGTTATCATGGTTACGTCTCAATCAGTAAAGCAATCAACCATTATTGCAATCAACATTGTTGTGCAATGTAGCCAAGTGGTATTGATTGGTACAATAGCATCAGGAAAGTTCCGTTCAGTAAATTTACAAAAAATCACAGTTAGTTGTCTTTTAAGTTATTCTCAAACTACCTTGATTTGGCCAATTTTTGTTTAAATAATCTGATATGGATCTCAATCAACTGCTTTTTCCATCTCTTTTCAAATGAGACAAAGCTTAGTTTGATATGTTGTTTGGATTTTGAATTGCCATACCAGTCATGGTCCTTTTGGGACACCCTTTGTATGTGTATGTAGACGTAGAACGGACACAAACTTAACCATAAGGCAAAATTCCAAATGGCAAAAATAGACAAATTTACCATGTCAGATCCCTGCCCTTAATGGAATTGGACCCTGCTTAGTACTGATCGAATTTCTGAAATCTTATTAATCTCATAATCCTCATTTTTACAGGTTATACGATCTGCCCTAACCGATAAACGAGAGAACTTCTACAATTCCAAAGGCATTGGCTGCTACATGTTCCGTATTGATGATTATTATGTTGTTGATGCCACTCTAAAAGGCAATGCTGCAAGATTCATCAATCACTCTTGCGAGGTATGTCTCTTTTATTTCATTCGTTGAAAATTAATTGCATTATAATCATTTGTTCTTGTGATTTTACTTTAATCTTACATGAAGATGCAATAAGGTGAAAAAAAGTACTTCAGTGCTGAGAGTCGTGTTCTGTAGCTACAAAAGACAACAGATTACAAGAGTCTGTTCAATAGTTAGCACAAAATTACTGCTATCAGAAGGCTATTATAGGAAAATAATTACTTGGTATTATCTGCATAATTTGGAAATTCGGATAAGTTGGATCTATAGTTTAAGAGATGATTGGCTTCAGCAAGCCTGGTTCTTTCAAATGTGCCAATATACTTGCATTTCAACACCTAAAATATACCCCAAACCAGTCATACCACAAATATGAGTTAATAAAATTACAGTCCCTCTCTTAAATAATATAGCAATGACTCCCTCCGCCCAGTGGACACTTTTCATGTCGTAGACCAATAACCACCTATATGTGTCAAAATGCATATTGTTAACCTCTGATGATGGACTTGAGCAGTCTATAAATGCATTAAAGTTGTAGAAAAACAAAAGCATCTTTGGATTTGTAACTCTCTTACAAACTCTGGACAAACTGGGCTTGTAACACTCTTTAAATCATTAATTAGGAATGAAAGTTAATATTTTAAAGTGTACATCTTGCTAATGGTTTTTTTTGTATTTTTTCAGCCAAATTGCTATTCCAGAATAGTTGATATCCTTGGAAAGAAACACATCCTTATTTTCGCTCAGCGCCGAATACCACAAGGAGAAGAGTTAACGTATGATTACAAATTTCCCCTTGAAGATGACAAAATATCATGCCATTGTTTATCCAGGAAATGTCGAAAATATCTTAATTAAAATTTTTCAGTATAAATGAATGGCTTGGAAGCTTCAGAAATTGTAAATAAGTGCTCGCGATGTCCATATATGTATAATGTATCTTGTAAATGAAAATTTTATTTTTTTTATTTTTAAACTGTAAAGATACTGTGCATGTTTATATATGAGAATTTTAGTAAGCATGCATGATGTATGTCATCAATTGTTAAAATATTGGCTGAATTGCAAAACCGCCCAGCTGTTGGCACAAAAGGTTTCTTGAATTAGAATGTAAATCTTTGTTGGAATCTTCTCAGATTTCGGTAATCGTAAGAATGTGAGCCATTAATGTTTTGCTAACCGATAGTAATCACTTCATCTTTGTAATATTAAAGTGTATCGAGTTTTGCTCTTTGGCCATTGTTATACTCATTGTTGTAAGTTAACCTCGATTAATATGGTTCTAGTCATGAAAGCATAAGATTAAGTTCAGTTTAGGCATACTTTCTGTTGAATTATCTTAACACTTAACACATCACCGTGACTATTATTTAAAATAAGAGAAGAAAAACTAGCTACTGAATGATCCACAAAATACTTTGCTCAGTTTTATAAAGCTTATTTTTTGACTGAATTTCTATAGAAGTTAAGTACTGAGGTACGTGGGATGTAGTTCCTCGCTCTGTGATGAAGTTAAATCATTAAGCCAAGTTTTGAATGTTTGTTGACACTTCAAATAATTTTTCTACAGTGAATGAAAATGGTCTAAAATCGTTTCTAGGTCAAAGTATAAAATGAAATATGTATATTGAGGGAAGTTAAATGGACAAGGGAGCAGTTGCCTTTTTTTTACCCAGAGCAGAATCCATCATACCTTAATTGAAAAAATCGTTTAAAATTTTGATATTAAAATATTGATGTGAAAGTAATGCAGGTAACTTGAACTTCAGAGAGAATCTGAGAACCTCTAAAATCCTAAATTCTCATAATATAACCTCCCATTTACTTAATAAGATACTCCAATTTTCCAACATCTCAATGCAATTGTCATCATATATCAGTGTCTCATTATCGTTGGCATTTGCCTCTTTTGTTCGTTCCTTTAAACGCACCGTTAAGCATGCTTAACAGTGTTTAACTTAAGCTTTGAGTAGATTTCTACTCCCTGACCCGACGCGTGGCTTCTCATGGAATTTACGCAGTGGAAGGAAGAAATGTGTGAAGGAAATCAATCAGTTATAGAAAAGAAGACAAATCTAACAATTTATAATTGAATTATTGTGGGTGTCCATTTTTTGGTAATAATTGAAGTGTTTTTTAATTTTTCGTGACTCTATTTGGTATCGTGCGATTGGATGTAAATGTCAGTTGATTTCTGTCAGTCGAACAGGAAGAAGAGTTCAATTTTAAAAAGAATAAAAAGTCCTCTTTTATTATGCATTATTGAAGATATGATCTTACAAGGAGGGTGTATGGAAGCATAGGAGCCTCTCAGTTCAGGAAGTCAAAAGTGTACGTAGGGGAAGCACCTGTGATGAAAAGATTCTGTGTGCTGACTTAAATTTTTTTTCTGTACGGCATATGTTTTTTACATTTTACTTTCTAAATTTAAAAATTAAAGAAAGTGCAGTATTATGTATGCAGGAAAGATTTCCTCTCCCAAGAACATTAACTAAAATGTAGACAAACTATTGTGGCTCATGAAATTATCTTTGGAGCTCCTAATCCAATTGAGTGCTTACATTGAATTTTCTTAATTTCTGGTCCTGTTTTTAATGTTCAGCCAATTTTTTTTGCTTGTTTGTGGGGAATCGCTTGAACGGGGAAACCCAGAAAAACCTTGGTTCTCATAAACTGATCGAATGAATAGTTTCTGAGACTATCAAATCAGCTCTGGCTGTGAGTCAATTGACCTTGCAATTTCTTATTTCTCTCACTGCATTTTAGAATCAAAATTAAAGTTACCAGGACATTTTGGATGATGGAATAAATTTCAAAATTCTGTCATCACTGTCTTTAATAATAAGCAACACAAAATGCAGTGATTTTTAAGGCATTTGGGCATGTGTTTTTCTCTTTAATGCCAAGTACCGAAAAAAACCAGGTGTTCTATACTTAAGTTAATGTTCTTTGTAAAATTTCACAAACAAGTGTGTATTTTATTGATCTTAGTCTCAAACTTTCCCTACAATATACTGGGTCCCACAATCAAAATTGCTAATCAGTAAAAAAAAAATGCGTCAACAAGATAGCCGCAAGTTCTTGCTCCGTTGCAAATCTGGTGTGTCGGAACTGAAGCAAGTGAATAAAGTAGGCCCTTCACAAATTTCTCTTTATTTCATCCTGTCAATCCAGGTTTTCAAGCGTTTGCAAAATTTTTAAGGAGCTATATTAACTTGCGTTTCACCTCAGATCCGATTGGTAAGATTCATGCCAGGGTGAAAAGTGGGAGCTTTCTAGTTTTTCTTCATTTTGTCAGATTTTGTTGCAGTTTTAGCTTTGAACTCAGATTTTTTCAAGAGAGCTTTTGAGGTTGAGATCAATAAAATAAGTTAACTTTTGTCATATTTGTGAGAGAAGTTAGTCACCTTTTGAAAACCCCCTTGTAAGAATTCTGTCACATGTGAAATCGTCCCAACTGTTCTTTATATCACTATGTCATTTGGTACGTAATATGCACTTAATCAAAACCAAAATTGTAGGCTAACTCTTATACATAGTGAGGCAGAGAGTCTTCTGGCTCTGTCTGAAAATCAGCCATCTCCTTTATTGTAAGCTCTATGAATTTTGCGAGTTTATTTTTTGTTGAAGTTTTCCTTTCATTATCCCAGTCCTTCACTGTTAATATTGATGGAAAGGAAAGAGAAAGTCACAAGATATCCCTAATTGTGCTTTGCTTCAATATTTTTCAAAAATGAACAGAAAATTCTTTGGAAAGCCAAACTTTATTCGGCAGGTTAGATTCTCTAAAATCTCATCGCAATGGGTCAAACTTTCATAATTCTCTATATTTTCCTGTTCATGAAGTTATGTAGGCACTGAGCCATAGAATCTGATTAAATTTCAAATCTCCGTCTCCCCCTCTTATTTTTTATTTGTCCTTCATTTTTAGTAGTGACCGTACCTTTATTCTCTTACAATTTTTATTTTCTCTACTGATCCAACCTGTGCTTTATTCCGTTCTTTTATTTCTCATTGGTTACGATGTTCTTTGAAACTGTGATCACTTAGTTAGTGTGAGAAGTAGGAAACTTACTTTGGATTATCTCTAAATATTTTTTCAAAGGATTTCCTCCTTAAAGATAGATCAGCGTAAGCATCCCAAATATCTGCTATACTATCATCTTCACCGTAGTAAATATTTTGAGTCAAGGACAGTTCTAAGGACTTCTTAAGGTCCTATTTGTATCAAAGCTTCCCTCCTCACCTCATGTATCTGCTGCTGTTATAATTGTTTGAGCACTGCTACGGCCAAGTGTTTTACTATTTATTTGACGTCACTGATCATAGCTTTCACTGATATTGTGATTTTTATTTTTTAACTTGTATACATATTTTACTGTCCCTTTTCGTGTAAGTATTTCATAAACTAAGAGGGAAAACAAATAAGAGGAAAAAAGTAAAATGTAAATAACTTGTTTATCTGAAAAATTTATCCAATTTAATAAGGAAATTTTTGCAATGAATGTGATCGAATTTACCTTTCTAAGTGAAATGAAACTGTTTCTGATCATAGAAACGAAAATATTCTACAAGAACTCACGGCAGATTACTGTTATTGGCTTCTTTCTGGTCAATGTTTACGCTCTTTATGTTTCGTATTTATGTACCTCGCACTTGAGCTCACAATTGGTAGTTCAATGTTTATGCTTGCCTGCAAGGTATATCATAAGCGAACTTCAATAAAATGAATTTCATTTTAGGTTCACACAGATCGGCAAGTTCTATTGAAAATTCTACTGCAAAAATTTGCTTTGTATCTTTGAAACTGACTCGAAAGAGATTTTACAGGAAAGTGGTCTCACCTTCTTTCATTTTCAGAAATTGTGTCTCCTCTTTTGGCTTGCGCTGAAATTTTGTTTCCAACTCTCTCATTATCTGACTCTCCCTTGAATCCTTGAGGAAAACAGGAAAGAAAGTAATGGCTTGCTCATTGATTATCCTACCCGTAGAATTAAGGATCTTTCAAGTAAAATGCGAGTGAGGAACAAGATTTCAGCGCCCACAATTGGCTCTCCATTGAAGAACAATTTTCCATGTAAGTCTTTTTCAGGAAAGGAAGGTTTTTGCCGTGCGTTTTTGCTTTCAACCATGCACAAAGGTCTAAAGTTTGTAACCAAAGTTAATTCAAGCTATTATGTTGTTGTGTTTGAAATTTAAAATTATATTTCACAAAATGTTATTTACGGGTCATTGTTATTTTCTGTCTCCTGAACCATGCATTTTCTTTCCTCAGTTAGGCCAAGAACTCTTTTTTTCTGTTTGCCTTCCTCTCTTTAGTTTTTTATTTCTCCCGGTTGTGTTTCAGTTTCCTTTGTTCGATTATCAATCTCTGTGTGTAATTTTAATACGATTTTCTTTTCGTTTTTTCCTTCTTTTTTTTTTTTTTTAACCGTTCTTGTATTATTAGTTCTGAACAATTCCGAATCAATAAATTTTTGAAATCCTCAATTCTTGTTTTGTTTTTGCTCACGCATGCGTATGTGTGTGTGCATGTGCAACTCGTTCTTGACTTGTTACTTGTAGTGGAATTGATAAAAAAGTGATCAGGAAAATCAATGTTAAAAAAAAAGTAAACACGTAAGGTGCGCAATTTGAGTTGGTTTAATGTAAACAAATTATTGTTCCACGAGGAAAAATTTCAATCATCTCTAAGACTACATTAAACATACATAACAAATGATTTGATGTTGAGATCTATGAATAATTGCTGCAAAAATAATTTGTTAGAAGAAAAAAAAATTGATATGTCAAAAGAAGAGAAAACAATTCACTGAAAATTAGAACAGCTGAGTGCATTACTTATGTAACATTTTTTCTTTTTTTTCTACGAAATAAAATAGGTAAGGTAGTTGAATTTATGCTAAAACTAAACACTACATATAAATGAATAATAGATCAACAAAATTTAAACACAAAAGTGCTTCTTTGCATAAGGTTTGAGAGCCCGATTCAAGCTCCCAACCTTTGAAAATTCTGTATTGATATTGCTCAAAAATATAATTTGTCTGTTTTTTTTTCTTCTCTTTTTTTCCAAATAATAATTTGAATAAAGTAAAGGTGAGAAACAAATTGGATAACTTGGATACCTGCTCAAATGGAGGCGCTCAGTAAGGACGACACAAAGACTAGTTTTCCATCGAAGCATACTCGGTTCCCACTGTAGTCGCTTAAGTCTCTCAATTACATTAGATCCTTACCAAGAGGAATCACGTTTACATAAGCTCTCCATAAAAGTATTTACCAATTATTTTTAAACTTTGCAAGATGACTGTACAGATAGTAACTTAAACAAATTTCTCTGGGGCAGGAGAATCCAAAAGTAGATAGATAGATTTGTCTGGTAACTGTAAATGAGTCTAGGTATCAAAGCACATCTGTAATACTTTTATCAAGTTTCCTCATTTGAAGCAAATTAAACTTGCTTCAGTAATAACTATTTAAACAATATGAATTATGAAAAGGGTAGAAAAGATTATTTACAAATTCAACTATCTCATAAGCAGTTCGCCGACATTTGTTACTTAGAAAGCAGTTTATGTCCTTCAGCTATAACTGTAAGTGATCATTCGTCGATTACTATTAGACATCAAAGACTTGTTGTATTAATTACACTAAATAGATGAGGAGCGATGGTATAATATCCTACCTGTCCACTATTTACTGACATTGGTGGCAAGTAGTTAATGTATATTTTTATTGAGAAAGATGAGTTCTCTCAAATTTTACAAAAAAATGTTAAAATGAGATGTAGGTACCTAATCATTTTAGGATTACGGTCCTCAGAGCTTGTGTCTATCTCAACACTGGACAAATTGAGTTCAAATTGGTCAGTATTCGAGATCTAGTTTTGGTGTAGGTGCTGCCCTATGTCTTCAACTGTTCTTTAGAAGTATGTTGCGTTTAGGCACAGCTCTGGAATTATTTGGTTTCTGAGAATTCCTGCTTCAAAATTCGCAGAGAATGAAAAAAAAAAAAAAATTGGAATGGGTTCAGTACAATAAGTTGATATGATACACATTTATCTAACTTTGATATGATCAGTGCCAATTACTTTGCTACTTATAGTTGAATTTTTTACCAACTTCCCTATCCTCTTTGAGTGGAGGGATATCAATTGAGACATTTTCATGCGGTAAGACGCTGCTACCTAGTAACAAATTGATAAAATTTAAAGAAATAACAAGTCATACAACAACTAAAAAATTAAAAATACTACCTATTTGCTAATGACTAAAACATTTTCTACTTTATCATGCAAATATTTTACCATAAAGTTAGTACAACACATGCAAACATAGCTTTGTAAAAAATATAAAATACGAACAGTAAATTAAATTAGATACAGTAAACTAATCACAGTTTGCTAATTCAGCTTTTACAGTTCAATCATTCATTAATGGAATGGGAATTCCAGTCCAAATGAAACATTTATTGATGATCGGCTTTGTCTGAATCGCCACTTGATAAAGGGCTACATAAATAACGTACATAATCCACTTTATCACATTTGGTATTCACTGAGGTCAAATGTATAGATGAAAGAGAAACAAGAAAAGAACTAAATTAAAGGAGCAAAGAGATAGACAATGAAAACATATACTGTACATACTTTCTAGTTTACTCAAAGATATCGTATAAATTTTAAGAATGAGTTGGGATTCATATTTGCTATATAAGTTCACAGTTACAACAGAAAGCCAGAGAAATGCTCTGAACTTTGAGCATGAAACACATTGAAAAAATTCTGTGACAAAAATTCTTGAGCTGAAATTCACAGATAATTAATTTTACAAGATGTAAATGAGGTTTTTTTCCTACTATGATAAAAGCCAGGCTAGATAATTTCAGTTTTCTTTTGGTCTCCTTTGACCTCACCTGGCGAATCACACTTTTAAGTAATTTAAATTCTGATGAGTCTAAGAAAAATTCTTATGCGAAATTGATCTGATTTGCTCTGCGTTTACGAAAAACTAGGAGCAAAAAAAAATTAGTACTCCAAAAAATAGACTTAATTTTTTCCGTCGAGTAAGCAAATTGCACTTTATGTGGTTGTGGGAGACAAATCAACACTTCATAAAGTTGGCAGGTACATAAATAAACTCTACTGAAACTCTTACTTTTCAAAGTGGATGGACATACATTTAAAAAAACCTCTTACAGATAAGCAATTTTGGCAAATTGACGTCACAGGTGAATAAATCACCGTAGAAAACGATGCCTGACTCAACAAAATGATGATTTAATTAGCAATATCTATTTCTTGAACTGAGCACCATAATTAGCAACTAAAAAAGAGACTGGAAGATAAAGATCTTGATTGTATCGAGCCGTTTAAACCAATAACATTAAGACAAACTAACTCAGAAGGTTAAACCTTGAATCGATTTGTTTGTCTTCTTTAAGTACCTAATCCTCAAAGGCTCAGTCAGAGATCTTTCAGAGTTGACTCATTACAATGTTCATTTATTTAAGATCTACACATCCACAGATAAACTGACTAAGCACATAATATGTAATTAGCTTAGTAAATAAGTGCTAAAAAGAACAGGTAACTTGTAACACGAAAAGCACCATATTGAGACATCATCTAGTAGATTTCAGACAGCTTCTCTAGAACACTGTTTTACAGGGTTGTGTCATTGGATGGCTCAATTTCAAGCACATTTGTTACTTCAATATTGGGTAATTCATTAATTTCTTTTTTCAAATGCTAAATCAAGACTGTTCAGCTATCATTTTGACAAGAAAGTAATAATTTATTCTAAAGGAAAGAACGATAAGTATTTAGGAATCTGTACAAAATATTTAACTACCTACTCAAATACAAAATGTATTTACAGAAAAAAAGATTATTTTGACTAAAGAATTATCGTTACCTACTAAAGTTGAATTTCCTATACTGTCCTAATTAAGTAAACTGTTGAAAAACTATCATAGAAAAGGAGAAAACTTAGAATGAAGACATACAATTGAGACACTGGGTGTGAAAAGAGCAATTCCGTCCATCCTCTTCTTCGAGGAGTTGAAAACTTACGTCAAGCCGATTTTGAATTCTAAAATTTAAAAAATCTTGGAAACTGATAACCTAGAAACCCAAAAAACTGCTTTCATATGCTATTTACTTGCGTTGTTCTGTTCATAGCTGCCCCATCTACTTACTACCACACTCTTTCGCTGAAGAATGAGATCTATTAACGGGACATTTTTTAATCTAGAAAATTCATGACTTGGATTTTCCTTTTTTGGGAGGGTTGAATTTTGATTTTCTTTAAATTTTTCTGACTTCCGAACCATATTTTAAAAGACAAATACTTTTTCATCAATTATAAAAGCACGTGTGCAAAGAATGACAAATCGAAAAACACACGTAATTTTAGCTATTTTTCTTAAAATAGATTTTGAATTTTGGATCACTACCATAGGTCTCAAATTAAGGATTTCCAAAAAAAGTCTTTCTGGCACCCAACCCCTCAATGGCATTGTTGTTCTCAAAACAATTACCTAGTGCTTGCTAACATCTTATACGAATCAAGTTCTATGTACACGATACGTGCTGAAGAAAATGGAGGTGGTGCAGATAAACTTCTAGTCATGAAATAAGCCAAAAGAGAACACTAATCAAATCACACACGCACCTTTAGGCAGAAATGAAAATAAATTGAAAAGAGTCAGACAATTAAGAATAGTAAAACAAAACAGATTAAGCTGAAAAATGAGATTCTTTTCTGAATGGCATTCTGATGACAAGGTTGATGGTATTTGTTTGGCGCACTTTTGGACCGCAGTTAATCAAAAAACGGGACACCATTTGCATATTGACCTTTGAACTTTCTTTGCAAATACAATAGGATCTCTTCCAAAAGTCGGAATGAGGCAGAAATATCTATGCGCTCCTTGAAAAAGATCACTGGGAAAGGTCTCTAAGAGAAAATCGGAGAGTACTTAATCCATGCTAAGAAGACTGGTCTGAATTTCTTGACTTGCTACAGAGATGAAACAGGACTGTATAAGAAATGTCTGAGTAAGCATGCGATATGATTGTACTTATTTTAAAGACAAATTTGCTCATTTTCTTTCCTTTCTTACACTATTATTGTTACTTCCAATAATTAGCAGTGGTTAATATTCTTTAGACTTTTAGCAAAGCCAAGGGAGGTGGCAAAAAATGCTGAAAGACAT